AAGACCCAAGCCAGAGCAGCCTTCCATTCTCCCCTCCTGGGCATTGCCACCCTCTCCTAGCCTTCAGCCCACCGGCTGACCTCTGGGCCTGACCTCTGACCTCCATGGCCCTCTTCTGGGTCAGGGAGGGCTAACGTGCTAGAGTGGGCCAGGCCCCCATGGATTGGAAGGCTGTTTGCTGTGGTCTCCCAAGCAGCCTGATTAACATGCGGAAAGATGCAAATTGAGGCAATCCTGCTGCTTTAGAAGAGCTTAATATGTTTTTTTAAAAGATAGGGTGAAAAGGCAGAAATTGCAGGAAATTATATATTGCAGGAGCTGCTTTATCTTCTTCACAGTTGCTTTCAGAGATGCTTCTGGTTTGGCAATAGCATTTCATGTGCTCAGAGAGCCCCACCCTCAGGCTGAGGCTGTCAAACAGCAGGACCTCTGACCGGCAGCCAGGATTTGCTGCTCCCACATCCTGCTAGCCCAGTCCATCTTACTGCTGCTTCTCCACCCTCTTCCAGGGCTCACACGTGTATCAAGGGTTGATCCATTCTCTAACCCTCATTTAAGGGGAGCAGTTGAAGCCCTGTTCATATGACTGTTGACATAACTCAGAGCCACCTTCAAAACACAGTCCCCAGACAACTAGGTGCACCCATTAGGGAGGAAGCTTGCCTTGGTTACAGCCTAGAGACCTCTCTGAAGCTCTGTCTTATTCCCGTGGATTTGACAATGGCACAACAATACAGATTATCCTAATGGGGTTTGGAAAACGTTCAGGGTCTAGATTGTGTTAGGGAGGGCAGATCAAGTTGAGCAACAAAATCAGCCCCCAGCAAGGCCTCAGGTATTTGCCATCAGTGGGAATAAGGTTGGCTCACTAGTGGATTTTTCCAGTTAGCTGAATTTCAGAACGAGTCTTTTTTTTTTTTTAATTTTACCTAGTTTGTACCTAGGAGGCCTTTGTATTATGGATTTCACACTTCTCTGACTTCTCAAAATGAGGCTACAGAACATAATTAAACTTATCTTGGTGATTCGGGTCATCATTTGGAATCTCAGTCATTAATCTTTGGAGCCAGGTTGTGTTGTTCCCATCCCACCTTCTCCTCTTACTAGCTGTGTGGCTTTGGGCAAGGGTGTTAACCTCTCTGTGCCTCAGTTTTCTCATCTTTAAAATGGGAATAATAATAGTACCTACCTTGTGGGGTTGTTGAAAGAATTAAATGAATTTATAGATGTAAAAATAGTGCCTGAGTCATATTGGGTAGAAGTGTATTACATTGCCATATTGGTAGGTAAACAAGTGTTGAATGTTGGCAATTTCATATGGTTCAGCCCAGTAGTAGATGGCACTCTGCAGATGTTGGCTTCTATTCTTACAGCTGCTCTGTGCCTGGCACCGTGGACTGGCACTTATCATATGCCACACATCTCCTTTGGTCTTCCCAACAGGCTCACAGGGGGCATTATGACTCCATTTTTCCAGAGGAGAACACCAAGACTTAGGTTAAGTTGCTTGCCCCAGGCTGCTCAGCTGGCAGGTGGCAGAGGAGGGGTCCGACCAGGTGGCCTTGGCTCCTTTGTCCTCGTCTCCCTGTCAGTGCTGTGCTGGGACGGTGGCCCTCCCAGTGGAGCACTGAATGGTCCTGGAAGTCGTGGTTCATTAAGTTCTGCATTAACTTTTTTCTGATGTCCCTACTCCCCTTCCTGGTCTTGCAGAGCCCCAAGAGGTTCTCCTAGGAAGCAAAGATAAGAGCTTCTGCCCCTGGATTTTGAGGCATCTGTTTTGGTTGTGGCAAATATATGGATGTCTAGTCAACTAGCGCAGGTTGTGATGCGCGGCTCGCCTGTGTTCGTTCATGTGCACGTGTCACACAGGTGACCTCCAGATGCGTGGGACCACATCTGGAGACACAACCAAGCCGTGTTCTGGGGAAGCTGGAGGGGCCCTGGGTTCCCACACTGTCCGCTGAGTGCCAGCCTTCCCCAGCTGCCGCCCTGTCCCAGTATGCTTGCTCCCTGTGGCACCGGCACCGAAGCCTAAACTTCCCTGGCTTAAAAGGACAGTGGTGGTCGTCCTGGCCAGCACGTCACTTTACAGATGAGGACACTGAGGCTCAGAGAGCTTGAGAGGCCGCTGGGACTAACTGGAACTCAGAGCTCTGGTCCCTTGCTGGGGCTGTCCCCACTGCTCTCCTCAGCAGAGTCTGGTCCCCTCAGTGTTTTCTGATGCCACTGCCTGCTGCCTCTGTGGGGAGGAGCCAGGGCTGGCTTCATGGGCATGCGACCTGTGCAGGCACATAGGGCCTGCGCTTGGTTTACTGCTCTGCTGTCACCGTCTTGAAATTTCTCACTACTTTTTAACAAAGGACCCCACATTTTCCCTTTCTACTAGGCCCCACAAATTAAATAGCCAGTTCTGGGAGGAGCCCACCAGGTCCTCAGCCTCCTCCTTTTTCTAGTCCATGGGATGGGGCTCCCCAGAGAGGCGTTTAAAGCGCTCCCTCCATCCAGCATGGGACAGATAGGAACTTTCTCCTGGGGAGAGACAGTGACTGCTGGGGACGGACTTAGAAGGCTGCGATCTTTCTGGGAGGATGAGAGGGAAAACCCTGAAGTCTAACTGCCTGGTTACCCACTGTGGGACCTTGGGCGTGTGACAACATCTAACAGCCTCAGTTTCCTCAGCTGACAAATGGGGAGAGTAGAGGAATTACTCCATATGGTTGTTCTGAGGATTCAGTGAAACAGTGTCTGTAAAGAGAAGGCTTAACGTAGAGCCCCACGTCTAGTAAGTGCTCAGTAAGTCAGCCTTCCTCTTATTCCAGGTCTGAAGTCCTAGATTTCACAGGAGGATTCCTGGGCCTTCTATGCCTCGGAAGCCCCCAGTGCAGCCTCCTTCTCCCTCCTGGGTGGGCGCTGATGAGGGACATGATAAAAGCTGTCCTTTCCTGGGCACCTGGTGTCCTGGCTGCCGTGCCTCAGCACTGCCCCCTCAGAGCCTCTCTGCAGTAGGCACTTCCGTCCCAGGTCAGCCGGAGCCCAGCCCTCCCTGCCCATACTCGCCCAGAGCCTGAAGAAATCAGGAAGCGGCCTGGCCTCGTGAACTGTGATGCGCTCTCTCAGGGAGCCAGGCGGTGTGCTGGAGGAGGCGTGACTTTGAAATCAGTCCACACGTGTCGAATTTTTGCTCGACCAGTTACCAGCTGGTGATCTTGGGCGGGTTACCTAGCTTCTCTGACCCCCAGCTTCCTTATTTGTAAAAAGCGACGAAGGGTTATTTTGAGGGCCAGATATGATAAGGATGTAAAGCAATGAGCTCAGTGACCGGCCCGCGCGGATGGTATCTAATAAACGTTTGTTGAGTGAGTGAGTGAGTGAATGGAGGGATGCTCTGTGTTTGCTGTTGTCAGAGGTCCTTGAGGGAAGGCATGTGAGGTGGTGGGGGTGGGGGTGGGGCAGGGACAGAGGCCCCCCCCACTGTATGTGGGGGGAGGGGAGAAGTGTCAAATAATCATAATAGCTTGCACACACACAGCACTTACTGTGCACCAGACACTGTTCTCAGCACTGTACTCGTATTAACTCTTTTCATCCTTACAACAAGCCTATGAGGTAGGTGCTGCCAGTACCCCCATTTTATAGATGAGGAAACTGAGCACAGGGAGGGTGAGTAACTTGCCTGGGGTCACACAGCTAGTAAAGGATGGAGGGGAAGCAGGGAGCCTGGCTCCAGTGACCATATTCCTAACTATTATACCGCGCCCCACCCCCCCCCAACCTTTAACCATGTCCTTCAAGCCTGTGGGAGATTGCATCTTCATCTTCGCCACCATTTTGGTCCTCACTGGGCTGTAAGACACCGATCTCAATAGACTCTCTTCCCTACTGAGAGGAAGAGGGCAGTATGAGAGAGCCGGGTCACTTCCCGACAGGCCCTGGTCCTTGACAGGCCAGGCCCCAGGGACTGTAGGACAGAGCACTGAGCTCTGGCCACTTGGCAGCTGATTTGTCAGGATGCAGGGTTTTCAGGTTGAAGAGGCCACACGGGGCTGGGTGGAGGGGAGGATGTGGGGACATCTCTGCCTAGTGCCCTGTCAGCCTTGGGGAGCTGAGGGGCTAGGGCCTTGGGAGGGGAGGGGTCCAGCCATCCTTGCCAGGGCCTGGGTACCTTCTATGTGCTCTTGGCCTGAGTGTTGGGTCAGCGGGAGCCGTGAGTTGGTCAGGGGAGTCAGAAACCCAGGCTCTGCCTGGTGAACGTGAGGGAGTGGCTCCCTGCCCTGAGCATTAGGCTCCTCGGCTGTGACACGGGTCATGGTCCAGCTACATCTGCCTCAGAGAGTTGGGTGGGCCTCTCGGGAGTTACTGGGTGTGACAGTGGTGCCTAACCTTGAACGTCCTCTAGGAATCACACAAATATGTGAGGCAGTGAGGCCACGTGGACAGAGCCAGCGCTTTGGGGTTGGCAGACCCAGCTCAGAGTGGCCTTGGGTTAGTCATCTCACCTCTCTAAGCCACTGGGAAAACAGTGATGAAATCATGTGCGTTAACGTGACCGAGTGGGTGCGACGTGCCTGCACTCCGCTAAGCACTGTGCACACTTGGTCTCACGTAGCCCTCACAACACCCTTTGAGGTGTGTACTGTAATCAGCCCCATTTTACAGAGGGGAAACTGAGGCTCTGAGAGATTACCTCCCTTGCCCGAGGTCACACAGCTAGAAAGTGGCAGATCCAGGCTTCAAACTGGGGCAGCCGGCTCCAGAATTGCCCCTCCCGACTACCCCACTAGACCTGCTGGGTGGGGTGTGTGAAGACGAAATGAGACCCTCCAAAGTGTCTGCCCAGGGCCTGGCCCCTAGTCGGTGTGGGGCCAACGTAAGCTGCTGTCCTTTCTAACAGCCTGGTGCCCGGAAGCCTCGTGTTTTCCAGGGGGCTGTGTTTCCACAGGGACTGCGGCGCCCCCAGCCTTCTCCCGCCTCACAGCCGTGTTCTGCCTCCCTCCCACCAGGATGTCGCCACAATGCAGTTCTGTGCCAACAAGCTGGACAAGAAAGATTTCTTTGGGAAGTCTGACCCCTTCCTGGTGTTCTACAGGAGCAACGAGGATGGGACGTGAGTTCTCCAGTCACACTTCACCCCCTGTCTGGGGTCGGGGCTGGGCAGGGTTGTGGTGACTTGCCAGGCGGGATGGCTTGGGCCCACCTCCTCCAGGCGCCGCCCTAGGGCTCCTGCTCTAGAGAGGGCAGGGGCTCAGGTGGAGTCAAGGGCTCCAGCGTAGTGCCCTGGCCCCAAGGATGGGGCGGCGGGGGGTGGGGGCGGCCTCCAAGCCAGCAGTGCCATTCTGAGCGTCTTGGCAATGGTGGGTGCTAGGTATGTTGGAGATGAGGGGACTGGGCAAAAACAGCGCAAGGGCAGGAATGAGCGGCCCCTCTGATAGCCCCTTCCTTCTTCCACACAAATCAGTCCATTTCTCCAAGACCAGCCCTCCTCCACCCACAGCCCTCCGACACCCCACTGCTACATGTCCCCCCACTACTGCACACTCAGCGTAGCAGATCTGGACCCTCTTCCCCGTCTGGCTCCGTGCTCTCCCATAGGCTTCATTCAAAACTTTGAATGTCTTTGAAGCCCCCATTTACTCCTCTCCTCTCCTCTCCTCTCCCTGATCTAGAAGCCACCCACAACGGAAACACACAACACGTTGGCAAGTGTAGGTCAGCGATGTACACAGAGGGACAGATTCTAGGTTGAGGGTCTGGGGACCTAGGTCCTCCCCACCAACCTGCTGTGTGACCCCGGGCAAGTTATGCCCCCTCTCTAGGCCTGTTTTCTCATCAGTGAAATGAACCAGTTGGATTAGGTGTTCTCTGCGGTCTCTAAGCACCACAGCTCTGGGAGGCGGCGGCCACTTACCGCCGGGATTCTGCAGAACGAGGAAGCGATGGGGCCAGAGAGGTTAATTAGAGAAACACTGCTGGAGAAGAACTCCAAAGTAGGTTTTGAAGGAGAAGATGGAAATGGGTCCGTGGGAGGAGGGGCAGGGAGGCATAATGGGCTCGAGAAAAGGCGTGTGCCGAGCAAGTGGGTCCTAAGCAGAGGACAGAAGGCCCCTGCCAAGTTCCCCTTGATTCTGAAATGCTGTTGGGGGGGGGGGGCAGGGGAGCGGCAGGGAGGAGATGTGTTTCAGTTCAAGGGAAAACTGATTTTTAAACCTGAAGGTACAAAACAAGGGAAATTAAGTGTGATTATTTGCATAACAAAAGGATTCTTTGTCTCACCAAAGGACTCCCAGCAGGATTTCTTTAAATAATTCTTGTTGACTTTGACTTGACTTGAGGGAGGGAGGAAAAGGCCTGAGTGATGTTCTGGGTGCCCACGGAAATGTCCACACAGGTCCCTTCCAGAGAGGCAGTGCGGGGTCGCACCAGGAGGTGAGGGCCGGCTGGCCAGGAGGAGGGAGGGATTTTTGGCTTTGGAGCGGGAGAGGGGCGTGTTGCAGAGTGTTTGCCAATGATTGTTCTAGCAGAGAGATGTGTAGGATGGATGGGAAGGGGGCGGGGAAGAGGGAGAGACTCGTGACTGACACGGGGAACAGGTGGGAGGTGCTGAGCGCCCAGGCGAGCGGTGCTGTGGGAATGCAGGAAAGGAGGCGGGGAGGGGAGGACCGGGCAAAAGAGCAGTGTGGAGGCCTCACTCCGCAGACCTTGGGTGGGGACCGAAGTCACAGCCCCCTCCTGGTGGTGGAGCTGCGGGGAACCGGAGTGTTGAAAATGGCAAAGGAGCTGGTCAGATGGGGGAGGCGATGGGAGTTTATTTGGGGGCTGGATCTCTCCAGCAGGGACACCCAGGGCAGCTGGAGAAACCGATCCAGACGCCCCCCCAAGAGGTGGGCCAGTATGCGGGCACCTGCAAAGGGGCAGGTGACAGGTCAGAGGCTGAACTGGTGACAGCAGGGTGGTCACCCAGGGTTTGAAGAGGGGAGAGTGGAAGGTTTGAGAGTCACCCCCAGTTAGGAGGAGGACGGGAGGAGGGTCAGTGAGGGGCCCGGGGGAGAGAGATGTCACGCTTGTCCCACCAGGAGGGATGGGAAGGGAGCATCCACAGAGCTCCTGGCACTGCACCTGCCTTGTCTTCTTCAATCCCGATCACTCCTCTGGGAGTAAGGATGTGATGATGGACAGCGGGGCTGCCTGCCAATTATTAGCTGTGTAACTTGAGGCAAGTCTCGAGCCCAGTGGAGCTTTCTGGAATGATGGAAATGTTCTCTGTCTCACCATTAGCCACATGTAGCTGTTGAACACTTGAAATGGGGCTAGTGCGACCAAGGAACTGAATTTTAAATTTCATTTTGTTTTAGTTGATTTAAATGTAAATAGCCACATGTGGCTAGTGGCTCCCATTCTGGATGGCAAGGCTCTAAGCCCTGCAGCTCGGTTTCTTGGTGTGCACGGTGGGGATATCATCACGCCCTCTCACAGGGGCGCCGTGAGGATTAATGGGTTAATACGTGGAGTTAGAACAGGGCCTGGCAGCAGCATTACTGTTCATGCCGCCGCTTTACAATGAAAGGGAGCTCAGAGAAAGAAAGTCACTTGCCCTGGGCGGCACAGCTGGTGAGCAGTGGCCCTGGGGCTGGAGCCCCATCAGTCTGACCCCGCTGCTTTGCTTAGCGCTCTCCCACATGGGGCCCTGGGTGTGTGTGTTTGTCGGAAGGAATTGAGCTGAGTGGTGAGATGACCACAGGGACCATTTCCACACTAGGGCCTGGTCCCCCACGGCAAGTGCAGCAGGGAGTAGAGGGGCCTGTGGATTGGGGGGCGGGGGCTGCGGCTTGGGGAGCTTAAAGAAAACAATTCCAAGCAAGAGTGTGAAGGAGAAAGCAGACTGCATGGGGTTCAGGAAGAAACAAGAAGGGAGGAAATCGGGCTAATGGCTTAGAAGAGCAGGTCAAGAAGTCTGACTGGCAAAGGAGGGAGACAGAAGTCAGTGGTTCCAAAGAGACGGGGAGATGGGAGGGTCCACAGCAGTTCTATGTGACTGTGCCAGGTGGGAGGGCTCTGGAGCCCAGTTAGGGCTTCTGCACAGGGTGAACTTCTCTCCCTCCCTTCCCCCTTGCTGCTCGTGATTCTCCCTCCTGCCCTCCCCCAGCCTCCTCTTCCTGCCCTACTTGCCTGACCCATCAATGGGCAGCTTCGGCTCCTCCTCTCCCCATCCCCATTCCTGCCCTCGTCACCAGCTCTGGGTGTGTGGGGAGGTCTCCCACATGTATCTCCACACTCCAGTGGGTGGGCGAGAAGGAGCAGAGAAGAGAGACGCTGAGCCGCGGTGACAGGAATGACATTTTGACTTGAAAATTGCCGGAGAAGAAATGGCACAGGCTGTGTGGGCACGGGCAGAGCCCAGGCACTTTCCTGGGTGACCTTTCCAAGCTGGGAGGGAGCTGGGTGGTTGCTGGGAAATCTCAGGGGATGGCCTGGCCCCCAGCTCACTCGGATCCTGGCTGCCCCTCCATGTGGCAGGACGGGCTTCAGGGTTGAGGCCAGGCAGGCATGGCGTGGGGAGTGGGCAGGGACTCTGGGTGGGGGCCACTGGGATAAGCCAACTCTGCACTTATAGTTTGCAAAGCAAGCTCATGGATTCAGACTGGAAGAGCTGAAAGGGTTAGAGATCATCTAAGCCGGGGGCTTTCATTTCACTGGCTTGAAATGCCAGCGAAACCTATGGAAACTCTCCTTTGAGAAATACATTTATTCATTAGTTCATTCCAAAAACATATTTAATGAACAGTCACCAAATGCCAGGCACTGTTCTGGGCACTAGAGATAGACCAGTGATCAAAGAAAACAGGACCCTTGCCCCACAGAGCTCACATTTGAGTGACAGACCATAAAATAAATAAGGAGAAAAATAGACTATCGAATGTCAAATGGTGACAGGTGAAATGGAAGAAAAAGTATGGCAGGGGACTAGGGGATGTCAGAGTCAGGGGACCAGGGGGTTGTAAATGTTAGATATGGTGCTCAGGGCAGGGAGTCACGTCACAGGGTAAAGACCTGAGGGAAGTGAGGAGGTGAGCCATGAACGTGGAAATCTAGGGATAGATGCTCCAGGCCGGGGACAGCAAGCATTCGAAACTCAGACACCCAGTTTCTCTGATGACTTCAGGGGTTCACAGACCCCTAAAGCCCATCCATGGATCCTTCCATGGATCTCAGATGAAGAACGTCTGATAGCAGCCAACTCCCTGGGTTAATGGGGGAGGAAATAGAGGCCCAGAGGGGGACAGGCTTGCTCAAGGTCACACGGAGAGCAGGGCCCAGGACCCGCATCTCCTGACACTCCCCACCTGGTGCAGGAATCCTCTCTGCAGCGTCTCCAGGAAACGGCAGTCTAGTTTCTGCCTGGATGCTGCTAGTGACGGGCAGCTCATCACCGCATGAAGCCGTAGCTTCCATGTCTGGCAGCTGCAGAGATTGACCCGCTGGCCCCTCTGTTGACCTGGATTCTGCCTCCTTTGGGTTCAGGACTGACAGCCTTCCCTCTCTTCTTTGCCAGGTTCACCATCTGCCACAAGACCGAGGTCATGAAGAACACCCTAAACCCAGTCTGGCAAACTTTCTCCATTCCTGTGAGAGCCCTCTGCAATGGGGACTATGACCGGTGAGATGAGAAAGTGTCCCTCCCCAAGCACAGGTGATGTGGGCAGTCCCATCACTGTGGGCGGAGCCTCCCGGAGCTGTGTGCGGGTGCCCGGCACCTCCCTGGGCAGCGTCCACCTTTCATCTCCTCACAGACCTCCCCTCCTCCTGTCCCCCCTCTTCCCTCCCAGTCTGACACCCCCATTGGTGGGAACCTCCCCGGGCTCAGGGGATGAGAGGTGGCTAGGACTCCAGAGACGCCCCGATGGGTGTTGGGGTGCCGTGGCCTGGAGCTCAGCAGCCTGTCTCTTCATTGTTCCCAGTGGATGGGCAGGAGGGGGTGGGACGGTGGCTGTACATGCAGGCAGAGGTGGCCTCGTCCCCGCCAGCTCCAACTCCTGGCTGAGGGACTCTGGGGAGTCAGGATCCCAGGATACTCTCTGCCAGCCAAGTTGCCATCAATGGGGGTGACGGGTGGAGCGCAAAGAGCTCGTGGAGTTTCCTGATGCTACAAAGGCTGCTCTTATTACACTGTAGCTATTGTCATCATCGTTTGAGTGGAGACTGTGGAGCGTAGACACCGGATACCTGATTTCTAATCCTGCCTCTGTGACTAAAAAGCACTTCAACCTGGGCAAACTTTGACCTTTCGGAGCCTCAGTTTCCTTCTCTGTAAAATGGGTATTTAAATGTCTACCCACCTTATAGGGCTGCTTTGAAGCTCACACGACACAACCTACACAGGAAGGCTCTGGTGTGCATAAAATACCAAATTCAGCATTTTGTCCCCAAATGTTTATTGACTCCCTACCGTGCACCAGGCACTGCGCTGGATGCTGGGAAGTCAGCGGGGAACAAAACGCACAGTCTTCACCCTTCACCCAGCCTCCTGGAGTTTATGTGCTAGTCGGGGAGGCAGACACTAATCCAATAATCACACAAAGAAACACATAATTACAGATTGTGGTGAGTGCCGGGGGAGTGGGGCACGTAAGATGGGATTGGTCTGTGTTAAGTCATGAGAACCAGCTTGGTTTCCTGCTGATTGCTGTAGCTGGTGGGCGTGCTGGCCGGGGGTCCGTGGGCAGGGCTGCCCGGGCAGGCTTGAGGAAGCTGGGCCTCTGCTGGCCACTCCGATGGGAACACTGGGACGTCAGAACAGACAGCTCAGGGCATCCTGGCTCGTGGCACTGGCATCAGCTCTGTGGGACCCTGCTCACAGTGGCTACTGACAGTGGTGTGGTGGGGTGAGGGGGAGGAAGGAGCAGATGAACAGCCTCCAGGAACCCCTGGCTCCCTCCCTATTAGGCTGCTGATCCAGGAGAGGAGGTGGCTCCTCTTCCTGCCTCTTGGCCAGACGGAAAAGCCACAGTCTGTCCCACAGGTGGTCACCAAACACCTATTGTGTGCGCAGCCCTGCGCCTCCAGCTGTGTGGCATCAAGGGAATGTAGCGCATTTCCATCGTCAGTGAGCTTGTAGACTGACCGCAGGGAGCTCAGATGTGCACACATGTACTTTAGATAGATAAATAATTGTGCGAGGTGAGACTGGAGACAAAAATAGGCATTCCTGAACCTGTTACGTGTCTGGCCGGGTCCTGGGGCTTCTGGAGTGGTGGGGAAGGGGGGGACAGTCTGGTGGGAGCAGTAGGGTCTAAAGGGGGCTCAGGGAAGGCTGGAAGATGTCGGGGGGGGGTGGTTGCTGGGGACAGAGGGGTGGGAAGAATGATTCAGATGGAGAGACATGCAGAGGAAGGGAGGGGAAATTCAAGGTTGGGGGATGGGAGAGCATGGCAGTTCAAGTCGCACGGGGTGGAAGGAATTGGAATCTCCAGCCCCACTGTCCAGAGGTTGTTGGGGATCAAACTGACCCCCCACAACCCTCATCCCTAGGGAGGGGCTCCCAGGGCCTCAGAACCTAGCCTTGTGAGGGACAGTGAGGAGGGCAGCTGGGCTCAGAGGCCTGGGCTCACTGTTCAGCCACTGGAGGAGGTGAGGGTGTGGTGGGAGGGTGCTGGTTGTGGGGAAAGCCCAGAGGACCCCGTCTCCCACTCCCAGGCTGAGCCCCAGCCCGGTGTCCCTCCAGGATGATTGGGCAGCTCAGGCTCTTCTCCACAGCCAGGAACAGATTGACCGTGACGTGACTGACAGCGGTGTTAATGGAGGGGGCCAGGCATGTCACGCTGGCCTGGTAATCAAGCAGGCCTGCCCCCCCCCCGCCGAGCCCTAGGGTAACCCACATACCCAATAGCCACTTGGAGGTGCCAGAGTCTGGGAGGCCCTCTCAGGGCAGGAGAGGGAGGGCCTTGGGCAGGGAAACAAGGCCACTGTTCCTCTCCTTCCAAGGCACCTCCTGAAGCCTCATAGAACTCATTTGGTTAAATCCGGCAGCCATGTCTTCCCAGCCAGCCAGGCACTGGGCGCCGTGTTGGGTACTATGGCGGTACTGAGCTATCAGATCCAAGCCTCCCTGTTAGGTTTCCCCCAGGCCAGGGTGGGAGACAGACAGGTAATAATAGTGACAGCAAATGCTCTGGTAACACTTCCATGGTAATTTATGTATACGAACTAGTTAATCCTCCCAGCAATTAATACTGCCTCTGGAAAACGGGACTAATACTATCCACATTTTACAGGTCAGGAAACTGAGGCCCAGAGAGGTTAAGTAACTCACCTGGGATCTGGCTGCCAGTCAATGGCAGAACCAGGACTTGAACCCAGGCAGGCTGGTTCTAGAATCTGTGTTCTTAACCCAGTGCTCTGCTGCCACATGGCCAAGATGTGGTGTGAGTGGGGTGCGTTCGGAGGAAGGGTCTGTGAGCCTCGCTCAGGGGCTCGGGGCAGGTCTGCTTTAGGACTGGAGGTGCAAGGAAGACTCAAAGGGCCGTTACATCTGCCTGGATGTGGGCATGAAAGAGACGCAGAGCGTTAGGGTTTGGAGCTTGGGGACAAGAGGAGATGGTGTCACCAACAGAGATGGGAAGTGTGATACAGAGCCAGAGTAGGTGGCTGTGGGACAGGCATGGCAGTGCTCGGCTGAGGGGAGAGGAGGACAGAGGTCTGGGAGTCCCCAGGACAGGGGCTGGCAGAGGGCAGGTGCCCGAGGCCCCGTGGGGGATGCCACGGGTCAGGAGCAGGAGAAAGAAAAGGAGACGATCAGAGAGAGAGGCTGGGAGCAAGAGGGGGGCGTCTGTGGTCAGGGAGCTGAGAGAGGAGGATTCAAATAGAAGCATCGTCTACTGTTGTGAAAAAGAGGGCCAGAGGGGGAGAACCAGGGATCTGCTGAGAAAGAACAGTTTTCTAAGAATGATGGGTGGAAACCAGTTAAAGATTACTGAGTTTTTAGGACCTGGGCCTAATTGTGTCCTAATTGGTTTAAATACATTATCTTATTTTGTGAATTTAAATTTCACGGTAATCCTAGAAGGTAGGTACTAGTGACATGCCCATTTCACAGATGGGGAACCGGAGGACTGGAGATTATGTAACTTGTGAGGGCAAGGAGAAGGTATATTTCCCTTCTCTGGAGGTCACATCTGGGCTGGCCCCCTGCCTTTGCTATGTCTCCAGTCCACATGAGGCCAAATCCAAGGGACCCAGCTGAGCAGAGCTGGAGTCAGAGGAGATGGATCAGGGACAGAGCCAGTCAGCCCTCCAGTGGAGTGAAGTGGGGTGACGATAGGAAGCACTTCCCCTGCCTTTTCTGAAGTCCCCCTATTCTCTCCTTGAACATCCCGTTAAGCCAGATGCCCCTGGGTCGGGCTGCTGTCACTCGCTCACTCACCCCTCAGTGCTGACTGAGTGGATTTGAAGAGGGTGGTGAGGGCACTGGGTCCTCACCCAGAGAGGGGAGCAGATTCCCGGAGGTGGGGGCTCTCACATCACTGACACCTCACACATGCAGACGCTTAACTCAGAGAGAGGAGGTGAAGTCGCCACCCAGGGTTGCATGGTGCCCCACCGTCCAGGCTTGCCGCTCGCCCCAGGAAGGCCCAGACACTCCTCTTCCTCCTCAAGCCTCCTGGAGTGTTGGACTGACTCAGTCAGTTTAGGGCGAACCCCTCGGGGCCTGTCAGCCCTCGGGACTTGTAAGCAGCAGGGAGATGTGCCTTCTCCTGCCCGGGAGAGGCTCATTAGGAGGCGACCTGCAGCTCGGCCTGGAGGAGACTAGATGGAGCTGCTTGGTGTGCTGGGAGGGAAGCCTGGCGTCTCTGCCAGTGCCCCTCATCCCTGCTGGCCTGCTGAGGCTCACACACACCCGGCTCTGTCACTCTGGCCCCAGGTGTCCAGAGACCCACAGGACACTGGCTCCCAGCCTTGAGGCCTGGCATCGCTACTGACCAGCTGTGCGATTTGGGGAAAGCCACACACTCTGGGCCTCTTTGTGATTTTGTGGAAGGAGGAGGGGGTATTGTTATTGTGTGGCCCACTTCACAAAGTTGTTAGGAGTTCTTAGTCAGCCAACAGATGTTTAATAATAATATTCATAGTACTGAATATGTGCTAGGTACTGTTCTAGAAGCCGAAGATACAGAAGGGAACAAAACAAAATTCCCTGGCCTCGTGGAGTTGACATTTTTGTGGTGAATGGGAATTGTTTGAGGGGACAGGAGCTTGCAAAAAGGCTTGAGTGTTTTAGACGGAAGAGAATGACACATGTCCAACGCTGACTGTGAATGATGTGGTTGACCTCTCACAGCCACTCCAGAGTGGGTGTGATTGTCCCATTTCACAGAGGAGTAAACAGAGCCTCTGAGGGTTAAGCCAGTTGCACAGGGCCACACAGCGAGAACCTGGAGGAGCTGGGATTGCCACCCAGGGTCCTGCCCTGGAGCCTGCCATCGTCCTTCTCCATCTCACTGCCTCCCAGATTAGGGCCTCCATGTTCTGAGCCTTTGTATGCCAAATAAGATGCTCATTTTGTGGAGAGCAGAGGCCCATTTCATTGACTCACCCCCAGGAGCCCCTTCTCATGGGTGCTGCCCCAGAAGTCACAGTCAGTCTGACACGAGCCTTTGTTGTGCCTGTGCTCAGGGGTTGGAAGCCGGGTCTGCAGCCCACATGACACGTGAGGTGACCTGGGGCAGCCCAGCCAGGGGTGGACAGCCACAGAACTGTCAACAGAGTAGTCAGAGTTGTCTCTGGCTTCTGCCACTGCCTTCCTCTGTCTCTGGGCACTGTTTCTCTCACCTCCTGCTCCCCCAAGGCTGGAGGTTGCAGCCTCCAAGCTAATCTGACCCCCAGGCTGCAGCCATCCCTGGAGCCTCGATTGTGATTACGGCTGGACTGAGTTTGCACAGGAATCTCACACTCAGTGGTCTCAACCTCAGCTGCAGGTTCAAGTCCCTTGAGGAGCTTTTAACAATTCCCCGGCCCAGGCTGCACCCCAGACCAATGGATTCTGAATTTCTGGGGTGAGGCATAGGCATCAGGATTGCTAACGCTCCCCAGGGGATCCAGTGTGCAACCGAGTTTAAAAACCAGTGCTCTGGGCCAGCCCCGTGGCTTAGCGGTTCAGTGCGTGCGCTCCAATACTGGCGGCCCAGGTTTGGATCCCGGGCGCACGCCGACACACCGCTTCTCCGGCCATGCTGAGGCCATGTCCCACATACAGCAACTAGAAGGATGTGCAACTATGACATACAACTATCTACTGGGGCTTTGGGGAAAAAAAGGAGGAGAATTGGCAATAGATGTTAGCTCAGAGCCGGTCTTCCTCAGCAAAAAGAGGAGGATTGGCACGGATGTTAGCTCAGGGCTGATCTTCCTCACAAAAAAAAAAAAAGAGAGAGAGGAAAAGAAAAAAAGAAGCTTAAAAATATATATGTATTAAAAAAAACAAAACAAAACCAGTGCTCTTGTCGGAAGAGGTCAGCGGCTCTGGCTGCACGTTAGAATCAGCCAGGGGACCTTTTGAAACTAACTGTGCCTGAGTCCTACACAGACCCATTAAATCAGGCCCTCTGGCCGTGGGATTTTTAAAAAATCTCCCCAGTGATTTTTTTGGGTGTCCAAGGCTGTGGCTGTGACTGGGGTCCTCCTACAGCCTCTGAGTGTGTGGCCCTCACTGTCCTAGTTGCCTGAGGGGCTGGTGTTGGTGATCCGAGGAGAGGCACTCTGCTGGGGTCGCTGAAAGTCCCCTGCAGAGCTGGAGGGCTCTGGGGAAGGACTGGGAGACTTCAGCATTGTGAGCAGGGTCCTGGCTCAGACCCTCTCCACCTGAGCAAGATACTGGGCGCCCTTAGGGCTCAGTCAGTTTCCCCATCCGAAAATAAGGGGGCTGGAGGTCATCACTCCAGAACATTCAAACAGAACCACTTGGGAAGCCTTTAAATAAGATTCTTGGGCCCTGCCCAGAGATGCTGAGAACTGGGCCTGGGGGTCTGTGTGTCTGAAAATCTCCCTGGTGATGTGCCAGGTGTCCAAGCTCGGATGCCACTACAGTCACTTCCAACCTTATCATTCCAAAAATAGGAAATTGCACAGCCCAGGTCCTCAGGCTCGGTGTCCCTGATTTAAGTAAATTTCATATGAAAAACTATCCAGTGTGGCCAAATGCTAATGTGGAGAGAAGAAGGCACTTTTATAGAGACCCACCAGCATGCTGGGGGGTTTTATCAACTTGTCTTTGCAGCTATTCTGCAAGACCGTCATTATCCCTACTTTAAAATGATGGTTTGTGGCTCAGAGAGATTAAATGACATCTCCAGGTCCCACAGCTAAGGGCCTAGCGTCCGAGTCCACACCCCAGCCTCTTTCTAGCTCACCAGCCCACCTTTAGGGGCCTAGTTTTTTTTTCTTTCCACAGTAATTCACCTCAGAGAGACATAGTTTTTTTTTTCAACAATTTAAAGGAATCCTTTAAATGGTGGGCTTCTACACTCGCCCCATTTTACATTTTGGTAAGAAAAATCCAGTTGGTGCACAGCCTACTGGGCATTCCTTCATTCCAGAACAGTTTCTGCACCCTGCGCCCATGCCCCGTGGAGGCTCATCGGAAGGGAGACAGCGCCTCCTTCTGGGGCTCTGGAACCCCAGGGCCAATTCCTCCCAGACCGGAGGAGGTGGGCCGCAGCCATGGGCGAGACAATGAGATGTTAATAGAAGACAGGCCCAAGCAGCCGCCTCTGTGTACCCCATTTAGAACTGAAGGCTGGAGACCCCAGTTCCCCTTGCCTCTCCCACCTCCCCAGACCTGGACCCTGCAGTGGGACCCTGGCAGCTGCCCGACCCCGGGCATCACTGGAGGACCACTGGCACCAAGGGTTAACCCACAACCCTCCACCTCCTTCCTCCGCCTCTGGTCCGCTAGCCCGTTGCCATGGAAACGGGCTAAAAATAAACCGGGCTCCCAAAGCCCAGCCCTATACACAGGAGTCAAAACAAACTAATTAAAGCAGCCAGGCTAAAATGTGAAGATAATTACACCCTCACTCAGGAGCCAGTCATGGGGTGGAAAACCTCAGCAGGCCATCCCCGAGCCAGGGCCCCTGGGCCCACCCCTGATGTGGGGTGCCGGCTCCACACCACTCAGACTCCTCGGAGCCTGGCCTCCCACCACGCAGTCTTGTTACCCCTCCCCAGGAGAGCCCACCCTGCTTAGGCTTGAGATCCGGGGGTGCCACTCCCACTGCCATGGCCCCACCCCTGATAAATTCACAGTCTGGCTTCATGCTGGGACCTGTGCCCCATCTGGGGTGGCCAAGGAGAAAGTGGGGTGAATTGAAGTCTGAGGCTGTTTTTTCACATCCTCCCTGAAATTTGGGAAAGTCCCTACACAGCTCTGGGTCTGCCTCTGTCCCTAAGACCTTTGCTAAAAGGCCTCAAGTTCCTTGTCTAGTGCCTTTGTCCCTTGGGCTGCTGCCTCCCCACCAAGGGCTGTGGAGCCTGGTGGGTGTCCCTGCATCCCCTTCTGGCCCAGGAGTATGAGAAGGCCCTGTCCTCAAGCCACGTGGGTGCTGGGTCAAGCCCATCCCACCACGGGCCCTTTGCCTTACAGGACCATCAAAGTGGAGGTGTACGACTGGGATCGAGATGGCAGGTAAGCCAGCAGAAGGTCAGCAGGGATGGGGGCAGCCACCGCGGGAAGGTTGGGCCCTGCCCCCACATGGGGAGAGCTGTGCCCAGGCCCCCACCCATGGCAGCTCTGGGGATGAGGGGGCCTGGTTGTTCCTGTGGGAGGTCCACTGCCCCAGTGGCTTGTCCCTGCCCAGCTCCACTGAAAAGCCAGAGGACTTCTGTCCTGCAGGACGTGGTGCGAGGGGCATAAGAGGCCTCTTTTCCTCAAACAGCTGCCTAGTGGCCAGCCAGTGCCTAAAATCTCCCCACATTTTGGAGAATTTAGGATTTTCTGAAATGTGCGCGTTCTAAGGTACAGATAATAGTGACCTGCTGGGCATTCATGGACACGTTCTCTGTGTGAGGCTAAGCATTGTGGGGTGACCAAGATGCAGAAGATGAGCTCAGCCCCCAGAGACTCCCCACAAACTAGCGGGGAGGCCCTCAGCCCATGAGAGGAGCTGTTTGCAGGGAGCAGGGCCTGAGGGAATGGACTATGAGAAGGGTAAGGTTTGACACACACGAATGGACTCAGGAGCCATGAGGCAGGGCCGAGCCTGGCCAGTGGGAGGGCGGTTCCCGCTCGGGGTCTTTGAGAGGCCAGTGCCTTCCCCTTCTGCAGATTGAAGTGCCCCCAAGGAGCCAGTGTCGCTGGGAATTCACAGACAAGGACAAGAACAGACCTCTCACAGCGTTAGTCCAGAACGAGCCTTGGCTCCTACCAGTCTGTTGAACGAAATCCAAATATGTCATCCTGACTTGTGTGACCCCTCCATTCTGAGGCACTACCAGGGAATGTCATACAGGGGCTTTAAGCCCATAATCTCCATTGGTACCTCTCAAGTCTGTGATGTGGACAGGGGATATCATAATGTGCACACACAGCTCTAAGTTAGGCCCAAGGCCCTTCCAGCCTGAGACCTTCCTGTAGAGACACTCCAGTGCCAGCACTACCTCTGTTAACCCACTTCAGGTTTCCACCCATGAGTTGCCTCATCTTACCCTGGAGTTCCCCATACTTCTCCTTTACCAGGGAAAGCTAGGGACAGCCACCAGATGCCATTGGGTCCTGCCATCAAGGAGCTCATGTGTCTGAATGCTGAGAGCTGTAAATATGTAGTCAACATGCAGTGTGGGCTCAAGGAGGGGCAAGGCCCCAGGGACACCTCCCCAGCAGGCACCCCAGACCACCACATTGCCCATGGTCCTCTAGCAGGGACAGTGAGGGTGAAATGCAGCCAACCACAGGGGAGATGGGAGTTCTGCTCTGTATGAGGTTTTGCTGCACTTAACATAAATACACGCTTGTCGGGGCAGAGCCCCAGAAGGTGCGGACACCTCCAGCTGCCTGGATGGACATAGTGCTAATTGTTTTTTCCAAAATGTTATTGGAAAAACGTCAAATACATGGAAAAGTAGAGAGAAGAGTTTAACGAACACTTTTAAGCCTAGCGCCTGAATTTAACAAGTGTTACGTGTTGCCATATTTGCTTTATCTATGTTTTGCTGATGTAATTTAAGTTACAGACATCATGGCTTTTTGGCCTCTAAATATCTCATTGGGAATGTCTAAAAAATAAGGGCATTTTCCTACATAACTACGAATGCCATTATCACACCTGACACATTGAACAATAATTCTTGAATATCATTTCATATTCAAATTTCCCCAGTTGTCCCCAAAATACCTTTTATTGCTGGTTTGTTCAAACAAGAATCAAAGTGGAAGTGGGTCTCATTCTCCAGGGCCCTACTCTTTGCTAAATAACCGTTGGGTTTCTTGCTCCATGGGTGACACTGGACTCTTCCCAGGGACCCAGCCTCTCTGCTGGCGTGTGCCCCTGGAGCAGTGGCCGGGGCAGAATTGGGAGCCAGAGGAAGGGATGTGAGAGGTGGGGGGATGGGCAGAGGTGGCACGAAGCCTGGGCCTTGTGGTCGCAGCAGCAGCCTTCCCTTGCAGCCATGACTTCATTGGAGAGTTTACCACCAGCTACCGGGAGCTGGCCCGAGGGCAGAGCCAATTCAACATCTACGAGGTGAGGTGGACGCCCAAAGTCTGGGGTTTGCTCTGATGATACCTAGCTCCCAGTCGTGGAGGACTACCACGAGCCACGACTGGGGTGTTTGCATGTTCTCCTGTGAGGGGGCTGTCACTGTCCCATTCCGCAGTTGAGGAGACTGAGTCTCAGAGAAGTTAGGGGACTTGCCCAAAGACAAAACCTAGGCTTGTCTGATTCCAAATCACTGAGTTATAGTTCCCCCCGAAAGAGCACTTACAACGGGGTGGGGGATAGAAGTGGTGGTAGGGCAGAAGGTGGGGGACAGTATCACAAAGTTCTGGGCCTGAGGTCCTGAGTTCAAGGTGGCCCTCTGCCTTCAATCAGAACAGTTTCAGAGCCTGCTGAATACCTTATCTTTTCCGGAAGGAAAGAGTCAGAGGAACAGGAGTCAGGATACCTCAGTCTAGACCTGGAGAACCTTGGACAAGGCATCTAGTCTCTGTGGAGAGAAAGCGTTGGCCCTCAAAGGATAGTTTCTGCCGCTGAGCCGCTTCTTGTGTGTGCTCTCCCTCCTGGGAGGTCCTCCCACCTTCCAGATCTGGCTTAGGTCCTTCTCCTCTGGGGGCCTTCCCAGCCACGCCGGCCTCCTGTGCTTTCTCCCTCCTCTGAACTTGCTGGACAGCACAGTTCATGCCAGACCCGCTTAACTGCAGATACTCACAACCCTCATAACTGCCTGGGTTCATAGCCTGACTACCACGTCCTAGCCGTGTGACCTTGGCTAAGTTCCTGAACCACTCTGTGCCGTGCACCCTGAGAATTAAATAAGTTACTAGAACAATGCCCGGCCCCTAGCGAGCAGTGCGTCAGTGCTGTCTTCTAGTATCATCTGTTGAGCACCCGTGTGCTAGGAGATTTACATTTCACAACCGTCCTACAAACTGGCTCTATGCTCACATGAGCAGCACTCAGCGAGGGCAGGTGAAGAGCTGGCTTTGACTCCATCACTGAATCTAAAGCCCTCCATAATTCTGCTCCCTCACCCTGCATCTCTGTTCCCAGTGAGCAGGTCTTGTTATCCAGCTAGACTGAAGCTCCCCAAGGGCAGGCAAGGTGACAACCCATTCTGTTGCCTCCCTTCATGTTGGCCTGGGCAGTGCTGGGCGCACAGTAGGTGCTTATTATACATCCACACATGGAATTCAGCTGAATGAGGAGGCTGCCGTGAAGATGGAGCGTGGGCGAATTTCTTTGAAAGGGCTCTGATCCTCAGAGTTAATTGCTTTGTTTTCCGCATCGACAAAGGGAAGGGCTGTCTTTGTCCCCCCACCCAGGCAGAGAGGAGCGGGCTCTGTCTTTCTCTGGCTTCCTTGAAGGAGATTTTTAGGGAAATGAAGGGAAGAGGTCAGATCTCCTGGAGTTTGGCTTCTAAGGGTGCTTGACAGGCTCAGAAGAGGCTGTGATCTCTCAGGCTAAAAGCAGGAAAGGTTGACTGACTGGTTTTCTTGGTCGTTGATCCCTGCTCCCTTGCAATCAACCAGAGAAACCGCAGCGCTGGGAAGCAGAAGTGCTGTCTTCACACACAAGAAATGCTATCAGGTAGAAAAGGAACTAAATTCTGGCGCCCCCCCGGGGCAGGCCTTGCCCTGCGGGGGGTGTCACTGGGAGGCCGGTTTGGGCTCAGGAAGGCCTTTCTAGAGTCTGAACTGCCTGAAGAGAGAACAGGCTTCTGCCATGAAAGACCCTCATCTCGGGCCTGGCGTCCCCTGGGTGTCGGACTCAATGTCTGTCTGCTGGCTCCTCCTCAGACCCAGCTGAATGCACTGGCTGAAGTCTCCCCCAGCCCTCGCCTCCCTCTGGCCAGCTGGCTTCATCCCTCTGCTGTCATCCGGGGCTACAGCCCCTGGGGAGTCATCCTTGACGCCTCCTGCCCCTCGCCCCACAGCCAGTCCACGCCTGCACCCTACTTCTTCTACCACCTAAACATTCTGACCTTTGTTCCCTTCACTCCCATCCACACCCGCTGTCACCATCTCCCCTGTGTGGGGCTGTGCAACAGCCCCCTGACGGCCTTTCCGCCTCCTTCTGTCCTCCACTCAGTAAATGGGAATCTGACCACATCACTGCCCCGCCTAAAACCTGGCTGTGCATCCCACCCACTGCCTCAGCCTGGTTCACACGGGGGAGTGGGGAGGAGATTCAGAAAAAGCCCCCACCCCAGCTAAGATCCTACCTACCTATGGGGTACAGTCCAAGCTCCTTCACATGGGTACCATGCCCCGGCTACCTGCAGTGCAGCCGTTGGGCGTGTGGAAGTAGACGCGTACACCCACCCCTAGGAGGCCCCTAGGGACTGGCCCTGGCCCCTTCCCTCTGCCCACCCCCACTTCCAGCCCCATCACGCCATCTGAGGCTCTCCGAACTGCCATGCTGGCTCAGCCTCCATGGCTTCATTCACGCCGGTGCCTCCTCTGGGGCCCCTCTCGCTCTTCTTCCCCTGGTTGGGTCTGCTGATCCTTGGAGACTCCTTTTGCATGTTCCTCCTCCAGGAAGCCTTCTCCGCCTGCACACCCACTCCACCCCACAGTCTGAAGTAGATACCTCCTCCTCAGTGCTCCTGTGGCCCCCTGTGGCTATTACCTGTTTATCATACTTCCCCCACCAAAAACCATGAAGTCCTCAAGGGTGGGGCTGGTGTCTCACTCACTGTTGTATCCCCAGAGCCAGCACAGCTCCTGGCCCCTGGGAGCCCCTCAGTGCCCCCTTGCACAGGATGGCAGACCCCAGACCTGCCCTGGGGCCGTAGGGACCCTGGGGATGTGAGAGAGGGAGAGGAGAAGGCTTACAACTCCAGCCCAGGAGTCGGGAGGTTCCTGGCCTGGCCCCTAGGGGGCGCTGGTCCACTGTATGGATCTTCAGAACGCAGCCCCTTAGGGCTGGAGAGGCTGGTAGTGGGAGTGGGGAGTGTGCTCCGGAGCGCATGAAACCTCAGAATAAACAGGGCGCTTCTTCAGCGCCCACTTCACATAAAGATCTGAGAACAAAACATTGCTTTAATATTAAAACAGTTATAATTAGAGAGCGGAAATGAGGAATACGGACTAATTTAAAGATAACACAGAAGACTTCAAAGAAATGTGCTTGTGGCCAGTTCTCTGGATGACGCCCAGCCTCCCCGGAGTCCGTGTTTGTTCTCCTCAGCTGGGAGGGCTATTTTGGAGTAAGAGTTTGAGAGGCACTCAGTTCTAAAAGTTCCACACCCTCATGGGACAGATTGGGAAACTGAGGCACAGTGCAGCATTCGGCTGCAACTGTGCCCCCATCTCAACAGGATACTAGAACGCCTAGTAAGCTGTTTTCCCATGAACGTGTCTGTGAGCACCGCGCCATCTGGGTGCCTTTGTGCCTGTGGAGGCCCCGAGGTTGTTCTGGGCCTTTCTTCCCAGGCTCTCAGTTTCCACCTGCACAGCTTGCCAGCTCTCCCACCTGAACCTCCCACCTGTGCCCCAAATCCAGCTCTTCCTTCCTTCTCTGTCTATCTGCTCACCCCGATCCTCCCTCTCTCCTGCCCCACAGCCACGCCCAGGGCCCAAGATCTGTGGTCTCTTCTTGACAATGCTGTTTTGCCACAGCTTAGTACCTGTTCCAACACCCCCAGGCCCTCCTTACCTCTCACCTGGACTAGTGGTGGTGGTGGTAGTAATAAAAAATAATAGCAGCTAACACCTACATGGTACTTACTACACTGCAGACCCTGTCCTGAGCACTTTACTTGTGTTGACCCAGTAATTCCCCTATCTTTCTATGACGTAGGTGCTAAGGAGACTGAGGCAAAGGGAGGTTAAGTAACTTGCCTAAGGTCACACAGCTATTAGGTGGCAGAACCAGGCAAACATCTCCCTGGATGTCCCTCCTTCTCCCCTTGTACTCACTTCCACCAGGTCCCAGCATCCTGGAGCCTGCTGTGATCTTGTCCCCGATCAGAGTTCCCCGCTGGCTGCTGGGTGATGTTCAGACATTTAACTTGGCATTCTAGGCTCTCTTCCATCCAATTTACTCTTCTACCCCATGGTTCTGCAATCAAACTAGAACCCAGTTCTGTCCACCGCCCCCATGCCCTCCCTCCATCTCTCCATGCCCAAATCCTTCCTGTCCCTCGATGTCTGCCTTCGACACCGCCTGCTCCAGGGAGCCTCCATTGATGCTCCCACCTGGAATGGCCCTTCGTTCCTCCAATTCCCTTCACGTTTCTGACTCCCCTCTATTGCTGGCTCTTGTCACCTATCGCCCCAGGACATATCTTCTTTCTCCAACTGGAGTGAAGATTCTAGAGGAAAGAAACTGGTACCTCTCATCCCCACCCTATGAATATTTGTGAAGGAATGTGTCTGTATTTGCCATCAAGGTGGCACCCACGTATGCAACGCTGGCCTGAGGGCAGGAACCTGGTTTCTAATTCTGTCACTACCCAGACCAGCTGTGTGACCTTAGGCAAATCACTTGGTGTCTCTGTGCCTTCCTTTCCGTATCTCCAGAAGCGGATATCAGTACTCATCCAGACAGAAGAGACCCTGCTAAAGACGCTGCCCCTGCAGGCAGAACAAGAGATGGGGGAGAGCGAGGGGAAATGAGTTCACCAGAAACCTACAGACCACGGAGCAGAGCGGGTGTGAAAACCGCCTTGCTTTGTTTGATGGGAGATTAGGGAAAGGTTGGGCTTAGACTTCCCATGTGAAAAACAAAAGGGCTGGTGAGGCTCACATTAGAGTACAAACGTAGTACCTGTGCAAGACCATGGGGGGCCACAGGGCAAGGTGGCCCCCTGAGCCAGCCCAGGGCTTCTCAGCCTCGGCGCTGGTGGCATCTTGGACAGGATGATCCTCTGTTGTGGGGGGCCGTCCTGTGCGTTGTGTGTGACGTTTACAGCATCCCTTGCCTCTACCTACCTCCCAGTTGTGACAACCAAAAATGTCTCCAGACATTGCCAAATGTCTCCTGGGGGGCACAGATTGCCCTCAGTTGAGCCCACTGCGTTAGCCCACCCACACCTACTGTATACTCAGGCCTGTGATGTAGTCTCTGACGACAGGTCTGGCTTGGAATTAAAGCTTGCACATGGAGAACGCTTAAGGAGGTTCTAACTGCAGGGTAAGGGCGGCAGTCATGGCGGTTTAGCGGGGAACCTCATAGGCCCAGGGCAACCCCAGGGCAGGGTCTTGCAGGAGGAACAGGGAGGATTGGAATTGGCTGAGGGAGGAGGGGAGGGCATTTGGGGTAAGGGGAGCAGCCTGAGCCAACACACGGGGCAGGCGTGGGCAGGGCCCCTTTGCAACATCGGCCTCCTCTGGCTGCAAGGTGTGGAGGGTGTGGGAAAGGAGGTTAAATAAATATTGTTCCAGGTGTGTTTGCTTGTGGGACACTGGGTCTAACTGGGGAGCCCAGTTGTGTAAATCTAAGTGTCAGTCTCTCACAAACCTCCCTGAACCCTCCTCCCCGGAACCCCCGGTTTTCACACCCCACACTCTGCTTGCTGGGGCTGGGGCCACAGCCTGGGGTCAGTGGAAGCCCCGGGGCTCAGCCCTGACTGCTTGGAAAGACTCCTTCTTATCTGTTGTTTCTGCAGGTGATAAACCCGAAAAAGAAAATGAAGAAAAAGAAATATGTGAATTCTGGCACGGTGAGTAGCCGTCCGCTCTCTGCCGGCGGGTGTAGACATTCTGAGCCCTGAGCTAGGTCTGGTGTCAGGAGTCATGCACGTCTGTGTGTGCAGAGTGTGGGAACCACACCTGGAGGGCTGGGGGTGGGGAGGGTTGGGGCCGATGGAGCAACAGCCCAGGGGGTAGACGGTGTGTAGGCGACACAACAGACTGATCAGAATGAGAAATCCCGAGAGAAGCTCCCACAGGCACTTCCTGCAGGAAGGAGAGGAAAAGCAGCAGTATTTACTGGGCCTTGCCCTGGGAAATTCCCCCATGAGGTGCTTTTCACAGGTTGTTTTCTTGAGAGGCAGACATTATCATGTCCTGGTCATCAAAGAGGAAACCTCCCGGCAGCTGGCAGGGAAGTGACTCACCCAGGGTCACAGAGCAAAAAAGTGAGAGAGATGGTTGTCAGCACTATAGTTAGATTCAGAGCTAGCAGCTGCTGTGGGCACTGCCCCCTTAACCGTGACCATCCTGGGGTCACACTGGCCCAGAGGCTTCTCAGGGCTGATCTTTAGGACATTCGTGCATTTATTTAATAAATATTTACTGAGGGCCACCGTGTGCCAGGCGCCGTTCTAGGGTACAGCTGGGAACAAGGCAGACCCCAACCCCTGCCCTCCTGGTGCTTATGTTCTAGTGAGGGGAGACAGAGGACAAATACATATACACACATATCCCCATGTGTGTCAGGTGGTGATGAGTGCTGTGGGAAGAAGTATAATAAGATAAAGGGATAGGGAATGCCAGGGACAAAACTACTATTTTATATAAAGTGGTCAAGGAAAGATGCTCTGAGAAGGTGACGTGAGCAGAGAGTCACAGAAGGTGAGGGAGCAAGTACTAAGGATACTGGGGAAAGAGAATTCTAGCTGTAGGGATCAGCATGTGCAAAGGCCCTGAGGCGGAGCCCACAATGCATTTATAGAACAAGCTAATGTCTTTGCAGTGCAAACACACCCATTTGTACTTTTCCTGTCTCTCCCCCTCTAGAGGTCCATAGCCCCATCAGCTGTTGCAGCCAAACTTAGTCATTCGAGTCAGGCAGACTGCAACTCCAGACCCAGAAGAGGTTGCAGTCAGGGAGCTCTGGGGTTCCTCTGAGGAATCTTATTTTCTCCCTCTGTAAAATGGGGTGGATAAATTATCCCTACTCTGCTTACTGCACAGGGTGGCTGTGACAGACACACGGGAGGTGCAGGAAGACGCAGGCCTGTAAACTCTGCTCATTCAGAGCAGGCTGGCCACCGCTTCTCTGATTGTCACTGTTTCACAGACAGGCCTGGAGTATTATTTCGTTTGTCCCAAGCTGCAGTGTTTCTCAGTGGGCATGCTGTCAGCGTTTGGGGCAGGAGAATTCTTCATCTCACAGGACTTCCCCATACACTGTGGGATGCTTAGCACCCCTGGCCTCAGCCCATAGCTACCAGTAGAGTCCCAGTCATTGTGAGACCCCCAGAACTCTCCCCCACATTCCCAAATGCCCCTTGGGAAGGCAGCACCTTTCCCAGCTGAGAAATCTTGGATGTGCAGCTAAAAATAAAAAGGGTTTGAAAAGCACTGATGCCATCCAGCTTTCTTACTTTAGAGATAAAGAAATGGAGGCCCAGAGAGGAGACGTGATTTGTCCCAGGTCACGCAGTGAGTTAGGGACAGAGCAGGACTAGGCCCAGGGCTCCTGACTTTCCTTTGCTCCAGCATTTCCCAGTCTTCACCATACAGAAATCCCTCAGGTCCAGGATGCTTATGAAAATACAGATGCCCAGGCCAGTTCCCTGGGGTTCCATTTTAGGAGGCCCAGGCTGGGCCCACAAATCTGTGTCTAGTGCTTCTCATACCTTACTTACTATGTGCAGAATCTCCTGGGGTCTTGTTAAAATACCAAGAATCTGCATTTCTAACCAGCGTCAAGGTGATGCTGGTGCTGCTGGTCCAGGGACCACACTTTGAGTGGCAAGTCCCTACATGAATCCCTACGGTCAGGCAGTTTAGGGAATTGCTTCATCCCAGGGCCTGGAGTGGGGTTAGACTCTTGTGAGGAGCTAAAAAAAAGATGAAAGCCCCACCCCAGAAACTCTGATGTAACTGTTTAGGGTTCTCACCTGGGCTGCGAGATGTTTTAAAAGCTCCCCAGGGAGTCTAATGATCATTAGTCAGGGTAGAGGTCACCGCCATAGTCCATTCCTAGTGGAAGGAGGCTTTGTCCACAGAGGGTGGGGGTCTCTGGAGCTCAGTCAGCACTCACAGACCCTCCCATTGCGTTTGAGCTAATGGCTCATTGGCTTTGTTGAGCAGAAGTCTTCACTGACCCTGCCCAGTGAGTCAATAAAGGTGAGTCAATAAACCTGCCCCTGTAGGAGGCTCCCCAAACCCTAGAGTGGAGTTCTCTGACACAGGTCAAAGTTCCTTAGCCCCAGTCTTGCCTCGTTTGATTGATTTTGGCTGCCGGGCTTTCACTTCTCTCCACGATCCTAAATCATCATAATGAGCTGCCAGGTAGCTACCTGTCTTGGCAAAACTGATGCCAAAGTGCCAGGAGACATAAGTCAAGAGGCCTCTGCTTGGGAGAGGGGGCCCAGCTGGTCAGTTACCCCCAGGGAAAGGACAGACTGCTCATGAGGGTCTTGGGTCTGAGAGGGTGGAGATCGAGAGATGCCAGATGCATGAGGTGGGACAAGTAAGGCTGAAGATAAGCGCAGACCAGAGGCACGTTTCTGGATTAACAGCAGGACATGGAAGCATGGAGCTTGTCAGCATTGGCAGGTTTAGGCCTGTGCCAGGAAGACCCCCTCGCCCTCCACACTCCACACCGGTGTCCACTTAGGGGAAACTTGTGCCCTTGGCTTGAGCCCCTGAGCCCCAGTGACAGAGACAGGGCCCTTGTGGGAGGCAGTTGGCATCAGGTCAAGAGTGCAGGCTCTGGAGTATGACAGACCCGGTTCCCATCTCACTCGGCCACATTGTCGCAGTGTCCTTGGGCACACTGCATCACCTCTTAGAGCCTCAGTTTCCTTGGCTATAAAATGGGTTAGTAATAATGCTTCCTAGGGTTGTTGTGGGCACTGTATGCAATGATGTTTGCAAAACCGGCACCTGCTGAGTGCTCCATAACTGTCAGAAACCAGCTCCTCGCTGACCAAGCTCCCTTTTGTTTTCAAGGTCACGCTGCTTTCCTTTGCTGTGGAGTCAGAGTGCACATTTCTCGACTACATCAAAGGAGGGTGAGAAGAGATGCAGCTCGGTCTCTTTGGCATCAGGGCGAGGGAGGGAGCCCCACACATCGACAGGAGCAGCTCTGGCCCCACTCTGGCCTCTTTGAGGCCCTGGCGGAAGCCTGTGATCTTGGGCTCTGAGCAGACGCCCAGAGCCCTGCCCCTGGATCCTGAGTGGCTGCAGAGGGCGCTCCTGAGCCACGGAGGCCTGCCTGGGTCACATCAGGTCCCCGTGCAGAGGTGGGACCTGGAGGTGGTAGGGACTCCATGACAAAGAGAACCAAGGGCTTTGGGAGGTGGAAAGAGCCCTGGACGAGGGAGTCAGGAGACACAGTTTCCAGACCCCTCTTTGCCATGAGTTTGCTGGGTTACTTTGGGCAGGTCACTTTCCCTCCCTGGGCATCAGTTTTCTTCTCTGTACACACAGAGATTGGAGTTGGGTGAGTTCTAAGGTTCCTTCCTGCTCTGAGCTTCTGTTGCCTCTGGTCTGTCTTGGGGGCAGTAATTAACCTGCCCAGTGTCATCAGGGACCTATAAGGGGCAGAAGGGATTGGGGGATGAGCCAGGGGATGGTCCCAGGACCAACAGGTGGTCAAACACGAGTGTAAGGAGCAGAAAGAACCCGAGGGGTCAGCATCCAGGCCAAGGCAAGCAGGGAAGCCTCGAAGCTCCAGCCGGCAGCTCATGGAAAGAGAGCCTGACTCTGAGGTGAGGTTCTGCCCAGCATGCTCCCTGCTAGGACAGGTACCAGGTCAGGGTGTGGGTAGCTGAGAGCCCACAGGTGCAGGCAGGTGAGTGACTACACCTGTCTGGAGAGGAGACAGGCAGGACAGCTGCCAAAGGCTCATCCCAGCCAAGCGGGCACCTGGCTGCCTGGTTCTCCAGGGCAGAGGGAAGAGCCTGGCCCTGGGAAGCCACACTCACTCTCCCATGACACCACTCCCTGCTGCCTTGAACCCGCAGTCTCAAAGTGGCGAGCTCTGCTTCTGCCCACTGAGCAAGCACCTTCCTCTGAGCCTACTCCAGACCCTGCCTTCACTCCCTTCCCCCATCAAAACTGCTCTGTTCTCTAGCCTATTAAGCAACCACCCCTTACATTTCATAGAACCTGGTAATTTTCAAACCATCCTCATCCTATTTGTCCTTCTCGTTTGCATAGTGACCCCAAATTACAGAACACAGGGCCACAGGCCCAGCCAGTGGCAGAGTTCCCTCTGTCACCACAGGCTGCATTTCTTCCATGGTAATGGATAATCCTGGCCCTGCCTGCCTGACAGCTCCCAGGTGGGGTGTGATGCAGCTGGAGACTGGAGTTAAAGGGCTGGGTGCTGTGACGTCTCATCATCTCATCGAGAAGGAGCCCTCAGCTGGCGCCACGAGTTCGGGGCAAGTTAGAACGCTGGAGCCCGCCCAGCCCTCCCCCACACCTCTCTTCCCCCTCTCTGGAGAACCCCAGTGACAGAGCTGGCCCCACGGAGCCAGAGCCCAGCCCGCTGCGTGTCCGGGCAGGCAGCCAATGGAGGCATTTGTCTGGGGATCCTCTCCTCCTTGGCCTCCCTCCCCGTCCACCTGGGCCAGGAGGAAAGGTATGGGCACCTCTGCCCTCACTCAGAGATGGAGCTGGTTGCTCAGCAGCCTGCGTTCTGCCCTTAGGCAGGAGAGGCAGGCCTGCAGGGAGTAATTTTCCCACAAAAGTCCCTGCTTTCCAGTCCCTTCCTTCCCTGTGTCGTTTCAGAACCCACAGCAGGGGAAGACTAGTTAAGTTAGTCAGTTAAGGAGTAAAGCCTGCCTCTGCCCTCACCCTTTATTTGGAAGAGCCAGGTGGACAGTGTACCTCAGCTGTAGTCCTGCAGGCCACAACCACCCTCCCAAGGGTGGCCCCGGGAGCAGGGCTCTTACCCTCCAAATGTCTCCCTCTAACAAAGACACCATCTCATTCCACACTGAGAGATCACGACAAACAGCAGATGAATAGAGTAGGTCAACTGCTATGACAAATAATCCCCCCACCTCAAGGCTTAATACAAATAAAAGCTTATTGTTCATTCATGGGGTGGCAGGGATGGGTGGGGAGATGCTCCACACAGTCATTCAGGGACCCAGGCTCTTGCCATCTTGTGGCTCCTTCTCCCTCAGAGGTTGGAGGCTACTGGATGCTCTGTCCCCAGGCAGCAGACGAGGGAGAAAGAGTGTGGGGAGGACTGTCTCTGGCCTGCAGACCCTGCCTTGGGTCTCCTGCTATGTCCTTCACCCTTCCTGGTGAACCTTCATGAAGGTTCCAGCAGCTCAGCCTTGATCAGGTGGAGAGAGGGACCATTTGCTAAACGCAGGTGAGGTGAGCCGTGTCTCATCTTACATCATCCCTAGCCCCAACTTGGAACCAGCAGAGCAGTTTCCCCAAGTGTGATCCCAGAACCCCCTGCTCAGAATCCCTTGATGAGGGCAGGGGATGTTTGTTGAAGAAGCAGATTCTGGGGCCCCACCTCAGACCAACTGAATTGGCATCCCTGGGAGTGGGGTGCTGGGGTCTCCTTTTTAAACAAGCTCCCCTGTTGGCTCTATGCTCACTACCATGTGAGAACCACAAGACTAGACTGTATCAGGGACTCAGGCCTTGTCAGCTTTGTTCTGTCAGCGTCTAGCACAGAACCCAGAACAGCCAAACCCTCAGAACGTTTCAACCCTGAATCTGAGTCCTCAAAACCTAACTTTTTATTGTGGAGAAATTCCAAACACATGCAAAAGTGGAAAGAAGGTATAATGAACCCCCAAGTCTCCTTCACCCAGATTCAACAATTACCAACTCATGGCTGATCTTGATCCATCTACTCTCCCTTTCATCCAGTTATTTTGAAGCAAATCCTAGACATCATATTTCATCCCCCAAATATTTCAGGATGTATCTCTAAAATATAAGGACTCTCTCTTTGTAAAATATAACCACAATACCGTAATCACACCTAAAAATTGACCAGTTCCTTAATACAAAATATCTAGTCAGTGTTCAAATTCCCCCAATTGTCTTATAAAGTTTTTTAATGGGCTTATTTGAACCAGAAATCCAGACAAGATCCATATATGGTGATTGCTTGATTTGTCTCTTTATTCTCTTTTCATCTGTTGGTTCCCCCAAGCAGCTGAAGGATTTGCTAACACAAATTCCTGCAGCTCACCAAGGGATTCTGATTCAGTAGGTCCACAGGGGGCCTGAGACTCCTCACAGGTTCCCGGGTGACCTCGACGCTGCTGGTCAGTGGGCCACTCTTCCAGTAGTGCTCCGACAGAATTTCCCACAGACTGGCTTTCACTGGCTGCATCCCCCGTGGTGTCATTTAACACATTCTTCTGTCCCCTGCATTTCCTGTAAACAACTGGTAGATAGCTCTGGAAGCTCAACAGGAGTCAGGTTCAATTTTTTGGCAAGACAACTTCATGGGTGGTGTTTTGTTCTTCCCTCAGAAGATGCACAATGTCTATTTGTCTCTCTTTTTTGTCAAATAAGTTTTAACCCTGAATCTGACTCCCAATTTGAGCCAGAAATACAACGAGACCCTACTTCACTGGCCTCAGGTGGGCCCAGGGGCAGGGTTTGGGGAGGAAATAAATAACCCTAACCATGTGCCCACACAGAACATAATCATCTTCAGAGAGCTGTCACACTGCCTGACTCTTCTGATGCTCATGACAGTCCTTTGAGGGAGGGCATGGCTGGCGTTACTATCCCAGTTTTCCAGAACCGGAAGGCGATGAGTGACTTCACCAAGGCCACATACCTGGCGAGCAGCGGGGCTGGGGTGGAAGCCAGTTTCTCACTCCCCATCGAGCACTGTTCACCCTCCACAGCCTGCCTCTGTCCAGGTAACTCCTCTGCTGTTCTCCCTCTTCCAGGACCCAGATCAACTTCACAGTGGCCATCGACTTCACGGCCTCCAATGGTGAGTGAGGGGTGGGCAGAGGAGTGGGATGGGGAGGGGGGGCTGGACAGGGGAGGGCTTTTCAGGGCTGTGGTAGTTGGTCCTAGCTCTGGATACCCTCTGGCCTCATCCTCACCGAAGAGGAGGTTCTTAGGAGAACCAAAGATACAACCAAGGTGGGGAAGGTATCCCCAGGTTGGACCATGGTCGCTAACAAATCTGGGCTCTGGGCCTACATACCAAGCCTTGCCCTTGAGGACACCCAGCCTCCCTGGAGGAACAGGACAGTACTACCTGGGCCCACAGAGAGCCCTGGAGCGGAGGTATTACCTCACGGGATCAAATCCCACATCCTCTGTGCAGTCCAACTCACAGGCTGGAGGGAGAACTGGGGTCAAGACTGAGCTCTGTGGGCCTCAGTGGGGGCAGGGATGCAGCCCAGGAACCCCCATCCTCACCCTTGCTGGGGCTGCCCCAGCTTCCTTCCCGACTCTGACCTTCTCCAGTATCGGGCTGTGACCGAGTCGCCAGGAGCAATCAATGCCAAACTTACACGGTTAAAAACAGCACAACCTTCCTTGGATTCTGGACCCTTATTAGCGATGCTCAGTGCTCATTTTTGTGCCAATCAGAAGATGCCCAGGTCTTGTATTCCTCAGGTGTGTCAGAAACCCCTCTTAGGGCTGTGGGCCCGAGCATCATGGAGTGGAAGGATGTCAGCTGGGAGGGGCCTTAGTAATAATAACAGTGAGGAGAGTTGTAATAGTAACACCTGTTTAATCCTCACAACAATCCTATGAGGTGGAGACTATTATTAACCCCATTCTACAGGTGAGGAGACTGAGGCTGAGAGGTTAAGGAACTTATCCAAAATCACACAGCTAGTAGGAGGCAGAGACAGGATTGGTCCCTTGGCAGTCTGTGCTGTACTGCCTCTCATTAATAAATAAGTAAAATATGAACAATATTAGTACTGACAAGGGCTATGGAGAAAATTCAAGCCAGGAAGAAGGATAGGGAGTTTTGGGGGAGGCTGTAACTTTGAATAGCCTATTCAGGGAAGACCACGCTGAGAAGGTGACACTTGAGTAGAGACCCAAAGAGGCAAGGGAGCAAGCCATGTGTAAATCTGCGGAAAAGTGTCCCAGAGCAGAGGGAACAGCCATTGCCAAGACCCTAAGGTGAGAATGGTGAGAGGCTGGGACTGAGTGAGTGACAGGGAGGATGGGAGGAGATGAGGAGAGGGAACTGGAGGCCAGGTCCTGTAGAGCCTTGTGGAGCCTTGTAAAGACGTTGGGTTTAATTCCAGGTGAGATGGGAGCGTTGGAACATTCTGGGCAGAGAAGAGGCGTGATCTAGCTGCTGAGGTTTGACAGGCTCACTGTGGGCACCAGGGCGGAGAAGGGCGACCAGTTAGAAGCCTGCTGTAATCCTATATACAAGAGGAAGGTGGTGTCCTGGAGGAGGGGGAAGTAGGTGGGATTCAGGATATATTTGGAAGGTTTTGAACCAGGATTTGCTAAAGGATTGAATGTGTGGTAAGAGAGAAGGAAGGGAGTCAAGAATAAACAAAGTTCTGGGGGCCCTTGGACACCCTCTTCTGCATTCTCAGCCGGGGTGGCTTGTCCCCACGTCCTGTGCCGCAGGGAACCCCTCGCAGTCCACGTCCCTGCACTACATGAGCCCCTACCAGCTGAACGCCTACGCGCTGGCGCTGACTGCCGTCGGGGAGATCATCCAGCACTATGACAGCGACAAGATGTTCCCCGCCCTCGGCTTCGGGGCCAAGCTGCCCCCTGACGGCAGGGTGTCCCACGAGTTCCCGCTGGTAGGAGTCCGGGGAGAAAGGGCTGAGGGCTGAGCAGGCTGGGGGTGTGGTGCTGAGCGTGGGGTGAGGGCATTTCCCATCCTCCCCGCCTAGGGACTTAAGGTGCAGCCTTTGGGGTGGGGGCTGCCTGTGTCTGTAGGGGGGTTTGTGTCAGGGCATCCAGGAACCCACTCCCCACCTTGCTCACCAACACCTCCCCTCCACATCGGAGCCACCCACAGTGGGCTGGCCTCCTGTTCCCCACAAGACCAAGGTGGAGTGGAGACGTGGCTGCACTGTCCCCCAAGGCCCCCGAAATGAGGATAAAGGGGTGTGGTCGGGCATGGGCAACTGCAGGTAATTCCAGGAACCCCCTGAGATGGGGCCCTCTGGAGATGACCCCTCAGGCCCCCTCCTCTCCCTCCCTCCCATGAACTGGGACACTCAGTCGGTCACTGGATAGCTCACAGAAGGCGTCCCTCATGTGCCTTTGGAGTCCAGGCACTGTGCTGGGCACAGGACACAGGAGGATGGGTCAGCTGCCAGCAGTCATTTTAGGGTGTAGTGCTGCCCGGGGTTCCCTGAGGGAAGCAGCCAGGGCCCTTGGGGGCCTATCTGAGTAGGTACAGGGAGGGGGGCAAAGAGCAGGTAAAGACCTCCCAAGCATGCACTGCCCTTCAGTGGGGGGCCCTGGGGGCTCCCGCCCTTGCCCACCCCCTCACCAGAGAAGCGTCTAGGAGAGCCCAGGTCTGCTGGCCTCCCCACCCCGGCTCTGCCCCCACAGATCACCAGGCTGCCTTCCCTCCCACCCCTCCTTCCTGGGCTCAGCCTCCCCATCATCTGTGCCCCCAGAACGGCAACCAGGAGAACCCCTCGTGCTGTGGCATCGACGGCATCCTGGAGGCCTACCACCACAGCCTGCGCACCGTGCAGCTCTATGGCCCTACCAACTTTGCGCCCGTGGTCACCCACGTGGCCAGGTAAGTGCTCGGGTCACTAGACCCCTGACCCAACGGCTCACAAGGTGTTTGTTTCCACACCTGTCCTCTCAGGAAGGCTGGAGGGAGTGTCTCTGCCCATTGACTCGCCTTTCAGGGAGCCCTGACCCTAAAGAGACCCCCCCATCAAAGAGCTGTCCCCACTAAAGTGTTAAGGGTCTTGGGGGGGGATGACATGCCCAGAGCCCCTCCAGACAGACCTCAGCCCCCGCCCCGCCCCAGGAACGCAGCCGCGGTGCAGGACGGTTCCCAGTACTCGGTGCTGCTCATCATCACCGACGGGGTCATCTCGGACATGGCGCAGACCAAGGAGGCCATCGTCAACGTGAGCAGGGTCGGGATGGGGAGGGGAGGGGTCTCTGCCACTGCTTAGGGGAACCCAGGGGGCGTGCCTTTCCACTCCTTTAGTGACAGGCTTGGGGCGTGGCTTCTCCTCTCCCCACCCTCTTTGGACCACTCCTGGCTTCTCACGCAGAGGCTGGAGGGCCGGGCAGTGGGGTTTGGGGGGTGGAGGGCGCACCGGCTGATGAGGGATCCGGCTGGTGAGCTCTGTACCCACCTCTTAGTCACTCTGGGTGGTCCGCTCCCTCCAGAGGCCCATGGCTCCCTCATTAACCCATCTCTGGGACTGGTGCCCTGGACCCCAGCCTCGCCTGGCCAGGTAGAGGAGGTGGGAGGCCCAGGAACATGGCTCTCCCTACCGACTGGTCTCCCTGTATAAGGGGCCCCAGCCACAGCTGGGTTTCCCTTCGGGCCCACATAAAAGATGCCCCACATGATGGAGGCCCAGTGGCAGAAGAGGGGATGGGGGTGTCTGGCAGAAGCAGACCTGTGACCCATTTCCCCCTCTGCCTCCCTCCCTCTCGACCCCCTCTTCCTCGCTGGTTCCCCACCTCTGTTTCCCTTGGTCTGTGTTCCTGGCTGCCTACCCCCCACCCCCCCAACTCCTTTTTCTGTGTTTCTCTGTGTCTCCATCCTTCTCTCTTCCATTTCTTCCCTGTCATCCTCCCTTTCTTCTTTTGACCCACCCCTTTCTGTCCCTATCCACGACCTACCCTTTCTTTTAATTGGCCCCTTGGTGGGGTTCACCCTCCTCCATGCTCTCTCCCAGGCTGCCAAACTCCCCATGTCCATCATCATCATCGGCGTGGGCCAGGCGGAGTTCGATGGTGAGTCCCCATCCCCCTAGATGTTTCCCCAGAGACTCAGGCCCTTGGGAATGACCCTTCCCAAAATAGTGAGAGAGCACGCCTGGGCGTGGGTGACTGGGTAAGCAGGCAGGGAGTGAGGGTGCGTTTGTTTGCACAGGGAGGGGAGTGTCAGGGTGTGCACCCCACGCCCACAACCCAAGGCTGTGGGGAGGCGGCCCTGAGTCACTCCTCTCTCCTCCAACCCTGGGAGCCTGGGGAGGGTGGGGGAGCTGGACCGCTGGGCTGGAAGTCTGAGACTCACCTCGTTGGGCTCCTCCTGTCTCCTGGCCTCAGTTTCCTCATCTCTAACATGGGAGTCTGGTCCAACAGTCTCTGCCCTGAATTGGCCTGGGATTGGAGGACAAGTCCTCTGTCCTGCCAGGCCCAGGTGCCCACCATTAACTTCCCCCACCCCCATGCCATTCCTCCCCACACAGCCATGGTGGAGCTGGACGGTGATGACGTACGGATCTCCTCCCGGGGGAAGCTGGCCGAGCGGGACATCGTCCAGGTGAAGCCCAGACCCTGCCTGCCCCGTGGCAAATTCTAGAGCCCCTCTAGCCAGGCTGACCTCACACCCCCTTCTGAAGGCTTCTCTGGAAAGGGGCCCTGGAGGGGGCCCTGGGAGCCCCAGAGTGGCCTGGCCACCACAGAAGGGCACAGGAGTCAGTCCTTGGGTCACACTTCTCTGTGGGCTGGTCCCCTCTCTGCCATGTCTGGGACTCACCCCTGACATTGTTGAAGCCCCGACCAGAATGCTCTGCTGTACCCTCCCTGCGCCCCGGGCCCCACGGTCTCTTGCAGAGCACAGACCCTGAGTGCTTGCACCTTCTGCTGGGCTGCCTTGCCAGAGATGGCAAACCCCCCAGTGGCGGAGGCGGTGCCCTTAGTGTTGCTGCAGCCCTCTCCAAGAATGGGCGGCGCTCGGTCCATGGAGTCCGTGGCTTAATATCTCCAAGTAGGAGGGCAAATGTAATGAGCAGACAGGCCTTTGTCCTCAGGGAGTCCCTGCCCAGTCAAGCCTCACAGTGTACCTCAGTAAGCACATCCCTCCTTGAACCTGGCGCAGACTGAGTCCCTGGTGCTTAGGCGATTTGGAATAAAAAACTAACATTTTCCATACCCCCTGGATTAAAAAACCCGGAGTGGGGGAGGGGCCATTTCAGGTGTGGAGACCAACAAAGGGGGCTAGAAACCAGAGCCAGGGCAGCCTGGGAGGCGGGAGCCGGCTGTGCAAGGCCCTGGAGTCAGGAGGGAGCCTGAGGCTCTCAGGGGTGGGGGGCACCCCTGGGGGAAGCCGGAGGGACCTGACTTTAGGCGTTCGCCCAGAGAGGAAAGGGTTTTGAGAAGCAGGGCCAGAGGCAGAGAGGGCTCTGCCTGAGAGCGGGGAAGATGGGAGAGCCCATTTCCGGAAGCCAGGGGGTTCCTTCAGCCTTTCCTGAGTGCCGGCTGAGCGCCTGTGCTTGGTGCCAGGACTCGGGAGGTTAAGGACTCTTGTTCAGGGGTGCCTCCCGGCATGGACTAGGGGCTCATAAGTGTTCCTTGAGTGAGTGAAACAGCAGTGGCTACGAGAATTCACCACGAGGGGCAGGGGTTGAGTGATGTGGGCAGAGGCTGGGGAGGAGGGGGACAGGATCCCAGGCCTGGAGTTTGGCGGGCTAGCGTCCGGCAGGAGAGCTCGCCTGACCCTGCCTTCCCCCCTGGCCAGTTCGTGCCCTTCAGGGACTACGTGGACCGCACGGGCAACCACGTGCTGAGCATGGCGCGCCTGGCCCGCGACGTGCTGGCGGAGATCCCCGACCAGCTGGTGTCCTATATGAAGGCGCAGGGCATCCGCCCGCGCCCCCCGCCCGCCGCCCCCGCGCACTCGCCCCCGCAGTCCCCGGTCCGCACGCCCCCTGCCTCCCCCCTGCACACGCACATCTGAGCCTGGCCTGTGGCAGGGCTGGGGCCTGGGGAGGCCGGCAGAAGGCTGGGCGGGAGCCCCAGACCCCCCTACAGTCCGCCCCGCCCAGCCTTTGGAACGCGTATGCCTGGGAGGCCGGCAGGGGGCGGGGCCTCTGGAGACTCCTCCCCAATTTCCTGGCTTCGCTGACGCTCCAAATCTAGGGAGTTGGGGAGTACTGGTGGTGGAGGTGCGGTTCTGAGCCCCTGCTCTTCTTTTCTCCCCCTGACACCTGGTTCTAGCCCAGCCAGGAAGTTGTTAACAATCAGGAATTTGGGGTCCCCCTCAGCCCACCTGGGCAATCCCTGTGCTCCTGTATCACCCTGAAGCCTGGGCTGGGCCCCCCTCCTCCAGGCCCCGTCCTGCCCCCTCCTGTGGTGTCTACTCCTATACCTGGCCCCTAACCACCCCCCCACCCCCGCAGTATCTGTCGTGTCCCTAGTTCCAGTGAGCCCCGTGAGGCTGATGGGTTTGCAGGAATGCCTGAGCATGTGACTTCCCCCGGGACGCTTGCGTGCAGTGGGAGCCTTGCAGACTGTGAAGGAGAGGCTGTGAGGGTGGACCGTAGGCCCCATGATGGGCCAGGAATGGGGGCTTTTCAGGCACAGAGTCCTTTCTGGTGCCTCTCAAGCCCAGGATGACACTGGTTCCAGACACACAGATCCACAGGCTTCTCCTTGGTATGGGCTCACGGACGCCTCCACAGTTGACTTCCCTCCTCCCCCCAGAGGCTGCTCAGGGTCCTTGGTGCCCACTCCCTGCTGTCCACCTGGAGGCCTGGGCAAGGAGCAGCCCAGCCTCTGTACTCCCACACTGCCCCTCTATCCCACGGGGATAGGAGACGGGAGTCCTGAGTTCAAGCCCTGCCTCCGGCCCTGCCTGCTGTGGGAACCCAAGCCAGGCCCTTCTGCCTTCTGGGTCTCGGTTTCCACGTCTGTGAGGCAAGAGGGTTGACCAGGTGGTCCCGGGTTTACCTTCAGCTCTGATGTCCCGAGAGTCCATTCATCCCGTGGCCAGCTCCCCCATCCCACTCCTCACCAGTGCAGCCCCCTCCCCCAGGCCGTCTTGGCTCTAGGTCCACCCTGTTCCAAGCTGTCACCCCAGATCCACCCTAGTCCTTCAGCTTGGGCTCTGCCGTCTGAGCCAGGGTCCCTGCCCCTGCTGTGGGAAAGGTGGGCCCTCCCAGCCGCCCAGCCTTTACCCACGTGGGGAGCAGGTCATGCATGCCAGTCTCTCCTGCCGCATGGGGCTCCTCGGCCCTCTGAGCCTCCCGTGCCTGGACAGAGACCAGCCCCCCCCACCCCCATCTGCTGCCCCACACCGCTCCCTTCCTGTCATGCATGATGGTGGTGTTTCTACACTGTCTGGTCCCGTGCCCGTCTCTGAGACAGTCTCTGTGTGGAATTTGCCTTAAACTGAAGTAAACTTGGTTCTTTTACTAAGCTTCCCTGTTTTCCTTTCTCCTGTGAAAAATAGCACAGATGGTGCTGTGTGACAGAGTCCGGGTTCTTCTCTCTCTCTTTCTTCAATTCTTTTCAGCTGGATTTACTGAGCAGCTACAATGTGCCCGGGTCTATGCTAGGCACTGGGGATGCAGCAGTGAACAAAACACAGGCCTGCCTCCGCATAGAGCTCGCAGCAAACACAAAAATAAGACGGGGGAACACACAGTAAGCACATAAATAGGTAAATACCGTATTTGCAGGTGGTGATAAGAGTTACAAACAAGAATAAGAAGATAGTGACAGGGTGATATTTTAGATGAGGTGGTCAGGGAGGGCCTCTCTGAGGAGGTGACAGTTAAGATGAGCCCTCAATGAGAGAGGGAGGCAGGCTGATATCTGAGGCCAGAGGGCCCCACATAGAGGAAACAGCAAGTGCAAAGGCCCTGAGGTGGGAGCATGCTTAGTGTGTTTGAAGGACGGCAAGGAGGCCAATGTGGTTGGAGCTGCACTAAGGAGGGGAGAGTGCAGGAGATGGGGTCAGGGAAGTGAAGAATCCAGAATGCATAGGGCCTTGTAGGCCATGGTGAGGAGGTGAGAGAGAGGAGTAACATGATCAGATTATTCTCTGAAATAAATGGGTCCCTTCATTGCGTTTGATCCCCCAGTCACTCATCTCCACAAGTATTTACTGAGTGTTACTGCCAGGCCCGGCTCAGGTCTGGAGACACGGACACACACAGTTGCACCCGCAGGGGGCTACCCCGCAGCTCTGGAGCAAAGAGCAAGGAAATCCCACAACCCTGGGGTAGCGATGCCAAGCCAGCGGGAGGGCCCAGGGCCTGTGGGCACCCAAGGGGGCCTTCTGGCGCAGCCTGGACAACTCACAGGCCATGTCCCCAGGATGAGTTCCTGCTCCTCTGTGCGATGGGACCATCACTCCTCCCTTGCAGGATTATTATGCGGCCATCGGAGTGGCATGTAGGTATGCACACGTGAAGTGTGTGATGTGCAGGGGACCTGCTGCACTTTACGTGCACATTAACACCGTTTTCCTCCTTGTCCCTCTTCACATGTAAATCCCTGTGGCCCTCAGGGACCAGGATCACAGGGAAGGGGCCTGCTCCCTTGTCTGGCAAGTTTGCTCTCGGATCCGCTCTCCAGGCAGCCATTCTCAATCTGCACATCACAAGAAACTTGGTACTAATTACACTAAAGTTTGGGACTTGTTTACTTCTTATGATTTGATAGTAAATTAGAGCTGATTCATGCCGTCCCTGTAATTAGATGCCCCTCTGACTGGCTTTCCAATACGTTTTGAGTGGGAACCGGGTGGGGTCACAACTCAGGAAGAGGGAAGTTCTCGTAACCAGCGGCCCTTTTAACCTCACTTTGGGCGTCGTGGGAAAGGGTCTGGAGGAGATGCCACCTGGCAGAGGAATGAGGCTCAGAGCCACTGCCCTGGGGCACCGAGAGGATTTTTACTGCTCCACACTGTAGCTTCTCTCCTGGGTTCTTTCCCAAGGTGTGTTCCAGGGAACACTGGTTCCCTGGCATGGATTTTGGGGAGCTGCCTGCTCGGAGCCCCTCTCAGAGAGTCCCACTGCCCTTTAGGGTATTCAAGGCTCTGATAAGTCCTATAGCACAGAGACCAGTTTGACTTGGTTCAACCCAATGTTTCCCAAACTTTTTGACCACAAAGTCAGTGTGCGTGTGTGTTTAGCTGTAACACTATTACCAAGCAGAATGTGTTGTCTTGGGAATTTCAGTAGAGAAGATCTCCCTGGTTCCTAGGCCAGTAGAGAAGCCTGAGGCCAGCTCACAGGGGGCCAGAGGGAGGGCATGGAGTTTGGGGATTTCTCAGAGGAGATGGGAAGAATGGAGACCTCCAGTTGGCTCTGAAGAGAAAGAAGGGGCCTCAAAAGGAGCCCCTGCTCCAGCCATGTTGGGAAGAGAAACTACAGGGAGGAAAGGAGGGCGTTCAGAAACTCACAGGACCAGACTCTTGTTGCGTGGTTGACTTTGTGTTCCCTTCCTGGGCTGAGAGGTGGGTGTGACAGAGCTGGGGGAGGGCAGGCAGAGAAGGGAGAGGCGGCTGAAAGGCTCTCCTCGGCTGTGACCCTCCACCCAGGCTGTGGCTGGCCCCTCCCCTCACCCCCACTCAATCCCCAGGCCTTCAGGATTAAGGACCCCAGGCTGTCAGCCCCCAGATCATTCCTCTACCCAACTTCTCTGCCTTTGGAAGTCCCTTTACCACCCTCTTGTCCACTCAGATGCCCCTGAATTAATAAAAAAATGATAACAAGAACAGTAATGACCAACACTCATACTCACTTACTAAGCACCAGGCATCTTCTAGGCACTTTACATGTGTTAAGTAAGTTTATCTTCATAACAGCCCTGTGAAGAAGGTACTAGCATTATCCCATTTTCCAGATGAGAAAACCGAGGCACAGAGATGTTAAGGGACTTGTTCAAGGTCATACAACTAGAAAGTAGTAGAGCCTATAGGTATCTGAGCCCCGAGGTGGAATGGGAACATCGACCTGGTTGCCATTTAGTTGCTGTGTCACCTTTGCTGGGCCACCTGCCCTTTCTGCATCTGTCTCCCCACCAGTAAAATGGAGGGGATGGGCTCTAATGTCACTAAGGGTCTTCCCGGCTCTCTTAAATCTCAGCCTCCCATCAGCCTTTCCTCTCAGACGCCCGCCAGACCCCACCCGTCTCCCGGGGCCCTATCATGGCCTGGCTGGATGCTCTCCATCACCATAGCAGCCCCTCCCAGGCCCCTGGGGTGCCTGGCTGCCGTCTGCCTGCAGAAGAGGTCCCTGAGCCCTGCCCGGAAGGGGCGGGAGAGGTAGAAGCAGAGGATGGGGCTGACGGTACAATTGGAGTAGGCCAGGATGGTGCAGAGGCTGGATGCCACGAAAGCCGTCGTTGTGGCAGGCAGGCCCCTCACGGCTGCTACATAGCCCAGCACGGAGCAGGGCCCCCACATCAGCACGAAGACCACCAGCACTATAAGGATGAGCCCCGTGTTCTCCTGGTGCTCCCGGGTGCTCTCCCCCATGGGGCCACGGGGCTGTGTCCACAGGAGCCAGCCCACGTGGCTGAAAGAGCAGCCCAGCCCCAGCATGCATGGCAGGAAGGCCAGGGCTCCCAGGAGCGTGAAGTAGCAGGAGGTCCGAGTGGGGCTCGGGAGCAGGAGGCAGGCCCGCACCCCCACTGCCTCCTCCTCCACCACGACTCGCTGGAACAGCCAGTTGGGCAAGGACGCAGTGAGGCCCAGGACCCACATGGCCCCACAGAGAAGCAGGCAGGCACCCCGGCTGGACGGGAGGGCCGCATCAGGCCGGGCCACTGCCACATGGCGCAGAAGAGCCGTGGCCACCATGCTGTAGAAGGTGCAGAACATGGTGGCATTGTTGGTGGCCTGGCTGATGGTGCAGACCGCTGGGCCCAGCCACCAGTCGCGCCTCAGGAAGCTCAGCAGAAGCACCGGCACCACGCAGGCCAGGAAGAGCAGGTCGGACAGCGTGATGTTCACCATGAGGCTGTCCGTCAGGGCAAGGAGCGGGCAGGGGGCGCCGGGGCCCCGGCCCACCACCAGCAGCATGAGCCCGTTGGCCAGCAGCCCCACCAGCAGGATGAGGCCGCAGACCCCGGCGAAGACGAGTCGGAGCAGTGGCTCGGGTGTGGCTCTGAGCCCCGCGGTGACCGTGGTGTTGGGCTCCATCCTGCTGCTCTGGACACACAAGGACAGCGTAGAAACCAGCCCGAGGCCGCCCCCCTCCTTCCCTGTTGAGCCCCCCTCCTTTCCCAGACCCTGCGTCCAGTGGGTGCCCTGGCATGCATTAGCCCCTTTAGACCTCACAACAACCTGATGGGACAGGCTCGTCAACGCCCTGGGTTCAAATCCCGACCCTTCTCCTTGGTAGCTCCATGACCTTGGGAAAATTACCTAATGTTTCTCTACCTCAGTTTCCTCAACCGTAAATAAGTGAGGAAATAAAGAGAATAAAACAGATGTCAACAGGAACTGTCGCTAAAGGGCGAGATTCAGGTAATTTTCATTTTCTTCTTTTTAATTTCTATTTCTAAAATTTCTGCAGGGAGTACAAATTAAATCTGATAAATGAATATCATATATATGTATATGATGTTTTTTAAACAAAACCTTGCCCTGCCTGTGAAACAAGCAGATTTTTATTTGAAGTTCAAGTACGAAGGTCCATGTGCAAGGGCTTTGAGAAGGCATAACGCCCCTACCAGTGGTTCCCTGCACATTGGAGTCATCTGAGGAGTTTCAAAAATACTAATGCAGGGGTCCCACCCCCAGAGATGTGATTTGATTGGTCTGGGCTTTGAAAGATCCCAGATGACTGTAAGGGGCAGACCAGTTCGGGAGCCGTGCCCTCTACACTTGTGCGGTGCTGGCGCCTGGCGGGGGGGCGGGCAGGGGGGGCAGGAGGGAGAGCGCTGCACCCCAGCTGTCAGATCTTCCTCCTCACTCCCCCTCCTTCCCACGCTGAAGACATGGGGAGCCCCCGACTGAGAGGACTCAGGCCGGGAGATGGGGTCTAGGCATCCCAGAGTCATCCCAGGGGCCGATGTCTCCGCCTGCCACCCCGCAGACCAGGCCGGGACCCCCAGCTTTAGTGAGGAGAGACTTGCCCATTAACTCAACAAATAAATATTTCCTGAGCGCTTACCCTGAGCCAGGTTCTGGGATCCAGCAGCAAACAAGACACTGGAGTCCTGATTCTAGTCCCCATCCCCTTTTCTCCTGCACTGGGGGTGGGGGCTGGAGAGACTCCTCTCTATCCGGCTCAGAGCCAGGGCTGGGGTCCCCCGAGCCCCTCCTGCAGAGCCCTGCCTAGGAGACTTGCTTGGTCTCTGGGCGCCATGGCAGCAACCTGCCTGAGGGCAGCCGAGAAGAGACTGGAGAGGGGGCCTCTGCAAATTCTGCCACCTACACCCCTCCCGGGTCTCAGTTCCAGGGCCTGCAGGGGAAGGAGGAATGAGGCTCCAGCCCCAACACCCTGACTGCCCTGGATGAAAGCTGTATTTGAGCCCCTCTCTCAGCATTTGTCACCGCTTGTTTGTTTCTTCCACCTGGCCCAGCCCTGCCTGCAGTGACCTGACTGGAGGGTGAGGAGGGAAAGAGAGAGGGAAGAGGAGAGGGATGGGGAGAGGGAAAGACAGGCTTGAGGACCTGGCCCCTGCTCCACCCAAGTGTCCTTACCTGCCTATGAGACGCTCCATAACTTCACGGGTAAGCTTGTGGGCGCTGGAGCCTGGGTTCAAAACGCCCCCACCACCACTTGCTGGCTGTGTGACTGTGGACAAGATACTCAGTCCTCTATGCCTCACTTTCCTCATGTGTAAAATGGAATAACAAGCCCAGTCTCATAGGGTTGATGTGAGGATTAAATGAGGTAATACAAGTTAAGTGCCTGGCACGTAGTAGGTGCTTGGCAAATGATGGCTGTTGTTCTGCTCCTGCCCACCCTCAGTTCCCAAAGCTCTCTTCCCTAACACCCCTGCCCAGGCTCTGTTTTATCCTCCTGCCTTCCCCTTCTCACTCCTCACCCTGAGCTCCATCAGCCCAGTCCCACCCTCCTTTTCTTAATCAGCCTCAAGCTAAGTTGTGACCAGAGCCCCCTTGGCTGACATGGCCTGAGAACTCACCATTTGCCTGGAAGTTCACTCTGAAGTCTACCTTGAGTCCCTCCTGCTGCTCTCCTCACCAGCTTCGTGCTGCTCTGAGGTTCCTGGGCCCTGCTTGCTGACTTGGAGCCCTTTGACACCGGGAAAGACTGGCAGCCCCTCCACGGCTGTACTCTGCACAGAAGCTGGATCTAGCCCGACAAAGCCAAGAGAGGGCTCTGGGCAGGTGTGCAGTCCTTTCTAGCACCCACCTCTAGGGAACCTGAGCCAGCTGCCTGAGGCCGGGGCAGAGCTGAGATGGGAGGGGCAGGCCCGGGGGCCACTTCTGTACTGGGTCCCCCAAAGGACAGGGGCTCTATCCACTCTGCCAGCTCTCCCAGGAATCACAGCCTGCCTGCCTGCCTCATTAGCTCACGGGCCCACAGGACAGAGGTGTCGGTGCCTGCCAGGGCCCCAGACCCCAGAGAGAAGGCCATTAGCAACAGCAGGACCTGTCCCCACCCTCGCCCAGGGCCGGGCATCACTCACTGCAAGCCCACCTCTCCATCTCCCCGTCTCTCTGTCTTTCTCTCTGTCTTTCTCCGAATATACTACAGCCTAAAAATTGCTCGGATCAGGGAGAGGCTTGTGGGCTGATGGAGAGGATCCGTGGAAAGAGAAGACATTGGGGGTAAGAAAGAATCAGTGAGGCGGTCCAGTGAGAGAACTGGCTGGATCACAGGAATCACCCCGCAGATAGTCTAAAGGTTGAATGGGGTCCATTAAGGACATCGGATCCAACCTTTGGTAGCTTCTGATGCCTGAATCTTCTCCACCTCACCTCTTGCCAAGCGTCACCTGGCTTCTGCTTTGTATGCCTCTAGTGACAGAGAGCTTACTGCTGCTGAAGCGTCCCTTTTAGAATTGAGCAGAGGGATAGGGGCCAAGAGTGGAGACTTTGATTAAACAAGCAGGAAGGCCCTGTCCCCTATCTCCTGCCCTCCCTCTTTCTCCTTCGTTCTCTCTCTGCACGTCTGTCTCCTGAGCTGTCTTTGCTTGTCTCTCTGTGACACTGGGGTTTCCTCTGATTCAGCTGCAGAATTCACTGGTACCCGAATGATTACAAGGTTCCAAACTCAGCACCTTGCACACACTGGGCTCGAACACGGTGAGCATTATTGTGGTTAACGGTAAGAGGAGACAGACAACTTTGCAGCAAACACAGATGACAGGAGATAGTCCAACACTGAGAGGCCGTCTCTCTCAGGCTCTTAAAGCAGGATCCCCAAGGGCACTGAAAACGCAGCCCCGGTTACCATGTGCAGCCATCTTTCACGAGGCAAATGTTGTGCAATTCTGGGAACTCCCACGAAAGTTCCAAAGAGGAGCCCATGAGTGATCTGAATCCAGTTTCCCTGGCTGCTCCCCAGGCACCATCAGCCACACCCCAGCTGCACCTCGAGGGCATCCAGAAAGTGACACCTCAGGGCAGGGGGCTGCCCCAGGGGACACCATGGCCTTGGGGTAGGGGGCGGGATCCCCGAATGTGACCACTTAGAGGCAGATCTTGGGGAAAGGGAGTGGGGTTGGGGTTCAGGGAGACGGGGGAGGGGGAAGGGGGCATATCAGGGGCTATCAGAACACTGCTCTTCCCCAGGAATCGGATTCTGCTCAGAAGACACCCCACACTAGCAAACAGATACGGTGAGTGAGACGGGGTTCGCCAGCTGTGCCCGGCCCGGACAGTGGGGCTGCTTTAATGAACAGAGTACTTTGTCATTAACATGCTAGACCGATTCGTAATCAGCACCAAAGCAAGCCGCTTGAAAAGTTTCTTTCCCTCCTCTCAGCATTTATTTTTATTTCTGATTATATAAGGAATACCCAGTCACTGTAGATCTGAAAATACAAATACATATAAAAAGGAAAATAACACCCCCGCACATTCACCCTATAATTTTACCACCCAGAGATATGTGGCCAATACTGTGGTGTATTTTCCTTAAGTTGTTTTTCTAGACTTTTCCTTTCTTTAAAAAGTTTTAGGGGCCGGCCCGGTGGCGCAAGCGGTTAAGTGCGCGCGCTCCGCTGCGGCGGCCCGGGGTTCGCTGGTTCGGATCCCGGGCGCGCACCGACGCACTGCTTGGCAAGCCATGCTGTGGCGGCGTCCCATATAAAGTGGAGGAAGATGGGCACAGATGTTAGCCCAGGGCCGTCTTCCTCAGCAAAAAAAGAGGAGGATTGGCGGATGTTAGCACAGGGCTGATCTCCTCACAAAAAAAAAAAAAAAAAAAAAAGTTTTAAACTCCGCCCCGGCCCCAGCCTTATTTACCCATCACAGGCCTCATCTGGAGTGCGAAGGGTAGGTTAGCGTCGCCCCTGCCCTGGGATCCGAGTCCTGACCTGGGGAGGATTTTCCTGAACTGCCGAGCTGGCCCTCTCTGTTGTTGCTGTGTCCAGGCAGTGGGACAGGCGCTGAGGAGCAGGAAGCCCGGGGGCTGGCCGTCCTACCCGGCCGGGCCAGGGGGTCAGAAGCAGCAGACGGCTCTCTTCCGTGGCCTCTCCGGGGCCACCTCCACCAGCGAGCTCTTCAGGCGCTCTTCCTGCATCTTGAGTGACCTGCGTGACGACCCCAGGCGTCAGTCCTCTCTCTCACCTCCCGGGGGCAGCAGGGAAGGGCCCGTGGGTGCAGCTGGGGGGCTGGCGGGCTGCACCCCCTGAGCTTCCTCTCCCACCTGCTCTGCCCCTGCCCTGCGTTCCACACGGCACCAGGAAAATAGGGCCAGGGAGACTTGGGCCTTCTGTCTCTTTTCTGGCATTCTTTCCAGCCTACTGTGTGCCAGGCCCTGTGCAAGGGACTCTGATGACGACAATGAAGCCAACGTGTCCCTGCCTTGAGTGGTGAGGGAGACACAGAGGGGAAGAGTGATCAGGACCCAGGAGTGGGGAAGCACACAGGGGGCCTTAACACCAAGTCCTGGATTCCGGGATGAAGGAGGCAGCGTCGGAGCTGAGACGGAGCAGCGGACAAGGGTTCACTAGTAGAAAAGGGGGGTGCATTCCAGGCGGTGGGAAAGGCTCAGGGTCAAGAGAGGGCCTGGGGGTTGGGGAAGTAAAAGTAAAAAGTTCATTCCTTCACTCATTCATTCATTCACTCACAACATGTTTACTGTGTGCCAGGCACTGTGCTAAACCGTAAAGCCTAAGGGACTGAATGGCCAGAGAGAAGCCGTGGAGACAGAAGGGGTTCAGGGCTCCGTGGGCCTGGAAGCCACAGTCAGGAACTGGGGCTTTTATCCTAAAGCAAAGGGAAGCTACTGAGCAGTTGTCTGCCAGAGGGCATCGTAGGGGGATCAGGTTTACAGTTCAGCAAGCTCACTCTAGCGGCTTCGTCAGAGCGGGGACTCAGAGACCCTCCGGTCTAATACCCCTTCCCCGACTCATTTCAATCACTTATTGAGCACCTAGTCTGTGCCAGGCCCGGGAATGGGGGGAGGGGCTGAACCAAGCAGACATGGCTCTGTCCTCCCAGAGCTAGGAGCTACCTTCCCGTGTGGGAGGCCGACGGCAACAAGGAAACAGACAAGGAAACAGACAAAGGCCTGTGCAATTACAGTGTGTCAAGAAGGGCTGTGAAGGACACAACAGAGGATGATGATCCAGAACAGTTGGGGGGGGAGGCCCCTCTGAGTGACTGAAGCTTAGCAAGAGAGAGAGAGAGAGAGAGTGTGTGTGTGTGCAGGTGCACACAGGGACAGGATGATGGCACTGGAGAACATGCAGCCCATTGTGAGGCATTTGGATTTTATTCTAAATTCATTGGAAGTTACTAGAAGGTGGGGAGCTGGAAAGTGACTCTCTGGCTGCGCTTTACAGATGGGAAGACTGAGGCTCAAAGAGGGGCCATGAGACTTCTGGGACGTGATGCAGCTAATGGGACTGGTAGGACTGGAGGCAGAAGGCTCTCTGCATGGTGCTCTCCCTCCGTCCCCAGACTGGTGAGCCCCACGATGTCACAGGTGTTCCTCAGAGTGGCCTCCTGTCCCACAGGGAGGATTCTGGGTGGGGAGCGCGGGGCACACTCACCGGGCCAGGGTCACCATGGGCTCCAGGATGTTGTGACCCCAGGCAGCACTGCACTCTCCGAAGGAGACCCCCAGCTCCTGCAGGCCAGACAGACGGGGTGTGGGTGCCTGGGAGAGTCTAGGCGCAGCCCCCACCACCAAAGGCCTGGCAGTCAGACAGTCACACCCAGTACGTCCCTAGGCCAACCCCAGCAGGCGAGGCAGCCACAGTCCCCAGCCTCACCCTGCTGCCCACCGTCCCTCCACCCTGGCTGGCCAAGGTGTCAGAGACGTCGCCCCGGAACATTCCACAGCCCTCAGAGTGACAGAGGGAAGCCTGTGTCCCGACTTGGAGAAATGCCCTTGGGGACATTTTTAAACCATTAGTTATGTTTTTTTGATTTAAAAAATATTTAATTGGGAGAAATATTAGAAAATACAGCATAAAAAAGAATAAGTACAAAATATAAACTGCTATTCGGGTATATATTGCCATTCGGTTTTATATAATCTTTTATTGGGGGGCATAGGCTACATGTCATTAGACTGTTGGGGTAGAGCCTATGAAATCGCTGTTTCGGTGCGCCCCAAACAGTCCCCTCGCTGCCATCTCATAGTGGTCAGCCTAACCTGTGCCCAGATTGGCACCTGCTTTCCTGACTTCACCTTATTTATAAGCATTCACTCCACACCTTTAAATATTTTTCCAGAGCAGGATTCTTAAAGGCAAATGCTAGCCTCTCCCAGGAACCTCTACGATTTAACCACCAACGGCTGCCAAATGTTTGTTCTGATAAATCATACTGTAAAGAACATCCTCATAGAAACATGTTTGATTATACATTATACCCGGGTATCCGTTAACGTTATTCTCTGAGGGATTATTATTTCTGATTCTCTCTTAGGATAAGTTCCTGGAGGAGGAATTACTATGTCAAAGAGATGAGCCACTACTTTTAAGAGGGAAAAATTCCCACCAACCAGGAGCCGCAGTGATGACTCAGGATCATGAGAAGTGAGAGGAGACAGGAAGGAAATACAGCATGGAAAGGCCAGGAGGGGTGGGTCGGAGGCGGGCGGGGAGTGATTCTTTTTTCCTTCTTTGTTATTTTCCAGATTTTCTGGGATGTGGTCAAATTCTATTCGTAAATAAGTAGTATCCACCGTCTGGGGGTGGGGTTTTTGATGCCATCTTCCCAGGAAAGAATTTGGGTCTTAAGATAGAATAAATTAGAAGGAGTGTTATGTTAATTAGAGACCAGAGACGAAGTTAAGATTTGATTGGGAATTTTAAGTGAAGCTTTTAAAACCTTTTGACTCTGAGGATTTTTTTACGCAGTCAGGACATTGTGTGGGATCTGCTAATTCAACATTGAGGTTCAGCGTCAGGCCCCCCGTTACAGCCTCGTGTTTGGGTCTAAGGCCGGGGTGGGTGGAGGTAGACGTGGCCAGGCTGCTGTCCACTCTCCTGGCCTTTGGCAGGACAGGGGCGAGAATGGGCCATGGGTCCTTCTTGGGTGCCCAGGCCAGGAAGACCTATTCACTACCCTCCAGGGAGGAGTCTGCCCAGTCCAGGCAGGGGGAGGGTCCGATGCCCAGATGCTCACCTGGGCCAGTTGCTGCCCAGCCTCCGTGGGCACCTGCCGCTCCTCCTCGCAGTCCGTCTTGTTTCCCAGGAGAAGGATGACCACGTCGTCCGGCCCCGCCTCCTGCACACAGAACACGCTCCCTCAGCCACACACGCTGAGCGCCTGCTGTGTGCCAGGCCCTGGGTGGATTTGGTCCTGCCCTCCAGGACACTGACCGTGTGCCTCCTCCCTGCACATACACACACACCTTTCCATGTCACACTCACTCCACACCCTTCCACCTTGATGCTTCCCCTTCCATCTGCAGTGAGTCTGCCCCTCCTCTCTGCCTGCAAACATGTCACCCACTTTCCAAGGCCAACCTCAAAGGCACCTCCCCCAGGAAGCCCTCCTGGTTTGCTCCTGCCCATGCCCCTCTCTTCCTGTCTGTGCTGAACAGCCCAGCACTTGATTACACAGGCTGCCTTGGCTCGTTTCCTAATTGTTTCATGGACAATAATAATAACAGCTCTGTTTACTGAGTGCTTACTGTATACCAGGTGCTGTGCTGAAAGCAATTATATCAGTTAATCCCCACAACTCCTCTATGAGAGAAGTTGGAAATTTCTAGCTCAGAGAGGTTAAGTCACTTGTCCAAGGTCACAGAGTTGGGGTGGGGTAGTTGGGGTCCAAACCTAGGTCCTGTCAGACCCCAGAGCCCTGCTCCCCTCATACATTACCTTACCCACTTCTTTTGCAACTCTTTAACTAGACTAGAAACTTCTAGAGAGAAGACAATATGTCTTGCTTCATACCCCTACTGCAGAATTTCGGTATATATGTATCAGTTAAGTACATGGGGAAAGAACTAGAGATGCGTGGACAGAGGCGTTATCACCTCGAGTAGTAATAGAATTGCATTATTACCAGGTGTTAACAAGACATCACAGAGCTGCTGTATGTAGGAAAGAAATGTTCATGTGATAAAGGAAGTAGTTTGTTTTGGAGGCCATAGTACGTGGTTGTGGTTTCTTTATGCTACTATACTCCCAGCCCATCCAGCCACACGCCCTCAGTGAGTCATGTCACCCACGTGTCTGTTATGTCATTTATAATCCTAGGAGAATAGGGGGAGTGGGCAGGATACCAGCTCCCTCTTGACTCCAAAAACTGAGGCCAACCCCAGCAGCCATCAGCTCACCTGGAGACAGTCCAGCCAGTAGCGCACGTGGGCAAAGCTCTCCTGGGAGGTCACGTCGTACATGAGCACCACTCCGTCGGCCTTGCGGAGCAGCTGCCGCGTCATGCTGTGGTACCTGGGGCCCAGAGTTTGTGTGAGGCCAGGCCTGGTGGGCTGACCCCAGGCCCTGGCCTCTCTAGGCGTCAGCCACTCCATCTGCAAAGTGGGACAATCAACCGTTCCCACTTCTAATTGCTCCCCTTCAGACAGCGTAGTTATTGTTGAATAGGTAATGGTTCTCAGGGCTCAAATTTCAAAAGGTACCAAAGGCACCCAGTGAAAAGTCTGTCCCCCCGACCCTACCCCCAACCTGCAGCCACCCACTCCCCTTCCCCAGAGGTGACCAGGGTTTCCAGTTTCTTAAATATTTTTCCAGAGGTATTTTATGAATATACATAAACTTATATGTGCATGCACACGCATACATATAATACACACACACACCCTTTGTCCCAATTAACACAAATACAGTGTAAAACACTTACGGTACTCGCTAATGTTCAGTAATCTGTACTTTGTTTTTTCCCATTAATAAAATGTCTGGGAAGTATTTCCCTATTGGTCCATAAAGAGGGTCTTGCATCTTTTTTGTGGCTTCATAATATTCTACTGTGTGGACAGAGCCCAACTTACTTAACCGCTCCACTACTGATGCCGTTTAGGTTGTTCCCAAGGTTTCGTAATATAAACGATGTTGCTGAGGACGGTCTTGGCCCTTTGACATTATAGTCACGTGTGAGTTTGTCAGTAGAATGAGTTTCTGGAAGTGGAACTGTTGGGTCACAGAAGATGTGCCTTTCACATTTTACGTTTGCTCACTACCGCCTAACTGGAAAGTGGAAGGCCAGCGTTTTCAGGACAGGCGATTGGGCGGCCGTCCCGAGGGCCATGTTGGGATGACCTTCACAGATGCCCTGCCAGGCCGAGGGGGCCTCTGGGTCTGCTGCCTGGTCTCCCCCATGGGCCTCGACGCATGTCTCCTTCCCCGACCCCCTGAATCTTAGGGGGCGGATGCCTCTTTTTCCCTCGGTTGCCTCTTGCCCACGTTGGTTCCTCAAGGTTGGGGCTGCCCTCCACTGCCCGCACCCCGGGCTCAGCCCGGGTCCCAATATTACTAGTGTAGACAGTGTCATCACCTCTCCTGGCCAGCCGTGTCCCAGAGCTGCAGTGCAAAGCACTCGTTGTCCACCAGCAGGGTTTTGACCCGAAAATCCACTCCTAGGACACACAGAGGCGGGTTAGGCCTACTTCCAAGTTACCATCCAGGACTTCTAGCCAAGGCCTGTCCCCAACACCAGTGGGGGACAACCAGTGGGATGGGAACCTTCCGCTGCTGGGCTGCCCTCTGCTCTCCAAAGCCCATCCATCCTCCAGAGCCCCTCTCCTCCAAAAAGCCTTCCCTGACCACCTAGCCCACGGGGTTCACTCCCGCACCCTGATGTAGGTGCCAACGCAAGGCACCATGCGTTGTTCTGACCTCCACGAACACAGCTGTCTTCCCGACTGCACAGCAATGTTTATCCCTCAGGCCACGCAGGAAAATCAGTTTCATTGTTTGATTTTTATACTACTCCTTGTTTCGCTCCCTAATTATTGCACGCATCTTCCCCCTTCAACCAGACAGCAGGGCAGACAGGCAGCCAGAGGGTAGGAGGAGCACTGGCTTCAGGGAAGACTGACAAGGCTGTGAGTTGTCCACCCTCTGCCACTGTACCAGCTGTGTGACCTCAGGCAAGTCACTTCACCTCTCTGAGCCCGCCTTCCTCTTCTGCAAGGTGGCAATTCAGAAAGACCCACATTGGAGGGTGGTTGGGAGGATTAAATGACTCCTGTCCAAGGTTCAGCCCAGTTTCTGGGGGGGGGGGGTGCTTGACAGGAGACAATTTTTATTATCATTATTAATTCTTATCTCGCTGAACCCCAGCCCCTCAAATTTCACAGCTCCACCCCTCCCTGTGGTCATGATTCCGCATGACCCTGGAAATTCTTTCTGTCCCTGGAAATATGGAGGGAATAGTGAAATCCCAGGGAGGTTTGGAATCTTTGGGGTGCACCTTCCTGCCAACCCCCACTTCCCGAGGAAAGCAGGTGGGGTGGGGGGTGATGGAGAGGGGCTTCGTTGTCTCCGTCACCCCCCCCCCCTTTCCTAATGGAGCCCTGAGGCTGCAGAGCCCACTGCCCGCCCTGGGTCAGCTCAGGAAAGGGGCTGTTCCTTCTATCAGCCCTGAGCTGGTAGGGGGCTTTCTCAAGGTCTCTGACGCTGACCCCCATAGGCACCAGCTGCTGCCCCCCGGTAGTGATTGAAACCGTAACCCCCTCCCCGCCCCAAGCTCTGGACGCTGGGAGAAGCTGGGAGAAGCGGCTGCCCAGGAGGCCTGACCTCAGCAAAGTGCTGAAGCGGCAGCTTGTCTGCAGCATCCACTTCTCTTTACTGCCCTCTTTCCCGAAGGCCTCAGGAAGCCCAGGGTCTGCGGGAACCTCTGTCTCTAATTCGCGCACCCCCCACCCCGTGATAAAATCCAGCCTCTGCTTAAATACTCACCGTGTAATCTATTGAACAACTCTAATGATTATTCTTTGCATTTAATAACTCCTCATTTACTTCTACTTTTCCACCTCCCTGCCCACGCCCTCCTCAACCCACCCATGTGTCCCTACACTCTCCCCAAAGCATGTTACAGCTTAACCACGTAAACTGTTAGGAATATAACGTTTTCTCCTTCCCCAGGAATCTGCGGTTTTACACGAGCAGCCCCAGGGAGACGGCCAGGCTGAACCAAGGGCGGGTGGAACTCCTGGGGTCGGGCATGTGCTAGGAAGGCAGGTGGCCCTGGGTGTGAACTGTGGGGCCCAGCTAGGGCAAGAAACTTAATCAGGTCTCCAATTCTGTTTTCCTCATCTGTAAAATGGGGATAGATATGGGAAAGCCTGGCAAAAATGCACATTCAGATATAACTCAATTGGCTCTGGCTCTGGGCCTCCACCCAGCCCTGTTCTCGAATGCAGGCAGGCCGTTGTTCCCATCTTCTGAGAGAGGGAGGCAGGAATGCAGGAGGGTGATGCTGAGGGGGGAAAGTTCATGATGAGGAAGCCAGAATAGTCCCCAGTGATAATTATGCCAGATGGATGACAGCCACCAAGGGGCACCAACCCACAGCTGGGACTGGGACAGACCTGGATCTGCACCTGGCTCTCAGGTACCCCCGGCAGGCCAGGAGTGCCTGCAGCCTTGCCCTGTCTTTTGACAATTATGCAACCTGTGCTTTTCTTGATTGAATTTTATGGAACCTTCTCACCACATAATAACGAGGGAGGCTCAATTATAGGAGAGTTGTTGTAAGCAACAAGACGCATATGGAAGATGCCTGGTGCACTGCAGGTGGTCAGCAACCAGGAGTTTCGATAATTAATGAGTGGCCTTGCAGACCCTGTGACCCTGCTGTACATCAGGCCAGGCCTGCTGCGGGGTCCCCCTTCCCAAAGACACTGTGTTTTTAACTGGCTCCCCAGCTGAGGATTCTTAGGCAGAGAAAAGTCTGAGAACTTGTCGTGGGGCCTCTTTGGCGTGAGGGGTGTCATTTACCCACTAACCTGGCCCTGGTCCCCAGGCAGCACGTGCCCCGGCTGACACACAGACGTGGATCGCTCCATCTCTGTCCCTAAGCGGATCTCCCTTTCAACCCCACGAGCTCATTTTCTGTTGCTCTATACGGTGGGCATATAACCCGATATTTTCAGGGAGAGGAGGCTTTGTGCTTTGGGGCATGTCGTTTGCAGGAGCCACTGAATTAGACTTTATCAAATATTTACTTATAATGATAACAATAAAAATAGTATTTATCGATATTACATGCCAGATACTATCCTAAGAGCTTGACATGTATTAACTGAACTCATCCTTACACCTGCTCTAGGAAGTCAGCACGATTATTGTCCCCATTACGCAGATGAGAGTTTGGGGGCTCAGAGCAGTTAAATAATTTGCCCAAGTTCATACTGCTTGTAAGTGGCCGAGCTGGGATTTGAACTCAGGCACCTGGGTTCCTAACTTACCACACTCTGCATCTACATTCTCTATAAAATACTCAACTTGCCCAAGGCGGCTTCCTGCCAGGGCCTGACTGACGGGCCTGGGGCTGGTCACGGACAAATCCGCCCAGTAGGGCCCCTACAGTGGCCTGCTCATGGGCCACGTGGGTGGGGACTTGTTTTCACCCTCCACCAGCGCTGGCACCTAAATTGCGGGGTGCTTTGTGGATGGGGCACATTAAAAGCTAATCAGGTCAATACAGAAAAAGCAAATTACCTGTAGTTAGAGATGATTAGTAAAATAGCAAGATTATGCCCATATAAAATATTGTCTAATGCAGGGCCTGTGGCCAGAACAGAACCTGCAGCTCCTTCAGGGATGGCTCGCTCTGGGCCTGCTCCGGCTTACTGGTCGAGGCCCCCGGGTCTCCCCTCCCCGCCGTGCCCTCCCCGGCGGGCCCTTACCCACGGTGGCCGTCAGCCCAGTGGCGAAGGAGTTTTGGTGCAGTAGGTACAGGAAGGAGGTTTTGCCCACGTTCGAGTCTCCCAGGAAGATGACGTGGAAGACGTAGTCAGGGTTGGCTGAAGGCTCACTGGCCGTGTGGTCCCCTGGGGCTGGGGGCAGCCCAGCCTCCCCGGAGTCCGTTCCTGGGTCTTCAGGCCTGTGCTCTGCCCTCGGCTCCCTGGATGGAGAGGGGCCTTGTTCTACTTCTGCATGAGCAACTGTGGGTGGGGCTTCCAGCTCAGCCGTGGTGGGGAGGGTGTGTGTGGGCTCCCGGGGCCCTGCTGCATCCCCAGGCTGAACCCCCATGGAGGGAGAGCCCCCTGGGGGTGACGGTTTTCCAGGAGCCTGAGCCTGTGGTGTGTCATACCGGAGAGGACCAGGCGGAGAACCTTGCTGGGGGAGTTCTGAACGCCCAGTTTTCAGGCTGTGAGCCTCAACTGGCTGCTCTGAACTGCCATCCTGCCCTCCTTGGTCTGCTTCTTTCCTTTCCTCAGCCCCGGACTCCTCTTCCAGACTCTGGCGAGGGAGGGCAGGCAGCCCGTCTGGCCCGAGGGCCTGGCCGTGAGCTTCTCTGAGCCCCCCAAGACAGCCCTCCTGCACGTGGCCCGGCTTGCCCTGCTCCAGTTCCTCTGTGGGAGCCTGGCCCACAGGCTCCAGACCCTGGGAGGGCTCAGCCAGCCCCGGTGTGAGGGGTCCGGCTCGCAGGGACCCCCCGCCTGGCTCAGGGCCAGCAGTGTACGGGTCCTGACAGAGGGCCTCTCTCTGCCTGGGCGGCGTGGCTGGGACAGGCCCAGGCCCGGGGCCTTCGTCATCTGGGTTTGAGGCCTGGAACTGTTCGCTGGGCCCAGCTGGAGCCTGGGCAGGGGGAGAGTTCACATGGGGAGGGGGTCCATCCTCCAAAGGAACGAGCACTTTGAGTGCGGCTGCCCCCACGGCCCCGGACTCCCCAGTTGGGGTCTCCGGCAGACCCCAGGAGAAGTGGTCCTCGGGGCCGGGTGCTGCTTCCTCCTTAGGTTCCAGGCTGTGAGGCTCGACAGGCCGCTCTGAACGGATGTCCTGCCCATCCGGGTCCACGTCTTTGCCTTCCTCGGCCCTGGAAGGCACCCCAGGGGGGCTCCTTGGAGCCCCATCCGGATCTGAAGATGGGTTCTGTTCAAACAGCCCAGCATGTGGTTCTGAGATGGAGATCTGCCTGATCACTCGGGGTGTCGGGGGGTCTGAAGGGGACCTTGGGGTCTGGGGCGGGCTCCAGGAGAGCTGCAGAAATTTCTGCTGGGGGCTACTGAAGTTGCTCAGGAGAAGGTCCCAGTCATCATTGTCCCCAAACAGTTCTGGCAGGGGAGCCTCCTCAGAGGAGACTGCCTGAGGGTCTGGAGCCTTCTCTTCACCTGCTCCGGGGACACTGGAAAGGGTACGGGGAAGCTAAGATCAGGGGAGGGGCAGGTAGATGTCACACCAATCCCGCCTACATCCCTCACCATCAGCCTCACACCTCGCGGCCCGCCCTCCCGCCCAGTCTTTGGGCAGACAGTCCTGCTTACCTGGCCTGCGCCCCCCACTCCTCCCCCTCATCCAATCATGCTCATCCTTCCAGGCCTATATGAAGCCTCACCTCCTCCAGGAAGCCTTCCTTGAGCATTCTGGCCCATCCCACTCCTCTAAGCTTAACAAGCAGAGTGAGTGCCTGCCAGGGACCCAGCACTGCACTAGACCCAGTGTTGGTGTGTGCGTGTGTGTTTGAACCCCACTTGTGTGATCTTGGGCACATGACTTTCCCCTCTCCATGCCTCAGTTTCCTCGTCTGAGAAATGGGCATGATGATCGCAGCCTGGCAGGGTTGTCATGAGGTTTAAGGAGGGAGACCGTGTGTTCTGGGCCTGACAGAGCCTCAGAGGACAGAACCTCCCTCCCCTCTTGCAGGGAGCCCCTGTCTCCCCCTCAGCCCAGGCACGGCAGCTGCTTGCCTCGCTTCCTCCTCCATCTGCCAGGATACGCGGCTCCTGGCGGCGTTCAGGTGCCCTCTGGTCACCTGCAGCTGCCCCCGCACCTCCTCCAGCTGCCCAGCCAGGTCACGCTCGGCCTCCCGAAGCTGCTGGTTCTCGGCGCTGGCCTCCTGGTGTGAGCCACTGAGGCGGTGGAGCTGGGCCTCCAGCTGCAGGGTGGAGGGTGAAGAGGAGAGAGGCCCAGTTGCCCTCCAGGGCAACCAGCAGCCTCCCGAGACCACTGTGGGCATAGACTCCAGGCTCCCGGAGACCAAGTTTAAAACAGGATTGGGAGTGGGGTTACCCCTCATTGGTCTAATTAGCCCCATTCCCTCCCACCGAGGGGAGACATTGGAATTGTCGGGGTAGGGAGGAGAGGCAACTGTGTAAGAAACACAACTGCCAGCGCCGCCAGGGCCCAGATGTAAACAGGAGCACACTCTCCTCTGCTCAAAACTCTGTGATGGCTGCTCCTCTCTGAGCCCACATGGTCTGCAGGGAGCTCCCGATCCAGCAGCAAGTCACATAACTCGGGGATGAAGAGCTGCTTGACCCCGCGGAGTGGGAGACAAAGCCCTCACAAGGGCCTCCAGGGCCCTGCACAGTCTCCCCCACCCCACCCCTGTGACATCCCTGACCTCCTCTCTCACTACTCCTCAGTGTGCTCCAGCCCCCAGGTCCCCTTGCTGTTCCTTGAATATTGACAGTGTATGCCTACCTCAGGGCCTTTGCACTCGCTGTTCCCTCTGCCTGGACAGCTCTGCCTCCACATACCACACGGCCCACCCCTCACCCTTTTCAGGTCTCTACACCAGGTCATCATCTCAGTGAGCCTTCTTGACTCTCCTATCAAAGCCCTCCCATCCCCCTGCCCTGCTTTACTTTATTCTCCTTAGCAGTTCCACTATCTGATGTGTTATAGATTTTACTTGCTTATTTTATCATCCGCCTCCATGACTAGACAATAACTCCATGGGCAAGGGTTTGTGCGTATCAGGTCCCTCAGAACCTAGAACAGTGCCTGGCACATGGTAGGTGTGCCAGAAATAGTTGTTGGGTGAAGGAATGAATGGCCTGAGGGGAGAGGCTTCATATCGCCTGTGGGACAAAATGGCCCCATGTGGAAAGTCCAACCTCCTCTCTTGGCAGAAGGGGCCGGCCTCCATTTCCCAGGAGCAGCTGTGCAGAGGCGGCTGGGAAATCAACCCGTGTCAGGAGGGTGAGGCCAGGTGGCAGGGCCAGCCGAGGCCGTGGTGGGGAAGCTCCGGGAACCTCGTCCAGTGCGCAGGGGTGCTGGTGGCCTGGGTTACAGCAGATGGGGACTTACTATGGTCAGTGCCTGAAGCTGAGGGAGGAAGAGACAGTCGGGCAGGGCCTCAGACCCAAAGACAGCCACAACGCCAACTGGAAGTGACCATAGGCCACGAGACCTGGGGCGTCGGGGCAGCAGGTAATCTGACAGGGAGACTAGGTCAGCTTCAGAGACAGTAACAACTGTGATGTATAAAGAACCTACTACGTGCCAGGCACCATCTTATGCCCTCAAATATAGTATCCCTAGTCATCACGACAGCCTTCTAAGGCAAGAGTTCTGATCTCTGTTTCTCTGATGAGGAAACCAAGGCTCAGAGAGGTTAAAAACCTGCCCGAGGTCACTCAGCTGACAGTGGAGACCAGAGCTGAACCACCCTATCACCAAGCCTCTCCAACACTGAGACCTCATGCTTGCCCAGTGCTCACCTGTTTCAAGATGCTTCCCCATTTACTCTCTCATTTCATACAACTAGCCCATGAGATGCAGTAGATGTGGCTAGACCCATTTTACAGGTGGAGAAACTGAGGCCGAGACAAGCAACGTTATGTCCTCAGATTTGCATGGCTCTTAAGGAACAGCAGGGACTTTCTGACCCAAGTGCCAGTGCTCCCACTGTACTACCTGGCCCGGTCGCAGACAGGGGCCCAAGACACCTCATTCCCAGGGGGCTACTCTCATCTGGAAGCCCAGCCAGCCCAGTGAATCCTCAGGGCTGGGCTGGTGGCTTCAGGCTGACTTATCCAGTCAGAATCAGAGAGCATTCACGGCAGGTCCATGGAGATGGGGGTGAGAGTCTGGAAATCCTCAGAAACTGGGCCCCCGGGGAAGGCATGTCACTCACCTCCCTCTGGCCCTCAGTCAGCTGCTGTACCTCATGCTCCTTGGCCTCCAGGAGCTCCTGCATCTGGGAGCTGAGGGCCAGGTCCCGGGAGTTGCTCTGGGGAGCAGAGAGGTCTCAGCCCCTGAACCGCAGAATCTAAGACCCAGCTGGGCCAGGCAGCCCTCCCCACACTTCACCCAGGCCTGGGGTGCAGGGTCCAGGACGTCCCAGCAAGGAGGGGTCTCAGGACAGCTTCCCTGGCTAGGGGCTGGACTGTGGCAACAAGGATACTGAGGCCCAGGGAGTGGAAGGACTGGCTCCGGGGGACACGGCGAGACCCGGCAGAGATGCGCAGGGGGCCCAGGCTCAGCGCCCGCCTCCGGCTCCCCCACTGGCCGGTCAGCAGCCCCTTAGCCAGCAGCGGAGTCCAAGCTGCCCGGGGAGCCCACCTCAGCCTGCAGCTGCTGCTTCTCCCGGCGGATCTGCTGCTCCATCTCCTCGTAGAGCTGCTGGACCTCGCGGTGGTGCTCAGAGTCCCGCCTGCGAGGGGTGGGCAGTGGGGCAGGCAGCCCGTCAGCACCCTGGGACCCTGCAGCTGGCAGGGGTGGTCTGGGCCTGGGTTTGGGATCCACCCTGCTGCTCACCTCGCTCTGCCAGAGGTCACTGAGCCTTGTCACCCGGAGAACACTCATCCCAGGAACAGCTTCCTGACCCACGCGCCTTTGACGTGGTCACCCTGATCCCCTCACACTGACCCCTGTAACCGTCACCAAAATACTGGTTCCCCGGCCCTGTCACATGGTCCCCATCGCCCCTTCACTCTGTCCCCACTTCCTGCTGCCACCATCCCCCCACCCCCATAACTCAGAGGCCCTGGCAGGGCTGCGCCCGTGCCAACCCCAGGGTCACCACACGCATTGTAGTCTACGTGAGCAGGGCCCCTGGAGTGGGTGCCACAGTGGCCCTGCACCAGGCACGCTAGCCATTCCCCTTCCCGCTAAAGGCCCAAGTCTGTCCTCCCCAACAGGTCCCCTAAGTCACCCCTTCTTGTAGCTCAGTTCCGCCCCATCCAGCTCCCAGGCCCTGCTGGGGACCCCTGGCCTCCATTCTTCTGGAGCTGAAAGGATTCAATGAAGATTCAACTAAAATGTGAAGAGTCCCCACTATGCGCCGGATAGCGGGTGGGCGAGGCAGCCGGCCTCCACTCACTTCCTCAGGCTCAGCTCCAGAGCCTCCTTGTCGGCCCGGGCCTCCTGCAGGCGGCTGGTCATCTTGGCCAGAAAGGCCTCCAGGTTGCCCGCCAGCTGGGGCTCCTCCTGCCGCAGCTTCCCCCACAGCTGCCAGATCTCCGCCTGCCTGGGGAGGGGAGGAGAGCCAGAGACTAGATGCGAGGTGGGACCAGGAAGCAGAGGGAGCCCACTCCTCAGTTTTAATGACAGCACTCCAAGAAACTTGGGAACCTAGGCCACAAAACTCCATTTACACCCTACAAGGTGCAATTCAAGTGCCACCTCCTCCAGGAAACTTTCCCAGATGTGCCCTCTCCCCTGTTGAATCCTCACAGCACTTTGTCTCTCTATTGTTTGGTGATTAATTGTGGCATGTGGGGACCTGGGGGACTCGACGACCCGGGGCTTCCATCTGCCTTCTCTCTTCTCCCACTCTGTAGCTGTGCGGCCTTTGGCAAGTCTCAGGCCCTCTCTGGGCTTATTTGTAAAATGGGGAGGCTGATACCTGCTCAGCGAGGTTGCTGGAGAGTGAGAGACACGCCCAGCGAAAGCACCAGCTTAGGGCCTGGCACACAGGTGGCGCTGGATAAATGCGGCTTTCATACGCTACACGCAGATTTAATTGTTATGAAGACAGATGCCAGAGGGCAGAGCCCAGGCCAAGCTTCCAAGTGAGTAAGTGGCTCCCCACCACGCCTGCCCCGCCAGCCTGCACCCCAAGTCCCGCCCTGCTTGCCCCACAACCCCCCGGCCTCCTCTCTGAGAGGCTGTCCTCACACAGCCCTGTGGGGTGGGCGAAGCCGGGAGCACGCGAGAGGGTGGTTCCCTCGCTAGCTCCAACAGACCCATGGGGCCGGGGGGTGGGACAGGGGCATTTTCGGGCGGGGCCCCTGTTCTCTGAGCGTGAGTGACCCCCATGAGCCCAGAGACTGAGACAGTCTGGAGGAAATGCCCTCCTGTTTCCATACCCACCCAACCCCGGGCATCACCAGGTCTGAAATCACTCCACTGGGGACCCTCTCTTTGGGTTAAGAAAGGCACCCCCAGGGAGCCTTGTGTTTTTAGGAATATGAGTACCCTTGGAGGCTGATAGCTCAACTCACTGATCCTTCTGGGGCGTGACCCTGTAGGACAGGACAGGGCGGGGTGGGGGGGGGGAAGGACTCTTTGTGAGCAGGCGTTCTCCACACACGGCTTCATTTAACCCCACAGCAGCTCTACGATCGCTCTGCAGCCGGAGACACAGAGGTCAGAGGTCAGGCCACTTGCCCCAGGTCACACAGCTAACAAGTGGCCAAATCAGAATTTGCACCCAGCTCTACCTGGCAGCCTCCCCGCTTGGCACTGTGTCCAGGCGAGTCCTCACCCCCACCGCCCCGCGGTGGCTTCCCTCGCCCCCACCACACACTGAGCTGGCCTTACTCGGGAAGTAAGTGGCCGGCCTCCAGCTGCTTCATGAAGGCGAAGAACGCCTCTTTCTCCTCTGCGTTGGCCTCCTCCAGCCCTGGGAGGCTGGTGGCCAAGGATCCTTGCTTGGAGGGCGGTGGCCTCCTTCTGCGGAGCCTGTGGGTTCTCGGGCTGGAGCCAAAGATGTTCTCTATGGGACAGAGGGGGACAGAAGGGAGCAGAGCGGGGTTGGACCCAGCCCCCTGCCCTGCTGCAGTCCTTGAAGAAGTAATTATATCCGTGTCAATCACATTTATGCAGGGCCATGTTCATGCGCTCCTCATATCAACCTTGGGAGTCTACTCAAGGTGGACACTGTGCCCATTTTACAGATGAACATCTCAGGCCCGGAGAGACCAAAAGACTTGCTGGAAGTCACACAGCAGCTCCACAGTGGCCAACAGAGTCTTCTCTCACTTAGTCAAGGCATATTTACAGAGCATCTACTATGTGCTGGGGACAAAAGTGGCCAAAATCCCTGCCCTGGAGGAGCTGACATTCTAGCGAGAGCTGAAAGGGACACATTTTTAAAGTAAATTTGCTAAGTGAACTACAGGAATAAACAGAGTAATTTCCATTGAGGGACTGGACAGGGTCTACTTCAGAAGAGGTGGTCAGGTGTGTCCTGAGGAGGTGACAGGAACTGAGATGTGAATAACAAGAAGGAGCCAGCCATGTGGATTTCTCGGGAAGTGAATTCCAGGCAGAGAGGGCAGCAGATGCAAAGGCCCTGAGGTAGGAGCCAGACTGGCAGACGGGTAGAGGTGACTGGCCCTGAGGGAGCCCAAGGCGGTGGCGAGTCTGGACGGTGCTGCCCTGCAGGCCCGGGCAGGAGTTTGGATTTTGTTCCACAGGCATTGGAAGGTCCCTGGCATGGTGGGCCTGACTGGATACAGGTGTGAAGATGGCCCCTTGGGGCTGCACGGACAACACTGTTCCCTCTGCCCCTCCCCTACCAACCCCTGACCCCCTGATTCCAGGCCCTGATTCTCCCTCCCCACTCCCAGCTTCTCAATCACCAGAAGTGGAGCAACCACCTCCTGCGGCGGCCTCGACCTGTGAATGCAGATTCCTGGCCTCCCTCTCCATTGTCCCTCAAATTTTGGAGGCTCAGCAGACCTGAGAACTCTGGATGGCTTTGCAGACATTTAGGATGAACTGTGCTCTGCAGGGTCTCTGCAAGGACACCACACCTTCCATTCCCCGGGCCGGAAGGTCTTCCCCATGGAGATCAGTGGAGAATTGTGCCCTGCAGCCTTGGTCTCTCTAGGTTCTTTTGGGCCTATCTGAGAGGCAGGTGTTGGAGTGTGGTCCTGCTTGGTGGGGGCTCAGGGGCTGGGAAGCCCCCACGCCCTAAATAGCACCCTCTGCAGCTCCCTGGGGCCTGGAATTCCCTTACTTAGAAAGCAAGCCTGGAGGCCTCTCTCTGGAGGAGGAGGAGGATGCTGAGGGGAGCCCCCAGCCAATGACCTGCCCTCACTGGTGGGAAAGGAAGTGAGAGGTCTCCTGGGCTAGAGTCTTAAGGCTCAGCTCTGCTTTGAACCAACTGCCGTCCCCACCCAGGCTCGGTGTCCTGTCTCCACAGTAATCTGTAATAGCATCCACACCCCGAACTGCTCTGGTGGGTGTTTTGAAGGTTCTCCGGCTAGTAAGGTGTCAGTGTTGACTCTCCTGTCAGCCCAGCCTCGCCCTGTGCTGGGCGCACTGCAGGGGACGCCTGGCGGTGTAGCAAGTCCCCAGACGCCCTCCCAGGACAGACATACTGAGCCCAGAGCTGAATTCTTCGAGGGAGAGGCGTCCCTTCCGCTCCACGTCCACCCAGTCGAAGATCATCCCCGGCTCCTCCTCGCCGCCCAGGAAGCTGAACTTGGCTACCTGGAAGGAAGGGGTGAGTTGAGCAGCCGTTCCCACTGGGAGAGCTCTGGGCCACTCTCAAAAAAAGAGAGGTATTTGTCTCCAGCCACCCCCACCTCTCCTCTCCCCAGTTTTGGAGTCCCACCCCCATCCTGACCCTGGGCCTACCCTTGAGGCTCCTGGACACCATCCAAGACAGCCTCTCAGCAGAGCCTTGAACTTCCTCCAACTCTTTTCCCCTCCTTCATCCAACATCAAACCTTATCTCTCCTGAGTTGCATCCCTTTAGGATCCTAATGAAGGACAATAGCTAATCCTCCCCAGAATGTGTTTATCAGCCTCCAAAAATTATCTGGAACTTGAAAATAAGTCCAAAACGTGGACAGCACATCCTTTCAGTACTCTACTGGGGCAAAGGCCACCCAAGCATTTTCTAGACTATAAGCATGTACTTACTTCATCTCTCGGGACTGATTAAAGGTCCCAGACTAAATGAAGTCACATGGGAACTTGTAGATTTTGTCTAGGAGGGATGTAAATAACATTTGTCTGATGGGACAGATAACCCCAAAGATTTGTGGCCTGTTGGACATTAACCAGCTTTTGAAAATCTAACTCAGCAATCTGATGCTAACATGTCTTTGTTAAATTATCTGGCTTTTTAAATGCTCTTTCAACCATTCATCACATTTCTCATTAATTAATGAGTTTAATAATATCTTTGATGTAGATTCTTTTTTTGTCTTTTTTTAAAATTTTTTGTCGTCGTTGTTGACGAAGATTCACCCTGAGCTGACATCTGTGCCAATCTTCCTCCATTTTATATGTGGGCTGCTGCCACAGCATGGCTGATGAGTGGCGTATATCCACGCCCAGGATTCGAACCTGCGAACCTGGGCTGCCAAAGCGGAGCTCATTGAATATAACCACTACACAAGGGGCTGGCCCCATAGGTTCATTCTATATTTGTCTCAGGGTTGTGATTTTACCGTTTTGGCAATTATACTTCAGCAGTTTTGGAGGTTCTGTGGAGATGCCCCAGTGGACTCTGCTGTCAGAACCAAATCAACCATATTGCTGGAGAAGAACCCCTCATGGGCTCTGAGCCCAGGCACTTCTTGGCACTTGGAAGGAAGCCCAAGTGCAGTAGGACTTTAAGTTCGCTGGCTCTCTGTTTCTCTAGTTTTTCTTTCTTTCTTTTCTTTTCTTTTTTTTTGCTGATTTTGTGTGCTTGTTTTTGGTGGCAGCAATGATGGGGAATTTGATTTTACGGCCTCACCTTTGGTGATCTCTGTGGGCTGCATGAGGGAGACCTAGGTCTGTTGGTTGAGAGACAACAGAGAATCTGGTTTGCTAATCTTTTGTCGGTGGTTGGTAGTGTTTGTTTTTCTATGTATGACCTCAAATCAGTTAAGAATTTTGTACCCAGTGGGAAGAACAGTTCTCTGAGATCTGGGCTGGTGAGTTTGTGTTTCTGTGTTTACTTTTGATCCGTGGCTGGAGTTGTAGAAATGAAGTCAGACACTCTCTACATACGTCTGTAATTCAGAAAGGCGTTTAGAGTGTGAAATATTACCTGGAGGGTATTAGTAAGGAGCACTACGTCTCTCAAAGAAGTTCTGTGTTGATTGGTTTGTTGAGACAAATAAGTTCTTCTAGAAACCTAATATTCCCCCAAATCACAGAAAATAAACTGAACATCTAATGCTTTAAAGGTGCTAGAATTTTGTTTTTTAATCCCTTTTACAAGAAATTCCTAGCTCAAAAAACTTTTAAGGAGCCATGTTCACATAATTAAGGTGAATTTTTAGACAAATTAGATTGGCTTAATGATTTTGGCTTATAAAACACAAATAATAGCCATTTGTGCTTTCTCTGCCTTATATTAAGTATAATACAGTTATACATTCTACTTTTTATAAAATCTCGATTTGTTTTTATAAAGGAACTAGTTAATCTGAATTTCCTACTTTTCTCATTTTTTCTTACTGATCAAATAAGCCAACATTATCCGTACATAATGTTTAAGATCATAAAAATGTAAATTTATGTTCAACTAAATCAATGCATTATTCTAACAAATTTTACATCAATAGTACTTCTATTTTGTAGTGTGTCACCTGAAATACAATTTCCAAGGTCCTTAGGTAACTTGAAAAATGTGAATATTAAATTAAGTTAATTAATAAATAATTTGGGGCTATCTGGATATTTCTAAGAAGTGTTTAATACTGAAACATTGATTGCTAAGCATAGTTTTAAGTTTACATCCTTTTACTTCTTATTTTTACATGCTAGAGAGCAGCTATGTCTTCGGGTCACGTTAATGCATGAATTCATTTTTGCCACTTTAAAGAGTTGTGCCAGAGAAAGCAAGGACTCAAGTAGATATTTGCACACCCGTGTTCATAGCAGCAATATTCACAACAACAAAAATATGGAAGCAACTCAAATGTCCATCAAGGGATGAATGGATAGACAAAATGTGTTACATACATACAAGGGAATATCATTCACTCTTAAAAAGGAAAGGAATTCGGAAGTTTGCTACAACATGGATGAACTTTGAGGACGTTATGGTAAGTGAAATAAGCCAGTTGCAAAAAGACAAATACTGGATGATTCCACTTACATGAGGTACCTAGAGTGATCAAATTCATAGAGACAGAAAGTAGAATCGAGGTTACCAGGGGCGGGGGAGACAAGAGAATGGGAGTTAGTGTTAACAGAGTTTCGGTTAGAGGAGAAGAAAAAGTTCTGGAGATGGATGGTAGTGACAGTTGCACAACAATGTGAATATACTTAATGCCACTGAACTGTACACATAAAAATGGTTAAAATAGTAAATTTTATGTTATGTGGTTTTTTTATTTTTATTTTTTGTTGAGGAAGATTGGCCCTGAGCTAACATCTGTGCCAGTCTTCCTCTATTTTGTATGTGGGTTGCCACCACAGCATGGCCACCGATGAGTGGTGTAGGTCCACATCCAGGAACCGAACCCAGGCTGCTGAAGCAGAGCGCACCGAAGCCAACCACTAGGCCATGGGGCTGGCCCCTGAATTTTATGGTATGTATATTTTATCACAATTTTTTTTTTAAAGCTGTGCATGGGATATGTGTGACTGTCGAAAGCTGTGTTATGTGTGTTTGTGAGCTTTGCTAGTCTACTAAAATGCTTGTGTAAGACAGACAGTTCTCGGTTACTGACCCCCCAGTTCTTTCTGTGAAATAGAGGTTAATTACTTTGGTTAAACGTTATAATCACTAGAGATGTTTGAGACTATACTAGGAACAACAGCGACGGAGAAATACAGCTGTGTCTGCAAGGGAAGTGGGATGTGGTTTTGCTTTCCAAGGGGAAGGGGAGAGGTTTTTGTCTTAAATGTCTGGTTGCTCCAGAACACGAAAAAGGATAAAAAGGCAAAACCTGAATGGATATAGAGAGTTGTAGAGGGTTTGCTGAAAGGGTATCTTATTGGCCTTGATTTATAATACCTGAGTCTAAAAATAAGCTATGAAATAGGTTAACATTTTGCCAAATTTGGCTCAGTTTTCCTAAGTTTAAAAATAAATTTCTAAAAAACTTGTGAAACTTTTACTGCCACATGTTATGTTGATGCAAAACTAGAATTTGGCTCCATCACTATTAAAATGATAAATTGCTTTTAGGGTTCTTAGCAAAGGTTAAAAAGAGGTGACTATTTATCTTCCGTGTAAGTTGCTCAGATAACTGATTCCATATCTCAGCAGGATGATTTTCTCTGCTTTGTTTTGGCTTTATCGTGTTCTAATTTTTTAAAAAACAAAAATCTAAGGCATCTCTCTTATAAAAGAGCTAAATATCCTTGCAATTGTGTTACTTTCTTCTAGGTTTGTTTCAAAATATTTTATTTTATTGTCGCTTTGATTAAATGGGTATCCAAGTAGTATTTCTGAGGCTCCCATGATCCTATCTTAATCTAGTGCCCAAATCTTCTCTGATAGCTCTTTTGATTTTGCCTGCCCTATATCAGATCATAAATTTGGGGAAAAAAATAAAAATTTCAGAATATCTTTCTCTACATTTATTAAATACCTCACCACTATTACAAGAGCATCAAGAAATAACAAGTGTTGGTGAGGATGTGGAGAAAAGGGAACCCTTGTACACTGTTGGTGGGAATGTAAATTGGTGCAGCCACTATGGAAAACAATATGGAGATGCCTCAAAAAATTAAAAATAGAACTACCATATGATCCAGCAATCACACTTCTGGGTATTTATCTGAAGAAAATAAAAACACTAATTCGAAAAGATATATACACCTCCATGTTCACTGCAGCATTATTTTTAATAGCCAAGATATGGAAACAACCTAAATGTCCATTGACGGATGAATGGATAAAGAAAATGTGGTATATATACATACGATGGAATATTATACAGCCATAAAAAAGAATGAAATCTTACCATTTGTGACAACATGGATGGCCCTTGAGAGCATTATGCTAGGTAAAATAAGTCAGACAGAGAAAGATAAAAATTCCATATGACCTCACTTATATGTGGAATCTAAAAAAAGACAAAATTGAGCTCAGGGATATAGAGAACAGACTGGTGGTTGGCTGAGGCAGAGGGTGGGGAGTGGACAAAAATGAGCACAGGGGATCAAAAGGTAGAAGTTTCCAGTTATGAAATGCGTAAGTCACAGGGATGTAATATGCAGCATGGTGACTATAGCTAACAATAGTATATTGCATATTTGAAAGTAGCTAGGAGAGTGACTCTTGAAAGTTCTAGTCACAAGGAAAAAAGTTTGATAACTACATACAGTGACAGACGTTAACTGGACTTATTGTGGTGATCATTTTGCAACATAAAAATATCAAATCATTATATTGTACACCTGAAACTAATATAATGTTATGTCAATTACACCTCAATTAAAAAAACGAAAAAATCATTTTTGAAAATTATAAGGAAATTCTTATTTCAAAGCCTTTAAGCTAAAATATTTCTGAAGTTCTTTTGGACAATATAGATAACTTATAACGTATTTTAAAAGTTCATTAAGATTAATTAATACAATTGTGTTTAACACCTGCTCCTAAAAACTGACCATTATCAATAAAGAAAAATCTTGTAATATTTGCTGCATGTAGAAGAAAATAAAAACTGGAGCTTTTAACCTGTAACCCAAAATCTAATATCAAATATGACTTGAGTTAAAAGAAAAAAGAGCATTAGAGGAAGAACTGTCACATCAGAAGAGATTTTCAACCTTTCCTGGGCTAAGTTTATATGGGTAAATGCTATTAATATAAATATGTAAGAAATTGTATGCTTTATGGGAAAGCCCTAGAGATTTCTCAATGCCTTTGCTATTCATAATTTGTTCTTATCTTCAGGAAAAACACTGATCAAAGCCTGATGAACTAGTCATTTACTGTATCCCGGTAGAGAACTTTCCTCTCTTCCACTCTGATATTATTAGTTACTGTAATAAATAACCACAGCCTTTCAGTCTTGTTACTAAATAAGTTTCTGCATTCTTACCCTTGCCTGAAGGCTCAGTTAAAAGCTGCAGGCCGCAGCTGTGTCTTCCACAAAGGACAGACTCAAAACTCTGCGGAAGACTCGACCAGGTTCTGTGAACCATTGACGCTTTACTGAGGTACAGGCTTCTAAGCTGACATTAGCCGACTTTCAGACTGAGCTGGCAGACTGACAATTTCTAGGTCTCTTTCGAGTCCAGAAACAGCCAGCTCACCCAAGATCCAGCGGAACAGGAATTAATTACATGGGCCTGAAAGAATGGTTCAATGAAATCTAGTTGTGGTTATTTGTTGGGAATACAGTTGGCATTATTTTTTATTGTTCTATTTTTATGGATCTATAAGGAAGTTCTTTCTCTGTCTTCTTGAGCTGTCTCTAACCTTCGGTTTAGTAGATTATTGCTTTTGTAAACTGAAACTAAACATTTTAAATGGTATCTGAATCTCACTGACCCTCTCCTGCCAGTATATTTTACTGGCAATATAGTTACACGGCAATAGAGTTCTTTACACAAGTTCCATGACAATATAGTTATTTACACAGGTTCCATGGCAATGTAGTTCTTCACACAGGCTCAGTAAGAATCAGTCCTCCCTTTTGCTGGGATATAATTGGATAAATCAATTGTGTAACTGGAGTATCATATTGGAGAATAATTCTCATTTAATCGGGTGTGACATGTCCACTGTAAGGAACCCCCATGAAGCTAATGCCTGCAAGGCCCTCCCAGGAGGCTGGCCTGGAACCAGGTGACAAGGAAGGCCCCTTCTGGGCAGGAGAGGGACCTCAGAAAAATTGGGAACCTCAGGAAGAGAGGAAGCCACTCACATTTACAGGTGCTGCGGGTAGAAGCTGGTGGAGAGAGTCTTGGGCGTGGTTTCCTCACCTCAGGATAGAAGGCGGGTGGCCAACCCATCCCAGTTTGCCCAAGACTTTCCAGGTTTTAGCACTGACAGTGCCACGTCCCAGGTGCCCTCCAGTCCCAGGCAAACTGGTTTTGAAAGTCCAACCTGAGATTCCACATGAAAACTTCTGGACAGAAGCTGAAATGACTCAATACTGAAAGTCGAGGTTTGCAAAGCAAACTCACGGAGGCCCACCCGTTTCATTTACACCCTCACTGCTCCTATGGAAATAATCAAACCAAACCCAATGAGACTAGCCTTTTTTATATCAAGAATAAACTTTGGAGGTTATTTATGATCAAAGAAAAACTATCTGAAACTTAGAAATAAGGCAAAAAAGTAGACAGCACACCCTTTCAATAACATATGGGGGTAAAGACTTCCCAGGCATTGTCTAGACTGGAGGAATTCACTTAGTTCATTTCATTGTTTACCTTTAATTAAAAGTCCCAGACTTACTGTAGTTACTTGTTAACTTGTAGATTTTTGTCCAGAAGAGATGAAAATAATTTTTGTCTAGTAGAACAGATAATCCCAAAGATTTATGGCCAGTTGGACATTAGCCATTTTAAAAATTGAACTCAGCAATCTTATCTTAACACTCCTGTCAAATACCCCATAAATATCTGAGCTTCTCGAATGCTCTTTGAACACGTCATAACGTGTTACTGGTTCCCTCATTAATTAATAACAGTAACTAATTAGATAAGATCTTTGATAAGCATTCATTTTATATTTACTCAAAAGTCTTTTTTTTTTTACCCTTTTGAAAATTAGATTTTAACATCAGCTCTTTGTATCTTGTTGTGGCCCTGAGGGTGGGATATAGGAAGGGTCAGTGTATTTTTATTTTTTTTATTTTTTATTTTTGTGAGGAAGATCAGCCCTGAGCTAACATCCATGCTAATCCTCCTCTTTTTGCTGAGGAAGACGGGCTCTGAGCTAACATCTATTGCCAATCCTCCTCCTTTTTTTTCCCCCAAAGCCCCAGTAGATAGTTGTATGTCTTAGTTGCACATCCTTCTAGTTGCTGTATGTGGGATGCGGCCTCAGCATGGCCGGAGAAGCGGTGCGACGGTGCTAGCCTGGGATCAGAACCCCGGCCGACAGTATCGGGGCCCGCGCACTTAACCGCTAAGCCACGGGGCCGGCCTCAGTTTTGATGGAGGAAGGGCAAAGTCTGGTGTATGGAGCAGTATCTGAGGGCACAGCAGGCCAGCGAGACTCTAGCAACCCATGTAGGCCCCTTTGCAGGGAATGAGGAAAAACCGAAGAGTAATCTGTCATCAACATGGCTTGATTTCCAAGGCTCTGACTGCTCCCCAAGATAAACTTCCCTGCTCAATGGACCTAAAATTACACCATTTGCAAGTTATTGCTTTGGCTTAAAGTCCTTTCCTTTGTTAAAATGTAACATTTGTGGAAGAGGGTAACACATAAAGCCTTATCAGTCATTTACATGTTAGTATAAACAAGTGCTTGGCCTTTTCTGAAAGCAGATTTTAAATGAGACAAAAGGGAAAGAGCAGGCAAGCCCTGACTTCCTGCCATGGGGAGTCTCAGGAGGCTGCAGACAAGGGATTCGGGGGTGGGATGGGGTCTTAGACTCACCGCCAGGTCCTCGCGGGTGACAAAGCCCCTCTCCTTGGCGCCACAGTCCTGGAAGAACCTCTGCAGCTCTGCAGCTGCCTGGGAGGACCAGGACTCCGGCTCTGGGGTCACGGGGGCATCCTGGCCATCAGCCAGCTCTGGAGTCTGCCGCCAGCGGCTGGAGCCCAGCTTCCGGCCTTTTCGGGGCACTCTCTGTCCGCTCTCCATGCTGCTTTAGCCTGGGGACAGAGGAGAGGCGAGGGGGCACTGGGCTGCTGGACACAGTCCCTCCGTGCTCCACACCCTCCCATAGCCCCCCATCCGCACGGCTGACGCAGCCCTGCCTGATCAGACCCCCGCGGGCCTCTCTGACCTGACGCCCACCCCACCTCCCGGCCTCCAGCACATCCCGCTCGGGGCCTTCGCCCTTTCGTCCCTCTACCTGGAATCCTCAGCTGTCCAAAGGCTTCTCTGGCCATTACCTAAAGAGCCCCCGTGCAGGACAGGGTCTGTTTTTGACTTGGGGGCGGTTACACAGCGTGGGCCGGGAGCTGCCGTCTGAAGGACCAGGAGCAGCTGGCTGAGCCGGCTCTCCTGCGGCTCCTGCAGCCCCTTTCCTCACGTGTGGCTGCATCACACTGACCCACTGCAGCTGTCCGGGAGCCCCCTCCGCTGTCGCCTCCTCCCTCTCTCAGTCTCGCCTCGCCTCCAACCTTTCTTTCTCCTCCACACCATTGCTCTCCTCCTTCCACACGTGCACCAGGGAATCGGTAGCCCCCCGCCCCCCGCCACACACACACACACACACACACACACACACACACACGGCTCCTATGGCCTTGCCCGACGCGCCCCTCCTTCACCCCCTCACCCCCACACCCCAACGGTCTGTGTCAACCCTTCTGAACCACGCGCCACTCCCGGAATTCCAGATTCCCTCCCGTCCTTGCTCCCTGTGCCCCAGACAGCCCCGATCCTCTCACCTCCTTGCCCAGCTGATACCTCTTCTGCTTTCACCTTAGAGGCCTCCTCCTCCAAGAAGCCTTCCCTGCAGCCACCCCCACACTTCAAGCAGGGTTCATGCCCCCCTTGTCTGTGGCCCCGTGATGTTCTGAGCTCCCCCTATGGATGTCACTGTGCGCCTGAGTCCACATCGCTCCCAGCTCCTTAGCACACAGTAGGGGCTCAAGTAAGGGTTGTCCAATTCATTAATTGAGGTCCCTTCATCTGTCGCTGAAGGTCTTAGGACAGTCAGTCGATTGATAAGGATTTTGATGGATAAGGATTTGTGCAGGTGAGGCCCCGGGGCGGGAGAAAGGGAGGATGGAGCCTGAAAGGGATAGATAGTCTGGGCCTGCCCTGGGGGGAATAAGTCTGGGGTACATAAAACTGTATGGGATGGGAGGGGCTTGATGTGTACACAGTCAGGCAGCTTCCTGTGGGCCGTGGGACCTGAGCCAAGCTCTAAAGGAGGTGGGCAGCATTTAAAAGCAGTGAACAGCATGTGCAAAGGAACTGAGGCAGCAGGAACAAGACGCCCCCTCTGGGCTTTCTCTGTTGGGGCCAAAGGTCACAGGCAGCCTGAGAAGAAGCGTCTGGGAGCTCTGCTTCAGGGATGATGGGCTCGTTGCAGGGGACTGAAGCCACTGGTCCAGCCTCCCCTTGAGCAAGTTCCCTCCCACAGATTGCATAGGACTTGAATGAAGTAAGTCCTCTCCCTGGGGAGGTCCCCAAACCTTAAAGTAGAGTCTCTCTCTCTCCCCACCAGTCTTTCTCTCTCTCTCTTCCTGTCTGTTTTGTCTCTCTATCTGTTTCTCCATCACTCTGTCTCTTTGTCTCTCTCTCTAGGGGCCTTCAAAGCCTATTTCAGAAGCAGTTTTAAGATCGTAGACGTAACACTGCAGTGGTGCTCTGGAGCCAGATCTTAGGGGCTCTCGGGAGCCAAGTGTGTTCCCCTCTTCCTAACTCGGTGGCTTGGAATCAGCACTGTGGGAGTATATATAGCACGAGAAGTGGCTAATGCTGCAAATCAGGACGTTTCCCCCCAAAGAACAGTTAGCAACATGCCTCTTCTGAGAAAACTTCGTGCTGCCCAAACTCTCCCCGAGATCTAGCATGCATTTAAGTGACAAGCGTTTAGTGAGCAGCGACTAAATGCCGGCGGAGTGGTAAGCAGGCCTGCCACGAGGCACATGGTTCCCTTAGGCGAATTAGGAAAAGGCGCCCCTTCCTCCTGGCAATGCGTCCTACCCTCTTGACCCACAGACGTGGAAAAGGAGGCCCAGGAGAGGAAGGGACTTCCAGTCAGTGCTCTGGAGTCAGACAGGCCTCTGTCTCTCCCAGGCCTGCCACTCGCTAGCTGTGTGACCTTGGGCAAGTCACTTAACGGCCCTGTGCCTCAGTTTCCTCACTGGAATGTGAGACTAATATTGACCACACAGGGTTGCCGCAAGGATTAGACAAGATAATTAAAGTTGAAACACCACCTCCCATTCCCCATCACAGCCCACCTCCCCTTTTGTCTTTACTGTCTCTTAGCACTTGTCACATTATTCGTTTATTTTGTCAATTTCCCATCTCCTCTTACTGAAATACAAGCCTCCTGTGAGTGGGGGGTTCACCCTTCTGATCACTGCTCCCTCCCAAATGCCTAGAACAGGGCCTCCCACGCAGCCAGCACTCAGCAGACAACTGTTGACTGTATAATCCACGTAAAGCACTCATGGCTCTGCCCAGCATGCAGTGACCGCTGGGGAAAGGTAGCAATGACAATGGTGGTGACGACATGGATTAGGGTGAAATTCCAGTGGAGCCTCATAAAAGCCAGGTACTGTACAGACACGATGTATCCCCACTTGACAGATGAGGAAACTGAGGGACGAGCCTCTGACCTGTCCCAGCCATGACATCGGGAGCAGCACCGGCACCAGATCAACTCTCCTGTTTGGTCATGGGGTGGACTTCCCCCAAGACCACTTCCTGGAGAGGTGCCTCCTCAGTGGGCAGAAGGCCCCTCTGAGATCACAGACGCCCGATGGAGCGGCCATGCTGGCACAGGGGCTTCACTGGAGCGGGGCAGAGCGGGCAGCCTTTGCTCGGGGTTGTGAGACTTGGGACAAGTTTCACATGTACTTCTGCTGATAGAGATAACACTCGTGAGGCAGCAAGATAAGATTCCCAGTGCAGAAGCTTCTAGAACAGAAGCGCTAGGGGAAGAGTCTGCTGTGACGTGGGTGCCACATTGCTGAGCCTGTCAGGCTCCCACAAGTAAAGGAAATTAGAATCCTAAAGTAAATTCCCTGTGGCCCTATCCCAGGACATGGGACGCTCTTGACATCCCTTTCAAGGATGGTTCTGGTGGAGCTGCACCTCCACGGCCCGTCTCCAGCAGTCCCCTGGTGTTTTATAAGAAAGCAGCGCCTTCTGGACACCTCAGCCAGCCCCCACTCTGTCACGGGCCTCAGGATCTGAGCCGGTCAACCCTTCCTTCCCTGGAGGGTCACTCAGCACCCCTGCCTTGCCTGTCAGGAGGCCTGGGGCAGAAAGGCAGCAGGTGCCCTACCACCAGTCCTGCCTCACAGTACCTGTCACCGTCAGTCAGGGGCAGTGTACCCCCCCCACAGCCTTACAGCACACCCTAAAAGCAGTCTGTGCCCCCTTAATGGCCAGACATGGCCACTCAGAGACAGTGGGGACACCCTTCAGTCAATCCTCACATGCCTGTCCAGGCGTGCCCACACACACACACACGCATGCCCACACACACACAGACACATGCTCCCGCCTCAGCCAGCTTCCACTCAGTCAGCCATCACCCACCACTCCCTCACGGTCAGCTCTCTCACAGTCGGACATGACATCTCTCACGGCCACTGGCGTGTATGAAGGTCCCTGCCACTCAGAGTCACTCAGAACAACACCCCTACAGTCAGCCAGCAGGGGCACCCCTCTGTCACGCCCCCTCCTCTGTCACATCCCCCTCACCGGGTCATCACTACGTCACACCTTTAACAGTCAGAAGCCCCCTTGTGACCAAGGACACACGTATGCACACCCCCCAGCACTGCTACCTCGCCCCACATCCCCCAAGAAATCGGACAAAGTTTGAAGCCAAACTTGAGAGCAAATGAGTCCCGCTCCCAGGCATCTCTAGGAACCAGCTCCTTGCTGTGGGATTCGGAGGGAGCAGGCACCTCAGGCCTCCTGTCAGGAACTAGAGAGCATATCAGAAGGATGGGGTAGGGGACAGTGGCAGAATTACAACACAGCATCTACAGGTGCCTTAGGGCCTCCCCCAATTCCATCCTTCTCTCACCAAAGGGGCGAGGAACTGGGTCTGCTCTCCGCTCCGCTTACTTCAGTAACTACGAATAATAACAATAGTCACAGAACCAAAACTGCCCAAGTTAGTGGGTCTGAGAGACCACCTAGTGCCTCGTTCTGGTCTACTCACCCTCTCTCTTCCCCTCACTAACGTGATAGAGAAACTGAGGCTGTGAGAAGCCCGGTGACTTGCCCAAGGTCACATGACCATTTGAGGCTAAGTAATGTATCCCAGCCTCCTGCCCTGTGCCCTCCACTAGACCATGCAGACCACGCACTAGACCAAACTCACACCCTTGTCACAGGAACTAGAAGGGGACCGCTGCTCCCTCCCCGATCCTCGCCCCTCCAAAGAAAAGAAGCGTTGCAACTCTGGGGTGGCTCCCACCTCTCAAAGGCTCCCAGCTGTGCGAGCAGCCCCGTGCCTCCTGGACCCGGCGATGAGGCAACGACTGCCCCGAGGAGCCCACGCGCTCTGGAGCTGTTAACAGTCGTGTCTCTTGCTTAATCACTCTTTCCGTCCCCAGCGAGCCAATCTCCTGTGCTAATCTCTGGGACTTCCTGTAGAAGTGACCACTGGTTAGCCTTTCACAACCTTGCCTGGTGCTCCCGAGGCCCCCTGGCCCTAGAATCTTGGAACTGCTGGTGGTGGGAGGGAGGCCCTTCTAAGCAGAGGCTCCGAAGGGTGAGGTGGACGGCTCAAGGTCACCCAGGCCTCAGTGGCAAAGCCAGAACTCGGATCCCACTCTCCGGTTGCCAGGGTGATGCCATGCCTCATCGCAGCCAGAGTGTTGATGGGCACAGTTATGGCTCAAGCTGGGTGTACGGAGTGAGCCGGGGTAAGTGCCCACCATGTCTTACTGCAGGTCCTCACTCTCAGACAGCGTCTTGGAACACCAGGGGGGCTTACGTCCAAATCATCTTTTAGAGAATAGTCTAACCTAATACCAAAATATGTCATAGAGCTACAACTATCAGAACGGTGTGGTACTGGAGCATGAAGATAAGTGGACAAATCAATGCTACAGAATAAAGAAATAGACTCAAATATATATGGGAATTCAGTGTATGATAAAGGTGGCATTTCAAATTGGCGAGAAAAGATGGTTTATTCAAGGAACCATTGGGAGAATGAGCGAGGTATCTGCAAAAAATCAAGCTGGAGGCCTAACTCGAAAGTAATTCCAGATGGATCAAAATTTAAGCATTAAAAAATCATATAATTATATGCTGTTTGGAATTTGCTTCAAAATAATCAAAGGACGAGGGGAACAGGTGGGGCATACATGCAATAACACAGGCCCTGGCTCTGTTCTAATTACTGTTGAAGCTGGTGGGGAACCCGCTGGCTCATTCTGTTCTTCTCTCTGCTTTTGTGTGTGTCTGAACAAATGCCATAAGGGATCATGGGATAATTTTAAAATAATCTTGGAGCAGGCCAGGCCTTTCCAGGCATAACACAAAGCATTAGAAGCCATAAAAGAAAAGATTGAGACATTTGACTATATAGAAATTTTAAAATTGAAAAAAAAAAGACTGAATAGCAAAAAAAAAAAGTCACCATTGACAAATCAAAGGGCAAACAAGGGGTCAGCCTAGTGGCGCAAGCGGCTAAGTGCGCACCCTCCGCTGCACGGCCCTGCTTTCCCTGGGTCGGACCCCGGGCACGCACGGACGCACTGCTTGGCAGGCCATGCTGTGACAGCATCCCATATAAAGTGGAGGAAGATGGGCACGGATGTTAGCCCAGGGCCAGTCTTCCTCGGCAAAAAAAAAAAAAAAAAAAGGGCAAACAAGCTGAAAAAATATTCCCATATCACAGAAAATAAACTAATTTCCTCCTTATATCATGAGTTCCTACAGATCAATGAAAAATCAATAACGCATTGGAGAAATTGGCACCATATGTGAATAGACAATTCACTGGAAAAATATCAATTGCTTTTAAACACATGAAAAAATGTGTATCTTCATTCATAATAAAAGAAATAAAAAATGAAACTATAATGAGATATCATTTTAAGTTATCCAATCAATAAAACTTAAAAAAAAAATAACACGCTATGTTATAAAGGATGTAGGAAGACACTTGCACACGTTGTTGGTAAGAACAGAAACTGCTACCCCCCGTTCACGAAAAGAAATGTGGTGATATCCATCAACATTTAAAACGCAAAAAGCTTTTTACTCAGCAATTTCACTTCTAGTCATTTGTCCCACAGGTGATGTAAAAAATGACGATATGAGAGGATATTCATTACAGCATTGTCTAGAGTAGCAAAGGATTGGAAACCACCTAAATTTCCATCAACAGGGAACTGGTTAAAAAAGCTCTAATACGTCTACCTAATGGCCAACTACGCAGCTGTGAAGAAAACGAGGAAGATCCAAGTGGACCAGTATGGAATGACCTTCTAAATACATCGTTAAACAGAAAAAGTAAGGTGTGAAACAGTGAATACAGTATGCTTTGCATAAAGAAAAGACTGTGCATGTGTGGATGAAATTTACGCCACATAAATGCACGTGTTCATATCTGTTTATAGATGTATAGAATATTTCTGACAGAAGATACAAGAAACGGGTAGCAGTTGGGCTGAGGAGAAAAAGTGTTGGGGTGGAGAGAGATGAAGAAGATTTGCCATCTTTGTACATTACCCATTCAAAAATAAATTTAAGAATAATTTGTACATATTCAGAGAGAGAATGACAAAGGAAACATGGTACAATGTTAACATTCAGAAACTGTTGGGGAAGGGTATATGGGAATTATTTTACTATTTTTGCAACGTTTCTGTATGTCTGAAGTTATTTCAAAACAAAAGGTTTAGAAATTTTTCAAAATTAATAAATTTAATTTCTAAATAAACATACATTCTCACAAGCAACCATCCGTTCACCCCTTTTTTACCACTGGGAAATCAATACTCAGAGAGTTTCTAAGGTTTTATTGAACTAAATAAGGCATTAATTTTTTTATTCAACAATTATTTATTGAGAACCTAATATGCGCCAGACACTGTGGTAGGCACTGAGGATACAAAAGTGAAAAAAAAAAGGACAAGAAAAAAATCCATATGTAATACAACGTCTGGTAGCAGTAAATATTATGAAGAAAGTAAAGCAGAGTGAAGGGATACAACGGGGGGGAGGTGTATTTTAGATGGGGTGGTCCGGGGGAAGCCTGTCTGAGGAGGTGGTACTGGAATAGAGTATATGAGGAAGGAGAGTGCTCGGGGAGGAGGAACAGTGAGTGCAAAGGCCCTGAGGCAGGAGCAGGCTTTGTGTATGTGAGGAACAGTGAGGAGACCAGGGTGGCTGGAGCAGGGAATGGAGGCAAGAGTGGAGCTGAGGTCAGAGGTAACAGACAGACCGACCTGTAGGCCACGTAAGGACCTGGGGTTTTGCTGTAAGTGAGATGGAAGCCATTGGAGGGTGACATGACCCAGCGTAGGTTTTCAGTGATGCCCGTGGCTGCTCTCATTGTGGAGAATAGACTGCACTAGACAGAGGCAGAGCAGGGGGACCAGTGAGGAGGCTGTTCCAACAACCCACACGGGAAGTGACGGCTCCGACAGGAGGGCAGCAGTGGACGTGATGACGAGAGGTGACTGGACTCTGGATATATTCTGAAAGTAGCGCCAACAAATCCAGGACCGTTTCTCTCCAGGTCGGGCCTCTCTCGGGGAACAGAGTGAGGTTGCATGTTTAAGACCCAGCCCCAGGATCTCAGGGCCTCCCCAGTTCATTTGCCCCCACCCCAGCAGCCCACCTCCCAACCATGGAAGTAGCAGAGGCTCGGAGAAGGCGGGGGAGGAGGTGAACAACCCTCTGAGCTCCAGGGAGCCGAGTCCGCGGGTGGGGAGAGCCCAGCCCTGCCCGCCCTCTGCTCCGGCCCAGGGGGAGAACCCGCCCAGGAGCCAACTGGCAGGAGGTCATCCACCAGTGCTAGGGAAAAAGTTAGATCCAGAAAGTTTCCTTTTTGGAAACAGTGGAGCTAATTTTACAATGCAGCGTCGCTGGACTTGAAAACACTGAGCTCAGAAAGTAAACCTTACCAACACTGAACAAGGATCTAAGACAGTGAGGCCGTTTTGTGAATGGGAAAGTTTTCACACTCGCTCCTTTTCAGTTCCCTAAAGACTTGAATTCCCTGCACGGTGTAGTGACCCTGAAGCGAGATGCTCTGTTCTGGGGTGCAGTGGCCAGAGTTGGGGCCCACTAGGAGGCCCGGGTCCCCTGCCTCCAGCCGCCGGCTCGGAACCACCTCTAGATGGAGCTCAGGAGGGCCGGCAATCGCGCGGGGAGCCAGGGCAGGGAGCTTGTTGTGAAGCTGAATTTACGTAGCACACTTCACGTAAGGTTGAGAAAACCCAAGTTACATCAAAGACTGAGGAGACCGTCCCCGCAGGCCTCCTCGCAGAACTGTCACGGTGTGGGGGCCTGGGCGAGGCACTTCCCCTTCCTGGTTTATGGAGCAGGTGTATGGCCTGGGTCGTGAGCCGGGATATCCTGGCTCCCCACCACTTCTAGGGGCGGGACCTCAGGCAAGTGGCTTAGGAGGTTGCTGCCTCAGTTTCTCATCCGTAAACACAGGCATGCTAGGGCCCGCCTCGTAGGTTTGTTGTAAGGATGAAATGCTATAAAGCACATAAAGCATTTGGAACAAAGTTCGGTAGGTAATAATTGATGTTACCCTTTGTTATTTCTGTGATTGTTAAAAGAAGGAAACTGCGTTAAAGAATCTCCAACTTCTCCCTCCTACCGACGTGCAGACGGCCTTGTTCATATGCCAGACCTCCTGTCAAGTGACGAGGGGCGCCACCTGGGAGCCGGGATGGGCGGGCGGGGCCCAGGATGGGGGCTAGGGTGGGGTTTGTGAGAGGAGTGCTCCCGTCAGGAAGGAAATTCAAGCCACAGGGAATCATTCATTCATGCAACAAAGATTTATTGAGCACCTACTATGTGCCAAACACTTTCTAGGTGCTGGGATACAGCAGGGACAAAACAGGCAAAGACCCCCAGCCAAGGAGCTCACATTTCTTACCCCATGGTGGAAGGGGGAAGCCACAGTGATGTTTGCCAATGTGCTCACCAGGGCGGTAGGCTGGCTGAAGGGTAGTTAGGGCAGCCATGCTGATGCCCCACCCGGGTCCCCCAGGCCCACCTCTGTGTTCACCTGAAGCTTTGGTAAATAGTTCCTGGCAGGCATATAGCTTCTCACCTCAAATGCTTGCGTCCTTCTGGATTTCTCCAGCATCACAGGAACTTGTTCCACCTGCGAGGAGCAACCTGGGCTAGCCCCTGGAGGCCGCCCTCAATCAGCAATGGATGGTGGTAGGAGTACCCAGAGGTACCTAGGCGAGTACCGCAGAGGGACAACTCTGGGGCTCGTTCCACACGGTCTCCTCAGACCTCTAGCGGGTCTAGGTCCCAGATGCACACAGCAGAGCTGCTCACCAACACCTCTGTCGGTTTTCCCTTTCCTTTCTCCCATTCTCCTCTCTCCCACTTGTGCTTCCAGGGACCACCTCCCAAGTAAACCACCTGGGGAAAAGGGAATAACCAGATCTTTTGACGTCTGTTGGATGCAAAGTGTATTTACACTGGTACCAGGTGACCCCGAATACCATTACAACCTCCTTTTAGAGTAGGGGACATATGAGGCCAGTGGTGAACGGAGTCCTGGCCAGATTCATCTCAGGGTCCAATGGGTCTGTGGCTATTTCCTAGTCCCTGAGTGCAAATTGGGATGGATACAGTTAGCAGTTGGCAGAACCCTCACACTGGTTCCCTAATCTATAGAAAAGAGGACCAACCAGAAGTCTCTAAAATCATTCCAAGATAGTAAATCAGAGGCAATTCCACATCCCAGGTAGAATTGCAGAGATCAGCGCTCCCCTCAAAGACTTAAAGGATACAGGGTGATCCCCATCGTACCCCCATTCCTTCCACCCCATATTGCTCCTGTGAAAATGAAATGAAGCATGGTCATTGATGGTTATTCACGTGGCCCTAACTGCAGCCATTATAGCAGATATGGTGTTGGTACTAGAATAGTCTACACAGCCTCTGACTGTAAGAAGCTAACAATATAGCCAATGCATTCTTTCCAATCCATATCAGGAAAGAGGATCAAAAGTGGGTCACATTCACATTCCCTTCAAAAGTTCAGAAACCTATCACGTTAGTTAAGTTTTCAGTGGTCAAATGAACTGGGGCATGATGGGTAGTCTCTCTATGGGAAAGGACAAGTTATTATACTGTGGACATCCTACCCCCAAAAAGAGGCATAGCGCTGGTGGGCCAATTTGGGTTTTGGAGACAGTATACTAAATACATCTCCAGCCCATTTACTGGGTGACTTGGGAAGCTGCCATGTTTGAGTGGAGTCCAGGGCAAGAGCCTCTGCAGCAGGTCCACGCTATGGGACAGCGCTTGGGACATCCGACCCAGCATATCCCATGGTACTAGAAATATCCATGGGAGATAAGTAGACAGTGTGGAGACTCTGAAAAGCCCCAATGGGAGAGTCTCATCTCAGACCACTAGGGTTCTAGAGCAAAGCCACGCCCTGAACAGCAGAGAATTATTCAACATTTGAACTGTAGCTCTTGGCCAAATTGCAGAATCAAGAGCAAATAAAGGATTACTGTTTTAAACCACTAAGTCTTGGGTGGTTAATTATAAATAGATAATCAGAACATACATGTAACAGTATTGTTCCTTTTTAAGGCTGTATACTATTCCACTATATAAATATATCACCATTTACACATCTATTCTTCTGTTATGGACAGTTAGGTTGTTTGCAGTTTGGGTCTGGTAAGAATAATGCTGCTATGAACATGTCCTTTGGTGGAAATTATGTACTCATTTCTCTTGAGAACAAACCTGGGAATAGAATTCCTGGGTCATAGAGTAAGCATGAGGGGAAGCATCTTTATAAGATATGGTTTTCCAAAGTGGTTGAAATATTTTATACTTCCACCAACAAGGTATAAGAGGCCCAGTTGGTCTGTATCTTGCCAACACTTGGCATCATCAGTTTTTTTCATCTTAGTCATTCTGGTAGGTATTTGGTGGTGTCTTATTGTGGTTTTAATTTGCATTTACTCGATGAGTAATGATGTCAAGCTATGATATGTTCTTTACTAAAAAAGACCACACAACAAACCAAAATATTGACCGTTGGCAATTTTTGCAAAGGTGTGATGATTTGTTTTTGTTTTTCTGTTATTTGTCTTTTTTGCCTCATGGTCTTTCTGTTTGCAAAGATTTCTGCATTTTTTAAATTTAAATGCTTAATTTTTAAAGTTATAAAAACAACTTTAAAAACCTCTGCCTACTTATAAACGTCAAGATATATTGACCACAACAGCACTATTACAAGTAAAGTCATTAGGATTTATTGAGCACCTGCTGTATAGCAGCACTGTGGGAGGGGCTGTGAAGGACACAGAGCAGTACAGGACGTGGTCCCTGCCCTCGAGAGGCTTACAGTCTAGGTGGAGACAGGAGAACCAGGACACATGAGGAGCCGGGAGAAAACAGTCCAGGCCAGGATGTGACAGGAGCTGAAAGGAGTTCGGAGTCAGGGGCTCAATGTTCAGTGCCAGGAAAGACAACAACTTAACAACTCCCAGGCCCAGACCAGCCCACTAGTGTGCCCTGTCCACAGCCTCTACTCCCACCATCTTAAAACACCTGACTCCTCATTCAGCTGTTTTTCAAAGTGCGACAACATGGGGGAGGGTGACGCAGATGGGAAGGGCCTTGGATGAGTTCCAGGGGCTGATGTCACTCTCTCCCTCCTAGAAAAATCCGCTTACCCTACACAAAACCCGAAGACAGAGCGCTTCCCTCTCAAGGAGGCCTGTCAGACCACCCAGGTCCCTCACCCCGAGAGCCAGGAGGAGGCGGCAGTCACTGCTTGAGCTGCCTGAGGTAGAACTGGAGACCCCTACTTCGAGCATGGCCCTTCCCCTTCCAGTCCACTGAGTTGGGAGGGACAGGCGCCCCAGAGCTGCCACCCAGGGCTGAGAGGGTACTAGACAGAAGGACATCGGGGAGGGGAGAGGAAGACTGGGGGAGGGGAGAGCCCAGCTGTGGCTGTAGCATCTGGGCTCCTTGAAAAGTGCAGGGAAGGCCGACAGAGTGGAGGACAAACACTGAGGCTGGGACCCTGTGGGAAGCAGGGGGGCGGGAGGGGAGGCGGGGCGGTTTGCTACGGGACCCTACCTTCCCCAGGTGTCACAGGACAGAGTGGGGGAATCAAGGGCCAGGAGGGTGCCAAGTCCCCAGCCCTGCCCTAGGCTGTGCCCACCTCGAGGTAACCCTGCCCAACCTCAGAGGAGGCGAGGGGCCTCCAAAGTTTAGATGATGCCCCCACTCTGCTGGGCCCCCTTCAAAGTGCTATCTGTTTACTTCTCAAATTGTAAGGAATTCAGATCTAAGAATGCAGGAAAGGGGCGGGATTTTGTAAAGCCCATGAGACAGTGAGCAGAGGGAGGCCCCTCCGGAGAGTACCCCCCATCGGTGAGGGTCACACCAGCCCCACCTCACCTCCGGGAGAGACAAAACGGAGAGCAGAGGATGAGAGGGTTTTAAATAATAGTTCACATAATAAAAATACCTAGCCCTCTAATAAGCCTATTATTCTGCTAATGTTTTTTTTTAAAATAGTTATAATGCCGGAGGCTGGGGGCAGGTGGCAAGCAGGGTATGTACATGAGGAGGAGTTTAAATTAAAACACAAATAATAATTAAGACGCACAAACTGAAGGACTGATGCAACAGATGTGGGAGGGGCCTGCGGCAGCCCCTCATTTCCAGGAAGGCAGGTTAGGGCTTCCTCTTGGAGAAGACCAGCCGGCGTTTGGAGTGGTAGAAATCTGAGGAGAGAGAAGAGAAGTCAGCCAGGCCGGGAGGAAGAGGGAAACGGCGGCACGGTGCTCTAAGGATACATGAAACGCTCTCTATGAAGGCTCTGGTCTAGGGGCCGGCAGAGTAAGTGCTCCAATCCCAGCATCACTCGCTCATTATTTGTCAAGCACCTACTGTGTGCCAGACACCATCCTAGGTGCCAGGGACTCAGCAATGAACGAGAGATACAGACCCCTTTCTCACGGAGATAAGATCCTGGTGGGGGAGACGGACAATGTTAAGACAAGGAAGCAGCTGTTGATGGTGAAAAAGTGCCGAAGAGAACAAAATCGGCAGGGAAAGGGGACAGGGAGCGTGTGTGCGCGTGTGTGCGTGTGATGGGGAAGGGGAGTTAAGTTGGGACAGGGCAGTCGGGAAATTACTATCATTAGTTTTCTCTACACTGCAAATTTGCTGTGGGACCTTAGGCAAATCACTCTACCTCTCTGAGCTCTGTTTCCTTGCCTATAAAGGAGTGGCAAGAATGTCATTTGGTACAGGATTGCTATAAGGACTAAGCAAAACTCGCCTTAGAAACTTAGCAAAGGGCCTGGCATATAATGAATGTTCCCAATAAATGTATGCTAGTTGGTCTTGACTGCAGACTTGCTGTGTGGCCTTAGGCAAGTCGCTTCCCCTCTCTGGGCCTGTTTCCCCCTACGCCTAATGGGCAAGCTGGACCAGACAGGTTAGCCCTTGCACCACGAACTCTGAGAGCCTTTGTCCGCTAGTGTCCTTCCCTGCACCTGGCCTCACCTGTCATGCTGGTCTGCCGCCGTTTTCGGCCCTGAGAGGTGCCAGGCCCCCCTGGGGACCCCTCTGGCCGCTCAGGGGAGTGAGGCAGGAGGGTGCAGGACAGCGACAGGTCCACGTGGTCCTCCTCAGCTGTCCCCTGCAGCAGGGCAGGCGAGGTGCTGGGCCGCTTGCCCCCTCCCAGGTCGTCCCGGCCGCCCCGGGGCCTGGGGGACAGGTAGATCTTGGGCAGGCCGAGGCCCCGCACGCGCTCCCAGGCGAAGTCGCCCTCCAGCGGCGTCTCGGTGACAAAGTCGAAGTTCCATCGCTCTCGGGCCTCCTGCACGCAGCTGGCCATCAGTGCGTCGCAGTCTCGGCGCAGCTGCTCACTGTCCACCGGGCCGAAGAGGCGGCGGCAGGCCCTGCTGGCCCGCGGGATCTGCTGAGCATCCCTGGGTGGCTCCGACATGGCGCCTGCGGCTGAGACACAAGGGGGCCCAGGTCACTCGGGAAACTGGACCCTCCCTTCCCAGGCCATGCTTTTCTGTGCAACCTCAGCGGAGGTCTTCCTTCTAGAACATGATAAAGGGTCTCTCTGGCTCCTTCCAGCTGATTTTCCACCACCTCTGTCCACAGGCCCCCCTAACCCCCCCATAGACACTGGGTGGGGGCAGAGTTCCGCCAGCCTGGCAGCGCAGTGTCACTGAGGCAGCGGGCAGCTGAAGGGCAAGCTAGTCAACAAAGGCAAGTTGACTGCAACAGCAGGGAGCAGGGTCCTGTTTACCACCACGTGTTATCAGCTAAAATCAATTTGCTTTCCCCCGAGAGGTGTCCCTCCTGGGTGTGAATGCCCTGAGTACGTACTTGCGAATTGCCAGAGTCCAGCAGTTTCCCAACCCCAGCCAGGCCAGGAGGTCAGTTCCCAAATGAACGGACAGGCCGACAGCTCCGCCAGCGTCCTGAATCTCCCGCCCAGATGCCCATGTGGGTAACCCTGCTCTGGATCTTAAAAGTACCCTGGACTTTGGGGTAAAAAACACGTGGGTTCTAGTCCTAGCTCTGCCACTTAAAAAGCCACTTAAGGGGCAGACCTCGTGGCTTAGTGGTTAAGTTCAAGCGCTCCGCTTCAGCGACCCGGGGTTCGCAGGTTCGGATCCCAGGTGCGGACCAACACACCACTTATCAAGCCAGGCTGTGGCAGCGTTCCATATACAAAATAGAGGACAATGGGTATAGACGTTAGCTCAGGGCCAATCTTCCTCAGCAAAAAAGAGGAAGATTGGCAACAGATGTTAGCCCAGGGCCAGTCCTCCTCATCAAAAAAAAAAAAAAAGTCACTTAATGTCTCTGGGCCTCAGTTTCCTCATCTGTAAAGTAGGGCTGTGTGAGAGTTTCAAGGGCACGGATGTGGAAGCATGCTCAAACCATTGGTCGGGGAGTCCCTTCAGGCAAGGCAGATGGAAGACTCGAGAGGCCGTGTCCTGTGGTTGAGAGTGAGGGCTCTGGAGCCAGACTGCCTGGATTGGAATCCAGGCTCTGCTGGGTGATGCTGGCAAGGGCTTACTGTCTCTGGGCTCTATTTTACTCAAATGTAAAACGGAGCACAGGAAGAGTGCACGTCTCAGAGGACAGATGTGATGATTAACTGAGTGAATGGAGGTGATGTGCTCAGAGCGGAACCTGGTATACAGAAGTCTTATTAATTCCCTCTGCCTTCTGGCTGAGCCTCCTCCCCTTCACGCCCCTGCCACCACCTCCCTCAGACAGCAGCTGACAGGTGCTGTGGGCTGAGGGCCTTTCCCAAGGATGTCATCAGGCGGGTGGCCTGGGGGTGAGGAGGAGCTGGGCAGGGCAGGGCAGGGCGCTGATCTCTCGCAGGCTGAGCCACATCCTGCCAGGCACATCAGGTGATCCGAAGTCTAGACGACCTCAAAGCCCCTGCCCTCTGTTGCCGGCATCCAAGGAACCCGTTTTGCAGGCGAAGAAAATTAAAGGCAGCCGGTCTACCCGGTTCCTCTCCTCTGCTTCAGGAGAAGGAGGGTGAGTTTGCCCATGAGGGTGGCTGGCACCCGCCTGCCCTGCTCTGGCCAGGCTCCAGGAGTGCGCGGCTGCACGACCTCAGCAGGGACTGGGTTTTCCTGGGGACAAGTCCTGATTTACAGGCTCTGAGGGCGAAAGCTCTGCTGAGTGACCTCCTGGGGCAGGAAGCCCTGGCCCCGTGCCACATCTACCCCTCCCCACTCCACCTCTCACACTGAGTGGAGCCCACCATCTCAGCTGAAGGGGAGGGGAGGCACTAGGTGAACTTAGACCAACTTTAAAGGGCAGGAGTTCGAACAGATATGAGACTTGTCCCCACACCACACAGCTAAAAAGGCCGAGGGCCACTGCTCCATAGATGGGTTACACAGTACAGTGGGCAGGGCCCTAAAATAACCTTTGCCCACTCTCTTCAGGGCAAGGGTTGGTATTCTTTTATGTATTTTTATGTGTCAAGGGCTGTTCTAAGAAGTTTACAAATATTAATTTTCCCAAAAAGTGAGTATACTAGCTCTTTTTCACAGAAGAGGTAACCAAGGCTCAGAGAAGTTAAGTAACTTGCCCAAGGTCACACAGCTCACAAGTGGCACGGCCAGGATTTGAAGCCAGGCCTACTTGCCCTGGGCTCTGTGCTCTGGTGTTGAGCCCTACTTCCTCCCTAATTTTGAGGTTTCTTAACCAGAGAGGCCCAGCAGAACCACTTGGGAAGCTTTTTCAAAATATAGATTGATAGGCCCCTCCCTCCCTAGACCAACTTAACTCAAATAGGAGGAGACTTAAACAAGTGTTTGGCGGTTGCCCAGATGGGCACTCTTGGGGTGCCCGCCAAGAGAGGACACACAGGATGGCTGAAATGGACACTCTGGGTCTCAGTGCCCCATTGGCACCAGGAGAAGCCTGCCTGGGTCTTTATCCGGGAGCTGGATATTCCCTGGCTTCTAGGAGCTGAAGATGGAACCAGAGTCCAGGCAGGGGCCCTCTCTCCTGCCACCACCTCTTCCTTTATGGCTCTCATAGGCTCCCCATCAAAATCTGCTCTCCCGCCCATTATCATAACTCCCAGCTCAGCGGGCACTCAGCAACACAACTCTTAGTTTTACAAACACGTAACTGAGAATAGCTTCCTTTGCAGGTCTTTGTGCCTTAGACTTCAACCATATTTTAATCCCCAAGTAAATAGTGAGCACTCGGTAAACACTGTTGAACCAATGGGGTGCTCTTTTTAAGCGGCGTTGGGGGCGCGGGGATCAGCCCAGGGGCAGCGGCGGGAAGGAGAGGCGGGCGAAGCCGCGCTCCGCGGGAAGGCGCGTTTGCTACTCGCGCCGGGGCCGCGAGGGGGCGCTGGCCCCCAGGAAATCACGCGCAGGGTGGGAGGGGTGTGGGCCGAGCCCGGGACAGGGGCCGGGAGTCGTGATGAGTCAGTTTCCTGCAAGGCGCTCCCCGCCCGCCAAAACTGCACTTCCACTCCGGCTGCGCGTCACCCCGGGTGGGGAGGGGGAGAGCGGGAGGGGGCCGGGGGCCGCGAACACGTCACGCTGAGCCAGCCAGGCTTCCGAAACCCCCGCCACTGTTAGGAAACCGCGCGCTCTCGCGCCGTCTCTGTGACACGCACACACGCGCGCACACACACCGCACGCACTCCACCTTATCTCCACACCCAAAGCACGGGATGAGTCAGATCCCTGGAAAATAAAAATAGACCGGAGTAAGGAAAACAAAACCGCTCGAAAGGCCTCCCCGAAACGCGACGTGGAGGGAGGGACGGGGGGAGGGAGCCGCCCGGGCGCCCTAAAGCGCCAAACCCAGTTCCAAGATTCTTTTCCGCGCGAGGAGGGCGCAAGGGTCCCCCGAGGGCCCGGGACAGGGCGGACGCGCTGTGGTCCGCGCTGGGCAGCTGTGTCCCAAGGACCACTCGCCCCCCTGCTCCGCCCAGTCCGGTCTCCCTCGGAGAGGGAATTCTCGACTAGGTTGGGGGCGCCCGGGCCCCCGGATGCAGGCGACAGAGGCCCTGAGCAGCGTCGCGCCCCCTGAAGCCCCACCCCTCAAAGACGCGACCCCACCCCGGCGGGGGCTGCGCGGCCCGCAGCGCCGCAGAACACGGCTCCCGCCCCGAGCCCATCGGCGCGCCCCAAGGGCAGGCTGGGCCGGGGGCTCCAGGCGGCGGGAGGGAGGTGGGGAGGACTCCTGCGCCTCCCGGACTGACCCGCGTGCGCGAGCCCACTCAGCGCGGGGCCGCGGCTCCGGGTCCCCGAGAGTGCGCCGTGGGGCGGGGACCGGACACCCGGTCCTGGATCTCCCGGTGTCTGGGCTTCCCTGGGAACACTCTGTGCCAGCCAAATAGGTCACTGTGTTTATGGAGGGGACAAACCGAGGAGGGGTAGGGAAGGAGACTTCTGCGTCGCCACTGTCCCCCAGCCCGGGCGGGGTTCTGATCTCACTCGGCCCGTTCCCCGGGGTCTCCTTGTCACCGTGAGTCACCCTCTCGCTTGCCCTTAAGGGACGTGTCCTGACACGTTCCCATGGGCCAGGGACACAGCTCGCGCTGACCTCAGCGCCACCGGGTGGCGGACACGGCGGCGTCGAGGACCCAGACCTCAGGGGTTCGGGCCGGGGCGGCACCGATCAGATCCGAGAGCCGCCCGGGAGCGGATCCCAGAGGAACCTGCTCGGGTCGGCGCTCCCCGCCCCTCCCGGGCCCCTCGGCGGACAGGGGTGCATCCTTACGCCGCGAGCGAGCCGCGCGGGGGGCCCGGGGCGCACCCGCCGGGCGGAGAGCTCCTGGGGCGGCGGGTCCACACCTTCCCCCGCCCCAGCTGTGTTTCAAGGGGACGGCAGCGTGGCAGGGGACCTTCATACTGTGCTCCCTCCCCAACACATCCCGACCCCCGTCACACGCGCACTTACAGACACCCGTGTGCGCAACGCCGAGACCCACGCGCAGACCCACTCACGTCATTCACCTGTGAACACAGCACACACCCCCGGATACACACGTCCCCGCGGACACAACACACAGACATGCAGGGATACACACACGGACACGCTCAGCTCAGCTCAAAGCCGCCTCCTGGGTCCGCTCTTGCCCGCCGTGGCTCCCTCACCTCCTCCGAGGGTCTCGGGGGTCTCCGTGAATCCGCGGCCGGCTCCGGGTCTCCGAGCTACCGACCGGGGCAGCTGCTCACACCTCCGCTGGCGCCGCCGGGCGCAGCCCAGATAAAAAGGCTCGGCCCTGGAGGCGGGACCGCTGGCTCCACCCCCAGCGCGCCTGGACCGCCTCCCGGGACCCGCGGCTGCTCCCCGGGCCTGGCCGCGCTCCAGCTCCTCGGAGCTCCGAGGCCGACGTCGCGTGCTGCCAGAGCGCGCTCCCTTCCCCGCACCCCCGGCCTGGGTTGTGCGCTTGACACATTTCCCCACGAATTGAGCCACAAATCTGGGTATTTTTAGCTGGGGAGAGAGTTGGCGCTCCCCAGAAGGGGATGGCGTTGTTAGGATGAGCCCCTTTCTGGCCCACTGCGGGCCGACTCTGGGCAAGGATTTACCGAAAGCAGCTGAAAAGACCAGGGGTGACGTTAATAAATGAAAGTCCTTAAATAATAAAAATGATGCGTCTCACTTTGCACTCCCCAGAAAAGCCCCACTCCACCAGCGCTGTTCCCGCGGATCCCTCACTACACCTCCTCTCCCCGAGCACCTGGGGCACCCAGACACCCCAACAGAGCCTCTGGGAGGCCAGAACGGAATTCAATCCCCTTTATTTCACAAACGAAGAAACTGAGGCCCACAGAACTAAAGGGATGCAAAGCTGTTGCTCATCAAATGCCTCGGGGAAGGAGGGAATTGGAGACACTTCCCAGAAAAGGCCCACGTCTTTCCAGGGGAAATCTGACATTGAACTAAGCTCCCCACCCCCTCCTGCTCCCCACACCCACCTCTCTCTCACCTCAACAGAAGAAACCTCTGTGACTGCAGCTGATTTGATGGCAGGAAGGGCAGAAGGATTTGGTGAGTTGTCTCCTGGATATTCCCCACACAGCCCACATTCACTGCTGGGTAAACTGAGGCTCAGAGAAGTTCATTGACCTGACTCAGGTCACACAGCAAATAAATGGCTGTGGTTGGAACATAGGCCTTTTGCGTCTCACCCAGAGCTCTCTGCCTGTTGCCCCCTCTATTTCAGTGGCTCTAGAAACACGAGAATGGGGAGACACCAGCACCCCTCATTTCCAGGCAGCTTACTGAGGTGACATTGAGGAAGGACAGTTCTGGAAATGTCCACTGGCGCTCTTGACTGATACAGAAGCAGGTGAGGTGCCCATCTGCTCCTTCCTACCTCCGCACCCCCCAGCCCTGCTTGCACCTCACCTTTGCCTCCTTCCTTCACCTAAAACATTTGCAGTTTCTGCTTTTAAAAAAATTGCAGAGAACAGAGTGTTAATCTGAACACAATTCCCACTAAAAAATAGAATCCACGCTTGGAGCAGCTGCAGTTGCTGACACCTAGGGCTGTTCGGCGTCTGGAAATCTCTGCCCGGACATGCCCAGTTTTCTTCCTCTAATGCAGCTGACCTCAGGGAGGACAGGCCTCCTCCTTCACTGCTGGGATGGAGCCAGGGTAGGGGTGGGAGGGCGTGGCACCTGACCCTCTGGCCTGCCTGGTATTGGAGTCAGGCCAGGGTTGTAGCCAGACCTCAGGAGGGCCTCAAACAGGCCAGGACCCCAGGACCAGCCCCCTGCTCCCCAGCTCCTTTCTCCACACCCCCAACACACACACCCACACCACCCGAAGCCTAGGTTGTCAAATGTCCAGCAGGGGACAAGCATCTCCTCCTGCCTTAAATCCCCTTGGCTTTCAGGCATTTCAAATAGACTTGACATTGTCTGCCTGTTTACTCTGGGGAAAAAAATTTTTTAATGAAGGCTTGTATTGAATTACTTAAAGTTTTGTGGTCCTGAGCTTCACAATGAAATAATTCTTTTTGTTGTTGTTGTTGGGAAGTGAGGTTTTTTTTAATAACTTCTAGCTCAACACCACCACCACAACAGAATTCAACAAATATTTATTATGCACCTACTAAGTGTCTAGTGCTTCAGTACTCAAAAGAAAGTGTCCAACCCTACACCTGAACGCGTAGCTAGGCATGCCCTTAAGGAGGACTTGCGCCCTGAAGAGAGCAAAGGAGAAGGTTGTTAGAAGTCACACTCCCCAAACACACACACACACACACACACACACACACACACACACGTGTGCACAGAACAGGTCCCAGGCCAATCTCAAGGGATCTGCTGCAAACCACATATTCCGTTCAGAGAAATTCAGACCAAGCTCTCGCAGGGGTCTCTGGGGGTCTTCTGTCTCCTACCACCCTCCTCTCCCCCCAAAGCAGGCAGCCCCAGGGACAAAACAGCCACTGGCCTCTTCTATGTCAGGGCTCAGCATGTTGAGACATGTTTTTGAGGGCCAGAGAGCCAGTCAGGACCGCAGCCTGCTGCCCAGGCATGCTCCCCAGGCATGCTCCCCAGGAAGCAAGCAGCTTAGGGACGGAGCGAGGCTCAGCCTGGGGGCGAGAGGGTCCAGATCAGCCCCCACCCAGGAGGCAGGTGATGACGGAAAGGAAAGGTGGAAAGCTGGAGCCTGAAGAAGGAGGATGTGAGGAGGGCTCAGAGGTGTCTGCAGGAGTACCCAGGAAGGGAGAGGAAGTTCTGGGAACAATGTCACCATTTCTCAGAAAAGGCCCGGGGAGTCCCAAACAGGGGCAGTCAGCTTTCAGAGGAATTTACCTCCGCACAGGCCTTCTAAGAAGTGAGACCCCAGAAAAGAGGGAGAACAGAGATATTATTATACTACTGAGCAGAAGAAGCCTTGCTTACTTTTTTTTTTTTTTTTTGAGGAAGAAGGAGATTGGGAACCCCCACCCTGACCTTCTGGAGGCTTTACCCAGCCAGTACAAAGATCAGGACTGACCACAGAGTTAGGCAGAGAAATTTGTAACAGAATTTCTGCCACATAAACACTTCTAGCCTCCCTAAGCTAGAAATTTCACCTTGCCTAAGCCTGAAATTTCACCGTTAGAAATTCATTCCTTTGGCATGAATTCTTGCTTCATCAGATAAGATCATGTAGGCAAAGTGCTTAGCATAGTGCCTGGCACATAGAAATCACTCCATGAATACTAGTTATTATTATTGCTCTACAAATGCCCCTGGGGAAGGCATCCCTTGGAATTGAGTAATCATTTATACTTTGGGGTATCTTAGGTAGGTTTCCCAGAAAACACACTCTACAGTAGAGACTTGCTTGAAGGAGGTTTCTTGGGACTGCATTTGCAATCAGCATCTGTGGGACCATAAAGGAAACAGGATTGGGCAGAGAGAGGAGCTGGGCCGAGATGGAGGCTGGAGGCCCCAGAGAGACCTCTGTTGAGCCCACAGGGAGCTCTGGAGCTAGGAGTTCCCTGAATGGAAGCAAGGGGGTTGGGCTTTTGTACCCCTGCTTCCACCAGTCTTTTGGATGTGGCTGTCCCTGGAGCAGAGGGGTGCATGAACTTGGGCAAGAGAGCTCCTTTATCTGAGGCTGATTCCTAAAGAAGGGCTCAGCTGAAGCATCAGTGCCAACACTCGCAACAGCCAGTGGGGAGAACGAGTGCCTGGCTCCTGCAGAGGCTTCTGGGTGGCACAGCACAGAGTGAATGAGTTGATCAGATCATTTAGGGACTAGAAGGTGGTGAGGAAATGCTGTGAACACAGGCCACCTGAGGAGTGAAGGGCTCTCTGTACCTTTGCACATATTGTTCACTCTTCTTGGAATCAGTGTTCCTTACCAACCTACCTCATCTCTACTCCTTTCTCCACGTGTTGAACTCCTATTGATCCTTCATGACCCAACCTACGTGACCCCTTGTGGGGAGGCCTTCTCAGGGCTCCCTCTGGCTCCCAGAGCTCCTGGTGAGTAATCCACTCACTGTGCTTCGCTGGCCTGCTGGGTTTACATGCCTGTGGCATCCTCTGAGCTGGGAACTGGTGGGGATAAGCCATATTTTATTCATCTTTGTACCTTCAAGGCCTAGCAGCCTCAGCCGGAGTTCAATCAATATTTATGGAAGGGCCATTTTTGACTTGCACTCTGAGGTTAGGCTTTAGTGCCGCTGCATCTGAGCCCTCTCTTTTATTTATTCATTTGTCTGTTCACTCATTCATGCATTAAAATATATATATATATATATATATATAAAAAATTAACATTCACTGCTCAACCCAAAAACTGGAACATTACAAATCACCGACACCTTCCGGTGAGTTCCTCTACTATCCTGATCCCTTCCTCCCCCACCCCGAAGTAGACAGTATCTTGAATTTTATGTTGGACTTTCCTTTGTTTTCAGTAGTTTTGTCACATGTGACCAAGACAGGAATGCTCACCCGTTTTTCTCTGTGCCCTCCTACATTTCCCAGCACCCTCTGCAGTTTAGACAGGGTCGTGTGACTAGTTCTAGCCAATGAAATATGAACATAAGTGACATTGGTCTCTTTAGGGCTGAGGCCAAGTGAATTCTCCAGCATTTCTGTCCTCCGCGGCTGTGGCAGAAGTGAAGTCTCATGTCCCAGATGGCACCACGTCAACGTGGTGGCCCTCCACCAGCCTGGGTTCCTGAGTGACTGTGTGGAGCAGAGAGCGTAGGACAGATACGTGAGGAAGAAGTCACCCTTTGCTGTGTGAAGTCACTGAAATGTGGAGATTATCCAGTGGCTAAGATTTATCCACGTGGCTGTGGGGGGTTGTGGTTTGCGGAAGTCTGTGGCACCCAGGGAAGTACGTCTCTGGGTATTCACACTCTTTTGTAGTTGTCTCCCCTTAAATATATCTGGCTTGTGACACTTTTAGTCAATAGAATGGGACAGAAGTAACCCTGTGCCCATTCCAGGCCTAAGCCTGGAGAAAGTCTAGCAAGTTCTGCTTTTCCATTCCTGGGGGCCTTGAGCCCCCTGTGAGAAGCTGGATTACTCTGAGACCCCCGTGCTGTGAGCAGTCATGTGAAGAGGCGGTCTGAGATAACCGAGCCCTGCCCCCCCGATAGCTCCAGCTGATCGGGCTGACAGCCAGCATATGAGGGGCCCATCCTGAAAGCTGGTCTTTCAGCCCTAGTTGAGCCTCCCCAGTTGAAGCCTCATGGAGTAGAGACAAG